GCTCAAGGGTTAGTGTGCTAGCCTTGAGCACAAAAGCCAAGAGAGTACATGGCCCGGAGTTCAAGCCCCAGTACTGGCACTAAAGTAAAAGAAGAAAAAACAATGACTCCTTCGAGTCCTGACTTTGGGAGGGAAAGGCCGGCTCAGGACAAGATGGTGAGCATGTGTAAGGGGGGCTCTCTTGAGGTGTTCCATGTCTAAGTTCTAAGGCCTATCCTATTCTGGGTACATCGGTGTGGGGCTTGGAGCCCCCCTGAACCTCAGTCACCCATAGCTTCTCCATGGGGGTCTCACGGTAGAACAGTGGGGGCTTTGGCCACTGAATGGAGACCTGTTTGCTCACCTCTCTGCCACTCAGGTTACCCTGCTGCAGAATGGGGTGCTGGGGGACTACAAACCCTGCATCCAGGCTGTGACTCTCCCCTGTGATATGGTCAAGCTAACTTCTAAGTGGCTAGCCATTACAAAGTGTGTGTGTGTGTGTGTGTGCACACGCATGGGTATGTACTCACTGGACACAAGTCAAAAGCTGAGAGAAACTGGAGACGTATTCCCATGAGGGACAAACGAGAGTGGGGCCCTAGCATCTGTGGCCTTGTGCAGACAACCGAGGCCAACCGGCCAGAGCTCCAGCAGACCCCTTGAAGGGTGCACGCTAGTGACCCCTTTGCCCACCACCAGATCCCATCCCGGAGGTTCACAGGTGAGAAGATAGGGAGATGGGGCTGGTGTAGGGCCCAGCGTCCAGGGGCCCAAGAACCAGAGTCCCCAACATCCACAGGCAAGAGAACATGAGGCCCCGCTCGAGGGTAGGGCTAAGGCCTTCCCTCCCCAATCCCCTGGGAGTCACATCCAGGAGTCAGACTTTACCCACTGTCTGGGCACTGCCTTGCCCATCCAAGTTGGCTGTGAAATGAACAGCCACAGCAGGTGTATAAGTACGGTCAAAGGCTCAGAAGAAAGCACGTGGCAAGCCACTGGCAGAGGGGGCACCGCGGCAGACATGCGGGGATTGTTACCGAGGGTCCCGCGCAGTGTTGTCAGTCGCAGAGGTTGCAGGTGGCAGGGGAAGAGTCACCGTGCTTGAGACGGTGTAGTGGAAATCACACCCTAAATAACAAGAGAAGGACAATACGGGTGACTTGGGAGTCCCAGAAGGAGGAGAGATGAAGGAGGCAGATAAAGCAATTTATTTAGGTTTTTTTTTTTTTTTTGGTCAGTCGTGGGGCTTGAACTCTGGGCCTGGGCGCTGTCCCTCAGCTCTTCAGCTCAAGGCGAGCGCTCTACCACTTGAGCTACAGCGCCACTTCCAGTTTTCTGGTGGTTTATTGGAGATAGGAGTCTCACTGTCTCTTCTGCCCGGGCTGGCTTTGAACCGCGATCCTCAGATCTCAGCCTCCTGAGTAGCTAGGATTACAGGCGTGAGCCACCAGCGCCCGGCTCAATTTATTTAGTTTTGTGCTGACACTTGGGCTTGGACTTACAGCCTTGTGCGTTTGCTTAGCTTTTCCCCTCAGAGCTGGTTCTCTTATCTGCCACTTGAACCATACCTCCACTTCTGGCTCGTTAGATGGAGATTAGAGTCTCAGATTTGTCTTTCCAGGCTGGCTTCAAACCCAAACCCTCAGCCCTCAGCCTCTTGAAGTAGCTGGGATCACAGGCACCAGCGCCTGGCACCCAGCTAGATAAAGAAATTTAAAGAGGCCAGGACTGGGAAGGTGGCTCAGTGGTAAAGTGCTTGCCTTGCATACATGAGGCCCTGGGTTTGATTCCTCAGCACCACATACACAGAAAAAGCCAGAATTGGAGGTGTGGCTCAAGTGGTAGAGCTCTAGCCTTGAGCTGAAGAGTTTAGGAACAGTGCCCAGCCCCAGAGTTCAAGCCCCACATCTGACCAAAAAAAAAAAAAAAAATTGAAGAGGCCAATACTTGTTAAATTCTAAAAATGTTCTGTGATTGAACTGTACACTTTTGCTGAGAGAGATTAGACAATTGGTAAATCAGTCTTCACTAACCTGGAAATGAATGGCCATCAAAATATAGGAAGAAAGTACAGAGCAAGCTAGAGACCGGTGGAAGGATCACAAACCACACAGGATAAAGCAATGGATCCACAAGATGTGAAGAACTCCTAGAATTCAACGAGAACAAGAGACAATCTTTAGAAATGAACCAGAGTCTTGGGCCAACCTTTTTCAAAGAGAAAGGTACACAATAAACACAGAGAAAAACCTCAGGGTCAGCGGCCATCAGATGGATGCCACATAAACTGCAGTGGTGTTTGACTTTGTAGGCACCGTGGCGTTTGAGATGATAAAGACGGGCCAGCACGGGGGCTGGAGGGGCGTGGGACAGCTGGATCTTTATGCACACTGCTGGTGCGGGTGAAGAGGCTGTGGTCACTTTGGGAAGGCCTTTGGCAGTGGTTTATGAAGTTAAACACACCCCTTTCCTTTGACCCCACAGTTCACTTCCGGTCGAAGGTTATTTCCTGAAGAAGTGAAACCATTTGTGTTCTTCCCCCCACCCCCACCCCCAATTTCCTCCTCCATGCTATGCAGGAACACACACACATACACATATACGCGCACACATGCACAGGGCACAGGGCTTGAATGATCATGTAGAGGCTTTTATTCACACTCTTGAAAGGAGCCCACATGTCTATCAAGAAGGAACTAGGCATAGCGGCTCATGCCTGTAGTCCCAGCCCTTTGCTGATAGAGGCATGAGGATGCTGAGTTTGAGGCAAGACTAGGCAAATAGTGAGACCCTGTCTCAAGCCAGTGGAAACAGAGACTGCGTCACAAATGTTTGCCATGCAGCAGACTTGCCAATGAGGGCTGCGTGCGGTCCGGGCCAGCGCCCATGGGGAAGTTGGTGTCCCCAAGACGGGATGCAGGGGGCAGAAGCCAGGACCTAGCACTGCACCTCGTGTTCTGCCCCAGACCCCGGTGTGCCGTGGGAGGATGCGGGGGGGGGGAGGGCAGGGCAGGGGAGCACGGGGTGACGCCTTCCACTCATCAACGGGGCATGAGTCACACAGGTGGGGTCGCGGGTCAGCATACATTTGTCTTTACAAACCTCAGCAATACACTCTGAGTGTTGGTGTCTCAGTGCTGGGCTTTGGGGTGCGCCAGGTACGGGTGTGTACGCAGCAGAAGGCGCTGGCCAGGGGTGGGGGGAGAGGCTGACTCGGCTTTGATTGTGTGGCAGCATCCTAATGGCCTGAGACCCCACTGCCCCCTTGGGCTGTGATGGGACCCTCACCGCCTCCCCCTTGTGTTGCTCTGCACACGCCTCCGAGGGTCCAGAGCATGGCACCCCTACAGTACTGGGGACAGGATCTCTGGAACCTGAAGACTGAGCGGGGCCGGGGCCCCGTCAGGTCCAAGGCGTCGGGGCAGAAGCCACGGCTGAGCTGGTTCTGGCTGGTTCATGGAGTCTTGGTTAGACCAAGTCCTGCCATCAGTTCAGATCGACCCCCGTTTACAGAGGGGGTGTGCACTTTCGGGTCTCCATCCCAGGCTCCTCTTTCCATTGTTTTTATCCATGTTCCCGGCCAGGGGATATGTCACAGCCAAAGCCACTTCTTCCCGCCTGGCCTGGCGGGGCGAAGCTCATGTGTTGTCTCCAGTGTGATCTCTGGTCTGATGGCCTCTACTCTCTGTGGTTGTCAAGTTCCATGGTCTGGAGGCACAGCCAGGATTCTCTGGACTGCAGTTTGAGCTGGGGAGGGAAGGTAGGAGGGAGGGAGGCAAGGAGAAAGGGAGGGACGCATAGAGACCCCTGTTCTATGGCATGATAGAAATTTGTGTTTGGCCAGCACCTGTAAAAAAGGACTCTGCAGCCCCCCCTGGTGGACAGAGCAGTGGGACACATACTTGGGTGCTGTCCTCTGGAGAGGCAGAGAAGGTGATTTTTGGAACAGTTACAGAGACAGCTGTCAGGCCACCCAGGGTGGCCCCTGGGGATGAGTCAGTAGGGAGGTCCTTGGGCGCTCAGTGCCACCCTCCATGTGTCCTGAGTGACAAGAGGCCGTTGGGCACCCTGGCATCAGTTCCCTGGAGGGGAAGGAATGGAAAGGGGCCCGCTAGCATTGTCCTCTGGCCCCGCGGTACCCCTTACTTCACCCCTCTGCGGCCAGGGCCTTGAGTGGAGGAGTCAGACTTGCCTGGGCTCTTGCTGGAGAAAAATCTAGATATTCCTCCCTGCAGATGCTGCAGGCGCTTTGGGAGACCCTGCTGGTGACAGAGGCCTTTCTCAAACAAGCTGTGTCCCCCATTCTTGAGATCTTGAGGGACCACCCGTGCCCTGCTTAATAAGTGGCAACTGCTATTTCAAAGTTAGGTGGCCTGCCTGGTGGGGGAAGCCTTTGCTAACCACCTCCAAGTGTCACTTCTCTGCATCCCCCCCCCCAAAAAAAAATCTGGAAGTGCTGCCACTTGTCCCTGCCACCCAGAAGTGACCTCAGGGCTGTAGATGGTCCTTCCATGGAGCTGAGGCCTGGGACACAGGCCTCTGAGCACAGCCTGTTCTCAGGATATCCCCCTCCCCCCCGCCCCATGGAGGAGCCGAGAACCAGCAGAAGTGGGGTATCTGAGCAGTGACACAAAGGCCTTGGGGGTGGGGAGACCCTGAGGCCCGAGCTGCGGGCACTGGGGCCCCAGGTCCTGGATGTGGGCTGGGGCAAGGGCTCTGGTTATGGGCAGGAGCCAGGCTCTCCCTCTGCCCAGCTGTGGGAGATCGGGTGAGCGCAGCCTTGCCTGGCCTGTGGCCGCGTGTGTGCGATGTGTTATGTAGTCCAGGCCTGGGGATGTAGTCCCTCGGAGACTGAGGCAGGTCCTGAGCACACACTGTGCCATCAGTGCAAACACATGCGCCCATGGTTGCAGACTGGGACCCGAGGCCCAGCCCCCGGGGCTCAGGCCCCCGGGGCTGTGTCCTCTCCCTGGGCACCCCTCATGGCGTTGGTTGCTCACCACCCTCTCCCCGTGCAGCGAGCATGACCTGGGGGAGGACATCTACGACTGCGTGCCCTGCGAGGATGACGGGGATGACATCTACGAGGACATCATCAAGGTGGAGGTACAGCAGCCCATGGTAAGCCCGCACTGACGCCACACGTGCCGGAGCACCTGCTGCCCTGAGGTGCCCCTCCGCGGCCTGCTGCCCAGCCCCAGGGCCGCGTTGCCATGGAATTCTAACAGGGCTTCGAGGTTCTCGGCCCTCCCGCCCAGGGAGCCTGCAGTAGTAACTGCGTTCAGTCTCACCCAGCACGACTCATTTTACCCCTTTGTGCGGAGCGATGAGACCGATTGTGGCTCAATTAGCCAGCTGCGCGTCTTTTATGTTGGCAGATATTTATTTCCACACAGGCATTGGCTAATAATCTTCGGACGCCAGTGAGCTCCTGCCCGGGTTTATCGCTGCAGCTGCTCTGCAGAAGGCGGGGTGCTGCCAGGCGTAGGAGGGAGGTGGGACCCTGTGGGGTGCTGCCAGGAGGGATAGGGAGCTGGGGGCTTGGTGGGGCAGGCCACAGCCTTCTTGGGCCCCTGAGAGTGGGCACGATGCCACGTGCCAGTTGTGGAGGCTTTAGATGCATTCACTTCCTTGGAGGTCCCTGCTCCCATCCATCTGCAAGAGCCATCTGGCCATGGGGAACAAAGCTGGGAGAAAAACCCTAAAACGACCCCCAGAGAGGCTGTTCCCCAGCCTGGTGCCACGTGGCTCATAGGGAGAGACATGGAGGCTGGGTGGGGGTCTCCCCAGCTTTGATGGGGGCTGGGAAGCCCTGTGGGGGTTCCCCACTGGAGCTGGCCTGAAACCTATGAAAACAGCCAGTTGTTGGGAAGAGAGAGGCGCTGTCATCCGGGCCATGTCGCTCCCGGGTCGTGGCAAGCAGGGTCCTGTGGGTCCAAGTAAATGTGCGGCACCTGCAGGTCACTCGGAAGTGACCCCACTTCTGCCTAGTGGCCCTTTCCCTTCTCTCTCCCTCCCTCTCCCCGTCCTCCTCCCCTTCTTCCTCCTCCTCCTCCTCCTCTCCTGCTGGTTCTCGGGCTTGAACTCAGGACCTTGGAGCCCTCTCCTAATGTTTTCACTTAGGGCCAGCGCTCTACCACTTGAGTCCAGCCCTACTTCCAGCTTTTTGGTGGCTAATTGGAGATAAGAGTCTCATGGACTCTTCTGCTTGGGCTGGCTTCAAACCATGATCCTCAGATCCCAGCCTCCTGAGAAGCTAGGATTATGGGTGTGAGCCACCTGCGCCAGCAGCTCTCTCCCCTGAGGCCTGACACTCCCCCAGAGTCTGTTGCTGTCCCTGGTCCTGAAGGACACAGGGTTGCTTCAGAGCCCTGGGTGGGGTTGGGGTGGGGCATGCTTCCCCTGGCCTGGGGACCAGCTGGTGTCCCAGAGCCCAGATCTGGGCTGGCACTCATAAACTGTCCAGTTCACCCGGGTAGGGGCTCGTGCCTGCTGCTGCCGTCCTCTGGAGTGGCCCTGGGCTCCATCGGTTTCCCTGGCACGGCCGGTATGGCAGGACAGTGTGTGGGGAAGGTGGGCGGATGGGGCTTCCCAGAGGAAGATGGAATGTGGGGGTGGCAGCTGCCAGCTTGGGGCCCCGGTGTAGGGAGGTGCAGGGAGGTGTGTGGGTAGCTCTGGTCCAGTGCCACCTCCTCCTCTGTCTCCGGGTCTCAGTTTGGGCTGGGCTATGCCTGCTGAGACTATGGGCTCACGGTGGGGTGGGCATCCTTGAATTTGCAAGCACAGCTTGAGAACAGTGCACATTGCTGACTGGTTTAATCTCTGTTCATTCCTCCATGCGTTCAGATTAGATACATGCAGGTAAGAGTCTTTACCGCCTCCCAGACTTTTCAGATCCCTTAGAAAATGCTGGCCTGCTCCCAGGGAGCTGAGTGGCACACCGCCTCAGCCACTCTTTCGTGGGCCTTACACCTGCTAGAGGCTTCCGTAACAGCGGCCCCGCCCCTGGCACCCCCACCCCCAGCCCGGCTCATCTTTGCCTATCACGGAGGAACCCAGAGTGCTGGGGGGACCGTGCAGCGACTCCGAGGACAGCGTGCTGGGAGCCGCATTCGAGGGCCGAGCCCTTACCTTTTCTTTTTCCTTTTCTTTTCTTCTTCTTCTTTTTAAATCGGTCATGGGGTTGAACTCTGGGCCTGGGTGCTGCAGTCTCTTGAATTCTTCAGCTCAAGGTGAGCACTCTACCACTTGAGCCACAGTGCCACTTCTGGTGGTTAATTGGAGATAAGAGTTTCACAGACTTTCTTGCCTGGGCTACTGGCTTTGAACCACGATTCTCAGATCTCAGCCTCCTAAGTAGCTAGGATTACAGGCGTGAGCCACTGGCACCTGGCCCTTTTTTTTTTTTTTTTGTTAGTCATGGGTCTTGAACTCAGGGCCTGGGCATGGTCTCTGAGCTTTGTTTTTGCTCAGGACCAGTGCTTTACCACTTTGAGCCAAAGCTCCACGTTCTATTGTAGTGTTATTTTGGTAGTTAATTGAAGATAAGAGTCTCAGGGAACTTTCTTGCCTGGGCTGACTTCTAACCACAGTCCACCAATCTCAACCCCCTGATAGCTAGGATTATAGGCATGAGCTACCAGTACCCCACCCCCACACTTTTTTAAAAGTCTGAGACCAGACTCAGTATCTGAGGTTTTCACTCATTGGCTGGCACTCTGCCAACCTGAGCCACAGCATCAACCGCAGCTTGCTTTTTTTCTTTTGGCGGTACTGGGTCTGAATACAGGGTCTGCAGCCGTACTCCAGGTTCTGAATCAGGAACAGGACTTTGTGACTCTAGAAACCTCTGTGTCCTTGGTGCTGGCCCCCATCTCGTCCTCCTCTGTCCCTGTGCCTCAGTTTCCTCGACTGCAGGCCATGGGAAAGGGGCATCCATGCATCCCCCCATCCCATAGCAACCTCATGACCACACCCCATGGGGCGGACCTGTGGCCCAGGGTGATGGGGCCTCACAGTGACGCCCGGGCTGTGGGGTTCCTGACCCCATCTCTTGTCCGGCTAGAAAATGGGCATGACAGAGGATGACAAGAGGAGCTGCTGCTTGCTGGAGATTCAGGAGACAGAGGCCAAGTACTACCGGACCCTGGAGGACATCGAGAAGGTGAGTGAGGCCGGTGTGGCCGCGGGAGACTCCGGCTGCTGCTGGGGCTCACTGCAGAGAAGGGAGGGGTCGAGAGATAGCAGGGGAGGCCTGGGCTCTGCTTTGCCATCACAGCCTCCTGCTCTATAGTCCTCTGCCCCATCCTGCCGCTTCCCTTAACTTGATTGTGGCTTCTGTTTCTGGATGTGCAGGTTGGGCCAGGTGTGAGCTAAAAACCCAGTGCGCACATGTCCCCAGGGCACATCCCTAGCTCTGCCATGGGACAGGCAGCCCCCCACAGTGCATGTGGCTAGACCTCACAAAAACACCCACTCACTCGGGCGGGCGGCTCACACCTGTCATCCTAGCTACTCAAGAGGCTGAGATCTGAGAATCTTAGTTCCAAGCCAGCTAGGGCAGGAAAGTCCATGAGACTCTTACCTTCAATTAACTAGGTAGGAAAAAAGCCAGAAGTAAGCTGGGCGTCGGTGGCTCACGCCTGTAATCCTAGCTGCTCAGGAGGCTGAGATCTGAGAATCGTGGTTCAAAGCCAGCCCTGGCAAGAAAGTCCATGAGACTCTTATCTCCAATAAAACACCAGATAACCAGAAGTGGTGCTGTGGCTCAAATGGTAGAGCTCTCGCCTTGAGCTGAAGAGCACAGGGACAGCGCCCAGGCCCAGAGTTCAAGCCCCACAACAACAACAACAACAAAAAGCCAGAAGTAGAGCTGTGGCTCAAGTGGAATAGAGTACTAGTCTAGAGAGGAAAAAGCTCAGGGACCACACTCAGGCCTAACTTCAAGCTCTCAGTTGAAATCTGAAACCAAAAAACAAAAATACTCAAACCTTCTGCTCATCCCCAACCTCAGTCACCTGTCTCCCCTCAGCTCTCTTTGGTTCAGTCACCTGTTTCTCCCCAGGTCTCTTTGGCTCAGTGGGGTCGTCTCTAGGTGTGTGCCTGACCCCCTGTGTCCACATGGCCAGTGCTGATGGGGTGCAGAGACCCACAGAGTTTCCGGGCTGGAACCCTTGGTGTTCTCTGCTTGTGGGGTAGGATCTGGGGTGGTCACAACAGGGACCCCTAAGTGGGATGTGAAGGACTTCCAGCCTCCAATGCTCCCTTGGCCCAGGCCAACCTCTTTGGCCTCCGTGGAGCTGTGCTCAGGGTGTGGGCATGGCTGTGTGCTCTGTGGGCTGGACCCCACTGGTGCATCCCAGATCAAGGGCTGCTCAGTGAACACGGTGCAACTCCCTGTGCCCGAGGCCGTGGCCGGCAGGGACCGAGGCTGTGGCCGGCAGGGACTGAGGCTGTGGCCGGCAGGGACCGGCGCCTGCAGTCCACACAGCAGCACAGACTTCTCCCTTTCAGAACTACATGGGCCCCCTGCGGCTAGTGCTGAGCCCGGCGGACATGGCGGCTATCTTTATCAACCTGGAGGTGAGTGCGTGGCAGCCTCACAAACCACTGATCGCTCCTGGGGTGTTTCCAGCCACGCCCCCACTGCCCCACGATGGGCTCGGGAGAGCAGCACCCTCCCTGGAGCAGTGGTTGTGAGAGGCAGAAGGAGGTGGTTCTCAGGTGTTTGCGCTGGCTGGCAGGCACGGCCCAGACACCTGCAGCCCCAGAGTAGAGCTTGAGAATCCCGAGAACTGTGAGGCAGGCTGTCAGCAGCAGAGGGGAGGTGCTTCCCACCCCTCTGTGGCTGTCTGATCACAGATGCCGGAGGGGGATTCCCACGGGAAGGTGTATCTGGCCATGGCTGGCAAAACAGGGCATTTGGGCTGCAGGCAACAGAGGCCATGCGGGCATCCTCAGGGAGGGAGCACGCTGCTCCCGACTCCTCCCGGCACCAGGCTGGTTCTGGTTTCAGTCTGTCAGATGAGATAACCAAGATCCCATAACTTCTCATCTCTGTGGCCTGACGCACCTGAGCCATGGCCAGGACGGATGACCACAGACAGAAGCCGGGGGGGGCGGGGCGGTTGGCAGGTGCTGCCCACAGGTCCACCTCTGCTCTGTGGTGCAGAGCCACGTGCTGGGTCCCCATGAACCCCGTCCTGCGAGCAGCTGCGATGGCCTTGAGGGCCGTGGCTGGCTATGGTTGCCCTGCTTTCTTCTTCAGTTGCTGGCACCGGAGCCCATGCTGGAGCCGCCTCTGTGTGTCCCTCAGGGCTGATGCAGGCTGTGGGTGGTGCCCCAGCGCCAGGCCTCTGTGCTCATTATTTTTTTATTTTTTTGGGTCTGGTCGTGGGGCCTGAACTCTGGGCCTGGGCGCTGTCCCTCAGCTCTTCAGCTCAAGGCTAGTGCTCTACCACTTGAGCCACAGCGCCACTTCCAGCTTTTTTCTTTTTGCTTATGTGGTGCTGAGGAATCGAATCCAGGGCCTCATGCATGCAAGGCCAGTGCTCTACCACTGAGCCACCTTCCCAGCCCCTCTGTGTTCATTATTGTAGAACTTTCTGGCAGAGTGACCCCACGTTCACAGGGCTGGGTAGCACCAGTGCCTCCTCCCACATTAGCTTCGAGTGTGTCTAAAGTGTGGGATGCGGTGGGAGGCTTGGCCACCTGCTGATGGCTTTTTCCACCCAGGACCTCATCAAGGTACACCACAGCTTCCTGAGGGCCATCGACGTGTCCATGATGGCGGGCGGTAGCACGCTGGCCAAGGTCTTCCTGGAGTTCAAGGAGAGGTGAGTGCCCACCGCCTGCAGGGCTCAGGACGGCGTGGGCTCTGGGTTCGTGGAGACGCATCCTGGGGTGGAATGGCGGAGCTGGGGTTCATCCCAGGGGAGCCTGGGGGTCGAGGCAGGTCATCCCTCTCCTGACCTCTGTGCCCTCCTCCATCACGGCCTGGAACGGCCTCTCAGGGCCCCCCAGCCCCTCCACTTCTTTTTGCCTGTCAGGTCTTGGTGGCTGTTCTCCCAGCTCACTGTGTGCAGGCCCAGTGCCTGGTGCTGGGCAGTTGGGAATCCAGGGAGACACCTTGGTACCCACAGAAAGTTGTTTCCCTGGTATGTGGCGGGCCAGCAGCCGCTTGTGCAGACACCCTGTGTGCAGGTGTGAGCATGGGGCTCCTGGGACATGGGACAGAGCCTGGAGCGGTCCTGGCTGTGACCTCAGGCTCTCAGGCTGAGGCTGCTGTCTGTCTTGCACGGGCAGCCCATGCACTATGTCTCGCCTCCGTGGTCCATGTACTGGGGACAAGATGGCTCCTGAGCTGTACACCGCTGGGAGAAGCCGCCCACCAGGGTCCCCTCCCAAGCAAGGTGGCCTTGTCCAGTGGGAGGACAGTGCAGGCCTCAGTGGATGAGACTGGGGGACACGGGGCAGACGCTGAGATGTCCTGACATAAGCCAGCTTGAGCCTTGGGTGTGGGGAGATGTGTTTTGGGGCCACCAGCTACAAGTGAGCCTCAGCTCCCCCCCAGGCCATTCCCATCTCACCAGCACTCACACCAATGTGCACAGAGCCCGGGGAGGAGGGGGAGCCACCAACAGCACTGGTCTGGGCACACACGCCTGCAGTCCCAGCGGCCTCCTCTTTGCCTGTGAATTTGGGTCTGGAGTGAGCCAGGCTCAGTCGAGGCTTACCTGGGAACAGCGCTGTGGTCGAGACACCACTGTGCGTTTCATTCTGTGCTTCGAACCCCACCAGCAGAGCTGGGCATGGCCAACCTTCCCCCCCGCTGCTCATGGTGGTGCTTAGCAAGGGGCAGCTGAGATTGTGGAAGCTTCTAGTGGGTGTGAGAGGGCAGCCCTCAGTGTGGCTCCTTGGCTGGGCTGGAGATCTCAGCGTCTCCTTTGTGAGACCTGCTGCTGCTCTGTGAAACAGTGGTGATGGGTGGGATGTGCAGACAAGGCTCAGGACAGCCTGACCGCCCCAGCCTACGCCCAGGGTCCAGCCTGGCCACCTGACCTATGCCCAGCGTCCAGGGCTCGCTGTCTGACCTGTGCCCAGGATCAAGGATGGCCTCAGACAGACCTGGCCTTGTCCCCCAGCAAGACCTTCCTGGTCCCGAGTCCTCTAGGAAGGGATGGCCTCTGTCCCCCTGGAATATCACTGCAAGAGCGATGTCCATCCCTGTCAGGCAGGGAACCCCGCACGGCGGCCCCATCACCCGGCCAGCAGGGCGCCTGGGCCCAGGCCTCGGGGTCTGTGTAGAGAAGGAGCTGCTCGTGTGTTTGGAGTTGGCTGAGGCCGATGTCCCTTGCTGAGAGCCTACTGTGGATGTGTCTCAGCTTTGGGTCAGGGACAGTGGGTTTGGCTCCTGCGGGCATAGGGACAGAGTCCTCAGACAGGGGTGCTCGCGGGGCTGCAGTGGAGCTGAGAACCCGCAGCAGGGGGACGGGGCACCCTGAGGCGGCAGAGGCCTGTGGGAGGCAGGAGTGGATGGCATAAGGTCTCCAGAAAGACCCTTATGAGGGTCTTCTAGGCCAAGAAAGGGACTTAGTTTTTGGCTTTGGGGCAGGAAGAAGCCACTGAGCGCCTCAAGATGCTGGCACTCGTCACAGATAAAGGTCGAGGTGACATCCAGGGCAGCACGTCACTTTTATGTTTTGTTTTTGATGCTTTTTGTGGGGCTTGGACTCACACTCTTGCGTGGCTTTTTCACTCTGGGATGGCACTCTTATCAAACCTTTCTGCCCAGGCTGGCTTTGAACTTCAGTCCTCAGTTCTCAGCCTTCTGACAAGCTAGGATTGCAGTGTGAGCCACATCATGTTGGTCTGGGGCTGGGCCTGGCTAAGTTGGCGTGCTGCCTGACAAGACATGGCTCTGCCCCATGGCTTCATGCTGTACTGAAGCGTGCAGGGCAGAAGAACTACCAAGAGTCGTGGGGTGGTCCGGGAGAAGGCCCTGGGCTGGCTCCCTCAGCTCAGAATGCGACGGAAGGCACTCTGTGCCAGCCCTGGCTGCAGGGTGCTGGATTTAGAGATGACGGTCAGGGACAGGCAAACCCTTGGATGCCCTTGACTTCCCTCTGTAGGGTGGAGGTCTCAGGAAGGCCTCTGGCCCTGAGCCTGAGGCTCAGGGTCTCTGGTTCTAGGCCCTGACCTCCATCCCCAGGTTGGGGAGAGCCGGCGACGCCGTTAACATTCCCAGTTTGTTCTTGTGTCCTCAGTACACTCCAGCTCACATCCTGTGAGCTTGACGTGCCCTCCCCTCACCCCCCCCACCGCGGCTGTCATGGGAGGTCGGGATTGGGTGGGTGAGAGAAAGCAGGCAGGTGGGAGACTGTTCTAGAAGCAATGTCCATGCTCCCTTGGCTGGGCCAGAGCCTGGTGCATGTACATGGAGGTTCTGGAACCCAGCTCTGTGCAGTGGACCTGTAACTTCCTGTAGCAAGGGGCCCAGGGAGGCAGATGCTCAGGCAAAACGGGGTGCAGAGGTTGGGGTATCTGGGCCATGCAGCGGGCAGGAAGAGGCCACAGCCATGAAGGCTGTGTGAGGACAGTGGCAATGTCCTCTGCCTGGTTCCAGGGGTGTGGCGGGCAGGGGGGATCCAGTATCCTGGGTGGACCAGAGAAGCCCAAGGAATGGGAGTTACAGGCATGCACGTGTGGGCACATGTGCGCATGTGTGCAAGCAGAGGCTTCGTTCCAAGCCCTGGGTAATTGTACTCAACAATATTCAGGTTTGTGGTTAAAATTAAGGCTGGCAACTTCTGCTTCCAAAACCAACTTCCTCAGTCAGCTCAGAACTCACTCTGCGTTTGGGATCTCGAGGAAAAGAGCAAGGCAGAGCTCAGGGGGCTCACGCCTGTCATCCTAGCTACTCAGGAGGCTGAGATCTGTGGATGTCTGTTTGAAGTCAGATTGGGCAAAAAAAAAAAGTCCATGAGACCCTTGTCTCCCGTTAACCACCTAGAAGTGGAGCTGTGGTTCAAGCCAAAGAGCACTAGCTTTGAGCAAAAAAGCTGAAGGACAGAGCCCAGTCCTTGAGTTCAAGCCCCAGTACCAGCATGCACACACAAAAACACAACACAAGAAAGCCAAAACAAGGAACAGAGGTCCAAGCGCCTATAATCCTAGCTACTCAGGAGATCTGAGGATCGCAGTTCAAAGCCAGCCCGGGCAAGAAAGCCTGTGAGACTCTTATCTCCAATGAACCACCAGAAAACTGGAAGTGGCACTGTGGCTCAAGTACTAAAGTGCTCACCTTAAGCTAAAGAGCTCAGGGACAGCGCCCAGGCCCAGAATTCAAGCCCCATGACCAACAAAAACAAAACAAGGAACAGAAAAACCATGCCCCCCCCCCGCCTCCATGGCCCCCACTCTCATGGGAAGGACTCATTGTGCTGGCTGCTGGCGGGGTCTGGAGAAAGAGGTATCTCAGGAATACTTTACTTCAACCCACAGAAATGTCTTAGCTCTGAAGGCCAGAATCCCAAACCGGTGCCATTTGAAACAAAGTTGCCCCAGGCTATGCCCCTTGAAGGCCCTGGGAGAGGCCCCGGGAGAAGCCGCCTGTCTTCCTGAATGCTGGAGCAGTTCATTCACCTCCCGCGTCTGCTCCACGAGTCCTTTTCTGTACCTTGTAGATGGAAGTGTTGGACCCAGGAGCCCCTGAACCCAGTGGGACCTCATACCAACCCTTACCCTTATGACCTCCGCAGAGACCCTGTGGCCCGTGAGGCCACGTGCTGAGGCTCCCGCTGGACGTGTGTTGGGTCTTGTCTATCATGGGCCACTGTGGGAAGTAAGTGCTTCCTGCCTGCAGCCCAGCCCTGGGTGAGGAGGGGCCGTGTCCCTCCTGCTGGCCTGGCCTGCTCAAGACACAAAGCCAGCCGTGGGTGGCTCACACCTGTAATCCTAGCTCTGGAGGCTGAGATCCAAGGATCATGGTTTAAAGCCAGCCTGGGAAGGAAACTCTGTGAGACCCCTATCTCCAATAAACCACTCAGAAAAATGGAAGTGGCACTGTGGCTCAAGTGGTAGAGCGCTCACCTTGAGCTGAAGAGCTGAGGGACAGCGCCCAGGCCCAGAGTTCAAGCCCCATGACCAACGACAACAACAAAAAAGACCACACGAACTCAACGTTCTTGTCTTGCCCTCTGCCCGCTGCTGGGCACCTTTTCAAGTAAAGTGGCCTCTCTGGTCACAGGGCGGACGGGCCCTGTGCCCAAGGTGAGAATGTGGTGGTGTGAAGGTGTGAACTTCATTTGGTTGGCCTGCCCTTTCGTTTAATTATTTGTTGGTCCTGGGGGTTTGAACTCAGGATTTCATGCTTGCTAGGCAGGCAAGCTACCACTTGAGCCACACCTCTAACTCTGTTTTGTTGGTTGTTAGTTTTTGAGATACAGTCTTGAGAACTTCCTACCCCCGCTTGTCTACTTAAGCTGCAATCCGTCCACTTCCAACCTCCTGAATAGCCAACGTTCTAGGCGTGAGCTATGGGCAGTTTTGTTGTTGTTTTGAGGTAGCGTCTCACTCGGCGGCCGCCTGGCCTGGCCTGGCACTCGGAACCCTTTTATCTCAGTCTTCCCAGTGCTTGGATTACAGGTGGGCATCATCTTTTAGGTCTCTGAGTTTTTCTTCCAGGCTGGGGTGGTATCACACACTTGTAATCTCACCAGAGGGCTGAGTTAGGAGGATTGAGTTCCATATCAGCCTGGACAACTTGACAAGACAGCCCCCAAAAAAAACTAAAAAAGGGACAGGGGCATGGCTGAGTGACAAAGGGCCTGTCCAGCACGAAAAGGCCCTGGGCTCCGTCCCCAGCATTGTTAAAACAAAAGAGGAAGGAAGATGAAAAGACGTTTTTCTGTAAGTGTCTCTCACCCGTACTGTGAGCAGCCCTGGCTGCTTCCGCGCCAGCCGGTTATCAGTGAAGTAGCAAGTGCAGGCCTGTGGCAGGACCACTGGCCATGTCTGGTTCAGGCCAGGGTTCCATCCAGCCTGGACCCCTGCGACCCGGTGCTTTCTTCTGAGGAGCCTCACCTGTGTCCTCACCTGCCTCCTTGCCTTCCTGCCTGGCCGGGCGAGGGTCAGCGGGTGGGAGGGGAAGGTGTCAGTCAAAGAAATGAGAGGGAGGATGTGGATGGATAAGCAGCTGCTCGTCAAGTGGGGGATCATCCTACCTCTGTCTCCAGAGTAGCTGGGATTATAGGCATGAGTCATCAGGCCCGCCTGCCCTGGCCTCTTAAATGTCTCTAGGCTGTTCCCTCTGCTTTTTGCTGGGGACATTGAAGCTTTTGCTTGATTTTTTTTTTTTAAAGCAGAAAATAACTTTCCCCAACTGCTTCCAGTGATGGAGGGTTTTAATCAAGTCGCATATTAACACCCTCATTTAACCAAGTGGCATATTAACACCCTCATTTCAGTGACAGGCTTACTTACGTGAAAACAGGTTGGGTTCGCATCTGGTGAGCTCCTGGCCTGGATGTACCCCCCCTGCCCCTCAGCATGGGGCACGTGCTCTGCAGCCATCAGGACTTTTCACATGGGCCCCGTGTGTTCACGCTGCACACAGCCATGTTGGTGTCGTCACAGCTGGTGAGCCGCCGGGATGCCGTGCCTGGGACCCCAGTCAGGTGTTCCCTGGTGTGCGCAGCCCGCCCCTCACCGGGAGGCCCAGGCTCCAGGCATGCGGTGGTCTGCAGGAAGTGGGATGTCGGCTCAGAGCCTGGCAGGGTGGAGCGCCGTCCCCAGCCCTGTGCTGATGTCTTCTGCTGAGCTGATGCATCCTTTGTGGGAAATGTGCTTTCCACTTGTTCCTGCCTCCTCTAGACCTGAACGCCAGGGTTGGGAAAGGGACTGGTCCCCAGGGTTTGAGGCCCAGAAGTGGGAGACCTGCCCGGTGACCCACACAGCGGCATGCAGCAGCTGGAGACTTCCCCTGAGCCGGCTGTGTGACAGCACAGTGCCCGTCAAGGCTAGCGCTCTACCACTTGAGCCACAGAGCCACTTCTAGCTTTTTCTGTGTATGTGGTACTGAGGAATCGAACCCAGGGCTTCATGTATGCAAGGCAAGCGCTCTACTTCTAGGCCACATTCCCAGCCCCATCTGGACCTCCTAGGCCCTCCGCCGGGCTCCATGTCCCACCTAAGGCTTGCCAGTCTCAGCTGCACCACCCACAGCCAGGCACCCGCCGTGCCATCTGACCCTCCTTGTCCCTGCCAGCTCCTTGGCATGGTCTTCCACCTATAGGCCTTGTGGTAGTTGGGCCTTGTGGTCTCAAATATGAACAGGCTAACTGTCCCCAGGCGTCGGCACTGCCATGGCCAAGGAGAATCTGAGTGATGGGGAGACGGGACAGGTTGGAAAGGAGAGGAGGGAGGTGTGCGGCATTGGCTGGCTGGAGCCTCAGACTCCTGGGCCCCGCTGCTTCCCCTGGCTGGGGGTGCAGGCGGCGCCTGTCTGCCAGGCTGAGCCAGCATGGCACAGGTGTCTGATCATGGGACTCAGGTGCTCTGTAGAGGCAACGGGGCCACTCAGGGTTCCCCAGTTGGCCTGGCTCCTGGGTGAGGATCACCTGGGGGCCAGAAGTGAGGGGTCTTTTTGTATCTACCAGCCTGGAGGCAGAGCCCTCTCTTTTTCTCTTGGCATAGCTCTTTGTGGGGGTGGAAGGGAAGCTGGAGAATGCAAATAGAACCGGGGTCCATGATCTGAGGTAGACAACAAGAGTGACTTCCTGGGGGTGTGGGTAGCAGGTGCCCCCTTGACAGTCTTTCACACCCTTCTAGCCTGGTGGCGTGTGGGAGTGGGAATGTGGGTTCAGTGAGGAGTCCTCGGGCAGGGCCCTGCTGTGCACGCTCACTGGGCCTGTCTGAGAAGGAAGCAGGTCTCTGCAGCCTGGGCGTCTTACCAGACCTGCATGTGCACACCCCCCCCTGAGGCGCGTGCATGTGTGTTCACATGGCATCATGCCGTGTACTCCTGAGGCATGTGCATGCGTGCCTACCTGTTGTGCAACCCGGGCCTGCGCATGTGTGTTCACGTGCCGTGGACCCCAGGCACGTGTGCATGTATTCACACGCAGTACACCCCCAGGCTGCTGATCTATGGGGAGTACTGCAGCCGCATGGAACACGCCCAGAGCACGCTGAACCAGCTCCTTGCCAGTCGGGAGGACTTCCGGCAGAAAGTGGAGGTAATGGGCTGCCGGCAGAGAGGCCGGGCCTGGCTGTGAGCATGCAGCTCACTGCACAGAGCCTGGGAGGCACGCGCTGGGAAGGCGGGAGGGGCTACTGGTGTGTTCCTGAGGTGTTTTTTCCCCCTTTGTGTCTTGTTGGACGGGAAGCTGAGCTCACACCTTCAGGAGAGGGCTGGGCGCTGGCCTGAGCGGGTCAGGCTCTGCGGGAGGGCCCCCCATCCACTTTTGGTGCTCTGTACCCAGGAGTGCACGCTGAAGGTCCAGGACGGCAAGTTCAAGCTGCAAGACCTGCTGGTGGTGCCCATGCAGCGGGTGCTGAAGTACCACCTGCTGCTCAAGGTAGGCTCCACCCACAGCCGTGCCTGGCACACACAGCCAGCCATGACAGTGCCCCGATACTAGGCCATAAGTGGTTTGGTACTTACATAGAACACATACCACTCTTTATCAGACTCTGAAAGGCTGTCATGGCGAATATACAGGCAAAAATTACAGCGAAGACCAGAAGCAGAGCCAGGAAAATGGAAGGAGACAGGAAAGCATCCTCAGACCAGGCATAAGAAAGCTACTATGGTTGATTGTTTAACCAACTAGGTGAGCTTCCTAGTAGCCATGGTCAAATAGAAATAGGAGGCTTCCAGAAAAGGTAGGCTGGGAGGGAAGATGGCGCTGGTGCCTCGAGGTTCTTCAGTACGTCACCAGTGACCGTCAGCCTGTCGTGCCTTGCCTTCTGCCACCTTAATGTGTCCCCCATAGGAACCCTCTCCCGTTACCCACGAAGTCTGTAGCCAGTGGAATCAGCACTGAACTCCCGCCTGGGCTGCTGGGTGGGCAGTGGCTTTGTGCTGAGACTCCCTCTCTGTGCGCACACATGCTGTATCAGATCGGGGCTCCAGCAGGGGCTGGAACCCCAAAGGGTGACCCCCACTCTCCTTGCTCCTGCAGGAACTCCTGAGTCATTCTACTGACCGGCCTGAGAGGCAGCAGCTGAAAGAAGCACTGGAGGCCATGCAGGTGGGTAAACCGAGGCAGGGAAGCATCGGGTCAGCATGGATGCACGCGCTGTTGGCCGCTCCCAGGCACCGGCTCCGTCCAAGGAGCCAGGGCTCACCCTGCCCAGCCCTGGTCCAGTCCCTCTGCCACCAACCTCATGCCCCAGTTGGCCACGCCTCCTCAATCTGCAAAATCCCACTGCCCACAATCACAGCCCAGAACCTTCTGTGGCTCCCGTTGCCCTCTGAGGCCGACCCGTGTGCTCCAGGTCCTCCACAAGCTGTGGCACCCCACTGACAGCTGTGTTGCCCCCTAAAAGTCCAGATTGCAGGCAGATCTTGCCGCCACCCTGGCCCCTGGACGGGCTCTGCGCCCTCCCGCGTGCCGTGCATCCTCAGGCCGAGCCCTCCTCACCGGCTGCACCCTGCCCACCCCGTCTTTGATTCCCAGGAGGAGTTGTCCCCGTTTCCCCCGGCTCCCCCGCCCCTGGGCCACTGGCTTCCCCTCGAGTCCCACCCACTCCTGACAGGCTTGTTCATGCTGGTGTCTCCCCCGCCAGGCCCACGTTGGCCACCGTCACTGGTATTCCAGCCAGGCGCCTAGCCCAGTGCGGTGCTGTGTAAGGTTCTTCATCCCCTCCCCATGGCAGTAGCCTTGATGACACCTGCCCTCTGTGGGGTGCAAAGCTAGCACAGTGCAGACTTCTCTGGGGTGTGTGAGCTGGTCAGCCCTGCCCCTGGGCATGGCTCACATAAACCACTTTCCCTGGCACGGGTGTGTCAGGGTATATCTATTCTTGGGGTATGTGAGCCAGCACAGGCCCCTTTTGGGCATGCACAAGATGCTACCGACCTGTCCCTGGGTGTGTGAGTCATCATAAACCCTTCCCTTAGGTGCATGAGCCAGCCGAGACCTGTCTGTGTGTCCTGAGGTAGCAGGCTTGGCTCATCCGGAGCCCACGCCCAGCATTGCCTGCTGCCGGCCTGCAGCTTCCCGCCCGCAGGCAGCCCAGGTCGCCCGATGGAGCCGTTTCCTGCCCATAGCTCTTGGGTCTCCACGGGCTCCCCTGTACATCTCGCAGACCGTGATCAGCTCCTATAGCTTCTGGGTTGCAAGGGATCTAAAGGACTTCGCACTTATCCCCAGTGCAGAGGGGGTATTGTGCCAAGCCGTCACAGCCTTTGAGCTCGATGCGGGGTGGAGGGTCCTGTCTGTGGATCAGCTGCTTTGCCCTCAGGGGCCTGAGATTGTGGCTTGGGAGTCAGTCTCGGGTCTGGTGGGGCCAGTTGGACTCCGAGGCCGGGTGGTGAAGCAGCTTTGGGCTTTCTGGGGTTTCTTGTCTCTGGGAATTCATTTCTCATTTGGAAGGCAAGCGGCTGAGAAAACAAAACACACTGTACACAAATGGACTAAAAGGAAGCTCAGCCTTGCTAAGGTCAAGGCTGGGATGTGGGCCGTGAGGCCAGGAGGGAGGAAGCAGCAGCCAGTCCCAGCCCGTGACTGCCCAGCTCCTTGCATTTTGGGGCCATCCACCGACAGGGCTGGGTGAGTCCTGTGTGCCCACCATCAAGCTGCTGCAAACTTTCTGGAACAAAGTTGGACACCGCCCCCTGGTGGCCTTTGGGATGATGGCAGCATCGTGAATAGGCTCTGCACTAGAACCTAGCTCCCAATGTAGGAGAGGTTTACTGGCCGCTCATTGTGCCCAGGATAGGAGGGCAGATGGGGTCTTGGTGGCTGCTTCCTGAGAGTGGGTTGGTCCAGGAAGTGGGCTGCTTGTGGCCTGCTGCAGCTCTGTTTCCATTCTAATTTGGAAGCACTGCTGATGGTATAGAAGGGATCCACTCTAGGTGCCCAGAGTCAGAACTGTGGGCATGGTTGCACATGCTGATGGCCTGTGTTCTTTCTTTCGGTCCCCATGTTGCCATCTTTGCCTTAGTTATTATATTGGTCCTGTGGCCACAATGCTTCTCCTCCCCTGGGTGGAGGCATTAACCCTGCCTTTGTCACCTAGGACTTGGCCATGTACATAAATGAAGTGAAACGGGACAAAGAGACCTTGAAAAAGATCAGCGAGTTCCAGAGTTCCATTGAAAACCTGGTAAGTGCAGCAGCCTCTCTGGCCCATGCAGACTCACACACTGCCGTCCCTCTCCACACTGGCTGGAGGCTCCCTGGTCACCTCGTGGCCACCAGCATCTGTGCTGCCCCAGGAGAAGCAGTGGACAGTGTTGGGTTCAGAGGACTGGGGGAGGTTGTCACTCCTCCCTCCCCCCCCCACCTGTGGCCAGGCCAACCTCTGTCCAGCCCATGAAGCCAGCTGGGGAGAGAAGCTGGGCCAGTTCTGGAAGCATACACGACTTGATCTGTGCTAACCAATACCCACTTGCCCGGCATCCACTGTCTTCTCTGCCTGGGTATGGTACACATGTGAAGAGGGGGGTCATTCTTCATGGCACGTCTCTCTGTGCCAGGGAGACAAGACACAGGACTTGGGGCAGAGCCCTGACTGGCCCAGCCTGCATGGGTGCCACCAGCACCTCTCCTGGTCGCTGCCCTCAGCAGCTTTCAGGCACCTGAGGAGATATTCAGGAGCGTCTTGCCAGGCCTGTGGTGACACCCAGTCTGGAGTTGTCCCTATTTCTGTGTGTGCGTGGGCCTGGGCATGCGCGTGTGCACGTGCGTGCGTGTGTGTTGGTAAGGGGCTTGAACTCAGGATCTCACTTTTTTGCTCAAAGCTCGAGGTCTGTCACTGGAGTTACACCTCTAGTCCTACATTTTGCTGGTTAACTGGAGATAAGAGTCTCGTAGACATTTCTGCCCAGGTTGGCTTCAAGCCTCAAACCTCCAGGTCTCAGCCTCCTGAGTCGCTAGGATTACAGGTGTGAGCCACCGGCGCCTGTCTTCTCTCTGCCCTTTTCTGCCTGGGCTGTGTCTGTGTGTGTGTCCCTTGGAAGCCTCCCAGGGCATGTGGAGCTGTGTGTCTCAGGATCACAGCAGAGGCACACTGCAAAGGGAAACTGAAGACTTATCTCAGAGCCCGAGCAGGGCTCTGTGCGAAAGCCCCATCGTGTGGGAGATGACGACGGCCGGACCCTCCCTGCCGGACGGGCACTGCTTGTTCTCCGGTTGCTCTCAGGGTTGGGCAATCTGCCTTTTCCTACCAGATCCCATTCTGGACCCCAGACAGAAACAGTCTGTTGACATGACCCAGGCGGTCAAATCACTCATTGTTCCCCGGACAGGAGAGAGTCTGTGGGGTGTGTGTGTGTGTGTGTGTGTGTGTGTGTGTGTGTGTGTGTTGAGGAGTGGGGACAGGCCTTCGGCCCTGTTCCTCCTCCCCCCTGTGCTCCCCACACTGTGGTACAGGCCCAGATTTCTGTGGATCCCTCCCTGGACACGTGCTTACTGCCTTCCCGGTGCTCAGGGATGGGGCCCTTGACTTTGCCTCTGCCTTTTATTTTTCCCCAGCAAGTGAAACTCGAGGAATTTGGGAGGCCAAAGATTGATGGGGAACTGAAAGTCCGGTCCATAGTCAACCACACCAAACAAGACAGGTGAGTGGAGGGAGGGGGTCAGGTGGGCATCCCCTAGGCTGGGTTCTGGCCCAAGTGCCTTTGAGACAGGCTTTGCTGAGGAAAGAGCCACTGCCCGCAGACTTTGTGCAGATCATTGTAATTACTTCCTTCCTTCTCTGCGGCAGCCAGTGGCTGCACTGCGGTGAAGTTGTCCTAGCACAGATACAAGGCTGGCTTGGTGGGGGCTGGCCGAGGCAGGGGGGAAGGCTCTGCTGTCCGGCTCAGTCTCCAGTGAGCTGGGCTGGCCCTGAGAGCTAGGTGAGTCTTCTACCGAGTGCCTGCCCCTTCCCAGGGGTGGTCAGGCACCCGTAGTCAAGGCTGGAGTGAGCTGCAGACTTAAGAGTTGCCAGTGGCTGGGTGCTGGTGGCCCATGCCTGTATTCCCAGCTACTCAGGAGGCTGAGATCTGAGGCTCGTGGTTTGACATCAACCCAGTCAGGAAAGTCCATGAGACTGTTTATCTCTGATGAATTACCAAAAAGCCAGAAGTGGAGCTAAAGCACCAGCTTTGGGCAAAAAAACTCAGGGACAGACTCCAGGCCCTGAGTTCAAGCTTCTAGCACAAATGCACATGCGCACACACACACACACACACAGACAGACACACACAGACACAACTGTGAATGCCCACTGTGTATGAGCAACTGGAGTTCTTGCAAATTAGGGTCCTGCTCTCTCAGACCCCATCCCCCTCCTGTCCCCATCTAGGGCCAGTGGCCATGGGCTTGGTGCTAGGGGAGGCTGAGGAGGGCGGAGGAAGGAGCTGCAGAGGTCTGACTGGGGGATAACACCCCAGGTGGATGGGTCTGGGGGCAGGGCAGCCTGTGCAAAGACCCAGCCCTTCTGCCTGGCCCTATGACTCGGTGCTGTCCTGTGCCTTGGGACACCTGGCCAGCAGGAGGCCGGCCCTCACGTGTGCCCTCTGGGCCAGGTACCTGTTCCTGTTCGACAAGGTGGTCATCGTGTGTAAGAGGAAGGGCTACAGCTATGAGCTGAAGGAGGTCATCGAGCTGCTCTTCCACAAGGTGACCGACGACCCCATGCACAACAAGGACATCAAGAAGGTGGGCCCCTCGTTCCCAGGGTGACAGCGCCCTTCTGAGTCCGGGCAGCCATGGGGCCCTGTGCACAGCGGACCTCGCTGGAGTCCGCTGAGGTGGAGACTGCGGCCCTGCAGGAAAACTGGGGTCCTCACCTGGTCACACGCCCACTGCTGGGGGTGGGTGCCCACGGGACCCCAGCTCCCTGGGATGGGGTGAAGGGAGAGACTTTCAACCTTGATTTCCACCTGATTCTTCCAATGTCGTCTTACTTCGTAGCAAGCAGGCCTGTCTCCCCTGTCTGCATCCCTGCTGTCCTGTTTAGAGGAGGACTTGGGGGTGGGCTTATCAGATTCCCATGTCCATCTAGTGGGCTGGGGCCATAGCCTCCAGGGTGGAGCTGTGACTGCAGGGGGTAGGGCTATGGCTGCAGGGGCGGGGCTGCAGAGCGTGGGGCTATGGCTGCAGAGGGTGGGGCTATGGCTGTGGAGGGTGGGGCTTTGGCTGCAGGGAATAGGCTATGGCTGCAGAGGGCAGGGCTGTAGCTGCAGGGGGCAGGGCTTCAGAGGGTAGGGCTATGGCTGCAGAGGGCGGGGCTGTAGCTGCAGGGGGCAGGGCTTCAGAGGGTAGGGCTGTGGCTGCAGAGGGTGGGGCTTTGGCTGCAGGGGGTGGGGCTGTGGCGGCGGGGGGCGCAGTGGCCACAGGGAGCAGGACAGTGGCTTCAGGGGGTGGGCTGGTGACCCTAGGAGCAGGGCCATGACCTCTGAATGGGAAGAGGGAGAGGGTACTGGTGGGGGTATCTGGGGCCCTCCGATTCTGTTCTTCAGCACCCAGCGCCTCAGCACCTGCTGTGTGCGGGCCACCAGATGTGAGGAGCCAGGCTGCTGAGGACCCAGCCCCTGGGCCTCAGAGCTTGTGGGGCCGGCTGCAGACCCAGCAGGCAGCGTCCCGAGGCCAGCTGGAGTAGCTGGCCCACTGGGAGCCCCATTCCTGCTTGCCCACTCAGGGTGTTGAGAAGTGGCTGGCACCACCCCTATGTGGGGCTGTCAGCCTCCCCAGGGTGGGCCAAGTCTTTTAATGACCTGTCTTCCCCTTTCCTTTCCTCTCCTCATGCTTCCTAGTCCCATGGGAAGATGGTAAGCCCCCCGCCCCCCTCAGCTAGCCTGGCCCAAGGGCCTCAGTAGACGGGGCTGGGGCACCCCTCCTCTGCCTCCCTCCGCAGCCCGGAGAACAGACACGGGGGGGGGGGTGGAGGCTGCCCCTGGGTGAGGCCGTAGGTCTCTAACCTGGTCATCCTCAGCCTTCCTCTCCACCTTTGTCTTCTCTTCTCCTCTCCTCTCCTCTCCTCTGCTCCCTCTCCATCTTCCTCCTCCTCCTCCTCCTCCTTGCTTCTCTCCTTCTGTCCTTTCTTTCCACCTCATTGTTTTTTTCTCCTCTCTTTGATCTTTTCCTGTTTTTTTTCTCCTTTTTCCCCCCTTTCCTCCTTTCTTTTCCATTCCCTTCCCTCCCTCCTCCCTCCCTCTTCCCTTCCTCCCTTCTTTCTTTTCTTCCTTCTTTCCTTCCCCCTTTCTCCTCCCACCCTCTCTCCTCCTCCTCCTTTCCCTCCTTCTCTCCCAATGGACACAGGCCACATTCCCAGACCTCCTGATGCCATTTCCCATCCATAGAGACTGGGTGCCCCAGTCAGGCCACCTGTTCCCTGCCTTTCTCATTTTAATTCAGAGAAGTGAGGGGACAGGAGAGAGGTGGGGGGGGGGGTCTGGGGACAGGCCCTGGGGAAGTTCCTGGCCAGAGGCTCCCAAGGACCTGCCCTGGGGAGCTGACGCAGGCTGATGCAGCTGAGGGCCTGTGTGGAGAAGGTGGGGGAGGGGAGAGGATCCCCTGCACAACCCCCCCTCCCCCCCACACACATATGCCTACACACGTGCACACAGGCATACAGATGGCCACAGCACACAGGTGCACATGCACGCCATGACCCACGTGTCCAAACTATGCGTAGTCATCGTGACGCATGGACATAGCGCCTGTGTGCGCTTGGGCACGTGTGTGCCCAGGGGTGGCAGGAGAAGAGTGTGCCTGTGCGGGCACTGTGCCAGTTGTGAGTGTACCTGTCCCTGCAGTGGTCCTACGGCTTCTACCTGATCCACCTCCAAGGCAAGCAGGGCTTCCAGTTCTTCTGCAAGACGGAGGACATGAAGAGGCGGTGGATGGAGCAGTTCGAGATGGCCATGTGAGTCAGCATGGTGGGGGCACCCGGGAGGCAGGCACCAATGCCCAGACTCGGCCGGCTCCAGCCCTGTGCCCTGGCCCATAGCTTATTAGCTGTTTCCAGGAGCAGGAGGGTCCTCCTGCTGTCCTGGAATTCCCAGGTGGGTTTGGCCATCCCAGGGGACAGGCCACCATGGTGGCTCAGCCTCCTATGCCTGACCGCAGGCCAGGGCCTCCCTGTGCTGCCAGAGGACGCCTAGCGGCCTATCCTCAGGACGCAGGGCTTGGAGGCTTGCTCTCACTGGGCTTGGGCAGTGCTGGGGTTTGAGGCATCCGTGCTTGCTGGGCAGGCGCTCTTCCCTCAGACCATACTTCCAGCCCTTTTGCTCTGGGTATTTATTGTATTTTTTGTGCTAATTCTGCGGTTTGAGCTTCGGGCCTGGGCACTGTCCCTGAGCTTTTTTTTGGCTCAAGGATATAGTGCTGTACCACTTGAGCCACAGCTTCACTTCCAGCCTTTTAGTGGTTAATTGGAGTTTAGAATCTCACAGCTTTTCCTACACTGAGATCTCAGCCTCCTGACTTCCTAGGATTACTGGCTTGGGCCACTGGCACCCATCTGCTCTATTTGTTTTGGGGATAGGGTCTCATTCTTTGTCTATGCCGACCCAGACTGTGACCTTCCTCTGCCCACCACATCTGGAGGGCAGGTGCACACCTCTGTGTCTAGCATTTTTCTGGGCTTTGAATATCTTCTGTGGCACAGTGAAAGGTACAGTGAAAGCTTCCAGCCCTCTACACACGGCCTTCTCTGGTGTCAAGAGGAGAGCCAGGCTCACAATCCAGGCCCTCGGGTACACAGTCTGGTCCCAACGCAGTTGCCCTGGCTGGTCCCTGTCTGTGGGACCTGGAGGCTTGCTAGGCAGCGTCTGCTCTCCTCCCCCCTCCCCCCAGGTCAAACATCAAGCCGGACAAGGCCAATGCCAACCATCACAGCTTCCAGATGTACACCTTTGACAAGACCACGAACTGCAAGGCCTGTAAGATGTTCCTCAGGTGAGCTTGCCCCGGCCCCCAATCCCCTGATGATGCCACCCCGGCCTCCCAGCCCTGCACTCGCCCTCTGCCCCATGTTCCTGATCTCCTGGGCCCCAGATTCTTGGGTTCACCCAGAGGGTTCCCGGGCTGCTGTGGGTTCAGGGACCAAGCTGGGTTGGCTGGTGCCCCTAGAGGAGGAGGAATTCTGGAAGCTCAGCAGGGCTTAGAGGGACAGAGGTTCCAGGGTGGGTTCCAGAGGGTAGGGGCTCTGCCCTCAGCCCCACGTCCCCTCACCCCCTGCCCTTCCCCACAGGGGCACCTTCTACCAGGGCTACCTGTGCACCAGGTGTGGCGTTGGGGCGCACAAGGAGTGCTTGGAGGTCATGCCCCCCTGCAAGTTCAGTGAGTACCCAGCTGTACGCGACAGAGCCCGGCTGGCTGGCCCCGGCCACCTCTGCGCCCTGAGCCGTGGGCCGCACCTGCCTGCTCCTCCCTGGCACTGTGACTCAGGGCAGGGCCAGATGAGAAGCAGAAACAGTTGACCTAGACTGTGAGAAACAGTTACCAGGAGGCCGGGGCCAAGGGGTCCCTTGCAAAGTCCTCCCTAATTCGGCTTCCAGAGTCACCATCGCAGCCTGACCCTCCATCTGAGGAGGACGCTCCCAGAATCCATACCCCAGAATGGGGCCAAATGGCTGGGAATGAGGCCTAGTGGTAGAGTGCTTGCCTCCCATGCATGAAGCCCTGGGTTCTATTCCTCAGTACCACATACACAGAAAAGGCTGGAAGTGGCTCTGTGGCTCAAGTGGTGGAGCGCTAGCCCTGAGCAAAAACAGAAGCTCAGGGACAGTGCCCAGGCCCTGAGTTCAAGCCCCAGGACTTGCACAAAAAAAACACAAAAGATGGGTTCAGACATTCTGTGCAGGTGCACGGTGTTTCCAGCCATAGCACCTGTCATGGCCGTCCCCTGCCCGAGAGGCCTGGCCAGCAGCAGTGACACGTGCACGTGGGCACGGCCCTTGGAGTGCCCCTTCTTATGCCCAGTTGTCAGATGGGCAGACGGCATTCGGGCAGGGTTTGAGCTTTGCCAGCACCAACAGGGGCAGATGCTCCTCAGTCTCCAACATGGCTCCAACGGCACAGACCAAGCATTGACAAGGGGCAGCCAAGGCCAGAGAGGGAGAGCCAGCCCGAGCTCCTTGTGGGTACATGGGCCATGGGGGTCCTCACCACCAGCTGAGCATGCTGCTGTCTCACGCTAGGGAACGAGTCAGAGCAGGCTCACCCTAAGTCTAGGCTCATGAACGGTGGCAGGAATCTCAGCTAGCAGCCTGGCCCCGTGGCTGCCCTCCAGGTGGGGACCAGGCCCCGGGCCTTGGGCAGCGGGCTGGGTATGCAGCTAGGTGGATGGGATGAGTCCAGTAGGGCTGACCACCTGCATCACCAACCTGCAGTCCCACTGATCCAGTGCCCATGCACAGAAGGGCTGGACTCCTGTCTGGAAGAGAGGAAGCAGCTGGGCTGGTTTGTTACCCTGAGCATGCCACCACCGCACATATTTTGAGCTGAGACTAGATCAATGATGTATTGATTGTTAATTATTAGTGATCAATTACTACCAATTCTGGCCCAGTGCTGGCCAATGACCCATCCAGTGCAAGGTTACCAGGTCACCCAGACCCCTGGTCCCCTGCGTCTGTCTGGCAGCCAGAACCCCCTGGTGGGGTCCCTTCTCGGCTAGAAGCCTCCCGTGGCTCTCCAGCCCGGCCCCGGCTTTTCCGCTTTGCTTGTTAACACCACCCTGTTGTGGCTGAACCCTCACACAGGCGGATTGCATGCCTACTTTTTTGTGTGCTTTGCTCTAAAATTAATGTATTTATTTTTTTTAAACCAAGAAGGGGAAAAAAAACCCACAACAGAAGAAATGAAGAAAACAAACACGACCATGAACTGAGCTAGAAATAACCTAGGCAAATGCTTTGAATTTTTTAAGTTCTTTTTTATTTTGGGAAACAATCTTTCTGGCTTATTTAGTTTTCTCCTGATCATTAGATAGTCATTTCCCATGGAAAATGTAGAAGAGGAGAGAAGTAGGAAGGAGAGGCAGTCTCTTGGCGTGGGGAGGGGAGGGGGAGGCGTTCTGAGCCGCCTGTTAATGCCTTTTCTCAAGTCATCCAGTCCCCCACCCTGGGTGCCCCAGGCAATATTTCAGGAACCGGTGTCTCCTCCGGGGGTGGAGGGAGTTGGTGCTCTGCTTCGGGGACACTGGGTCCCCCGGAATGCATCCGAACTGCTTTCTTTCTGGTCCGTGCTGCTGTCTTGGTCCCTGGGATCAGCTGTGGGCAGGGCTCCTCTGGCCACGGTCAGTGTCCACCTCTGCACTGTGCGAAGGCAGGTGCACTGTGCTGCTCACGGGGGTCCGAATGTCCCGAAAGCCCTGTATGGGGCCCTCCCTGGGCACCGTGACACTTTCACCAGTGTCCCTCGGGTCCCAGCCCTGAGTTGGGATCTGTAAGTCCAGGGTCTGTGCCCAGCGCAGTCTTCAGTGGTGAGTCTCGGCAGTTTTAAACCCCCCCACGCCCCAGCCACAGGAAGCAGCTGTCCTGGTCCTTGTTTCGACCAGTGGTGAGTGGCATCTCGCCTGGGGCAGTGTAGGATGGACCTTGCCTTGCATCTGACCAGCCACTCATGCCCCAGACACTTCAACACACAACGCGAAGCACTCACTCCTCCCATGACTTGCCCACAGCAGGCATTGTTAATCAATTGCAGAAAATTCCTGTGAGCCCCAACACCACTCAGCCACCCTGGTTGGCCTGGCAGAAAAGCCTGTGCTCTCTTGGGTCTGATAACTGGCCTGGGCTCCCTAGTGGTTTCCCTAAACACAAATGCCAACAGAAGCTGGGCACTGGGGGAGCTTTGTGCCTAAAAGCCTAGGTACTCAGGAAGCTGAGATCTGAAGATTGTGTTTGGAAGCCAGCCTGGGCAGAAAAGTCTATGAATAAACTCTTATCTCCAGTTAACCAGCAAAAAACCAGAAGTAGAGCTGTGGCCCAAGTGGTGGAGCACCAGCCTTGAATGAAGAAACTAAGCAAGAGTGGGAGGCCCTGAATTTAAGCCCCAGTGTACACACACACACACACACACACACACACACACACACACACACACACGCATGCATGCGCGTGCACGTGCTAAGATTTTGTTGTTAGCACAACAGAGAGACTTTCACAAGCCCGTGTACCCACAATTCACATGGAAAGTATTGGCAGCCATGCCTCACAGGCCCGCGAGGCTGCCGTGCTGCTGCCCGCTGACCTCTCATTGCTTCCTTTGCAGGTTCCTCTGCAGACATGGTGAGTCCCTCCACTGTGGGAGGAGGGCTCCATGCATGGCCCCTGGGGACCCTGGATAGCTGGGGCATGTGGCCAGCACAGGACACCTACCCCACACCTGCTTATGAGCACAGAGCTCCGTATGGGCGGCCTGGGGAGGTCGGCTGCTCACTGCCCAGTGTGGACTGGTCTCCAAGTCACACTGGCCACATCAACGGGTCCCTGCCCCACTGGGTGGCGTTGATTGGCTTATGCCAGGTCCTGTAAGGGGTGGAGCCACAGCATGGTGCACAGCTCCACGGGGTGTGGAGACTGGGGTGGCCGTGGGGGGCTTCCTGGAGGAGGCAGGACTCCGTGGTAAGGGGTGAGGGGAGCCAGGCCAGGGTGGGTGGGGGGAGGGTTTACACTGAATCTGGAGAAAGGCCCATGGAGGAAACTCTTGTCACAAGTGCCTGAACCCCGCCCCACTGCACCCTGCCCTGGTTCTTGTAGGGGGTGGGGCACTAAAATGGACAGGGTCAAAGGTTGAGGAGAGCCTGCCCTTACCTCTGCCTCTATCCTCACAGGAAGCTTCCGGAGCGGGACCGGGTGAGTGTGTGCTGGACTTGTCCCTCTGCCACTGTCCATGTGAGCGGCTGCTCTAGGAGTGGGCCAGGCGCGGTGACATCCCCTGTGCCAGCCGTTCTCCCTGCCAGCCTTAGGCCCCTCCCCCCTGCCCCACCCCCATTCCTCCTGTCCCTCCCTCCTCCACGGCTGCCTCCTGGTGCCTGCTAGTCAGGCACCCAGGTGCCCTGAGGCCGGGACCAGCCTGTGGACAGTGTTGGTCCTCCCGACCCAGGGTGGGGCTGGAGCTGCTGGGCACACGGGAATGTTTTACCAAGGCCTCTGCTTTGGCCTCTGCTTTAGTCTGATCCGTAGGTTCTCGGGCTGAGGCCTCCAATTGGCTGCAGATTTCAGCACCATCTATTTATACTGAATGAAATCTGTAGAAAACCACAGTCCCCCCCAAATACTGCTTCTAGACCCCAAGTCCAGCCTGAGACGAGCCCTACATTCTTGGGGGGCTCAGTACCCCCTTTCAGTCCTAGACATCACCAGTTGTGGCCTTTAGTAAGACCCTGTCATATCGGTCTCCTGAAGGACCCTGGCCCTCCATTCCGTTCCGCAGTTCACAGAGCTGATGGCACAGGAAGAGACCAGATAATGTTCCCCCAAAGTGGCCACCGGCCACTTAAAACATTTGTCACAGGATGGGGGGGGGATGGGAGGAGCCCCACAGGCGCCGGTGCCCGCGTGTCTGGGGGAATTGTTTCCCCAAAGAGTTCCCTGGGACTGGAAGGCCTGTGGGCCAGGGCAAGCTGGCCAACAACCCCTACCCTCACCCCCTGTGTCTGTAGGTCCCAAGATGGTGGCGGTGCAGAATTACCACGGCAACCCTGCCCCACCCGGGAAGCCTGTGCTGACCTTCCAGACGGGGGACGTCATCGAGCTGCAGCGGGGCGACCCGGAGTCACAGTGGTGGGAGGTGGGTGCCGGGCGGGAGCGGGAGGTGGACTGTGGGTGAGAGGGGCTGAGCGTTCAGTTCTTGGCCCCTTGGGTCTGTGGTGTGGCCCCATGCTTGGGCTCTTGTGCCCGGCCTCCCCCGCCACCCAGCTTCGTGTTGCGGTGGGCTGTCCCGGCACTGCCCAGCCCCGGGGGTCACTATGCCCAGAGCCATCCTGGTGACCTGTCCAGTTCCGAGCCAGGGATGCACAGCTTGCCTCCAGAAAGTGGAGCCCCAGGTCACTTGTTTTAATTTATTTTGCCCAGGCTAGCTTCCTGAGTAGCTGGGATGACAGGCATTGAACCACAGTCCCCAGCCCAGTCATGATTTCATTAAACCAGACTGGACAGCCGCGTGATGGGTCATCCAGAGGGGCGAAGGGGGTCTCGAGTCCCTGTCCCTGACAGGTGTTGCGGAGACCCAGGGTGGAGCTCCCTGCTCCCGATGGGTACAAGGCCAGTTTAGACTGTAGCAGGAGAAGGAGCACTCAGCCCAGGATCCAGGTGGCCGTGTGCCCCTGGCGTGACCCCAGATGACCCCTCCGAATCTCCCCTTCCTCCAGGGCCGGCTGCTGCAGACCCGGAAGTCAGGGTACTTTCCCAGCACATCGGTGAAGCCATGTCCGGTAGATGGGAGGGTGAGTGGCTCCCGTGCGTCTGCGCTGCAGGGGCGGGGGAGTGTGGGTGGGAGGGAGGGGTCCACGGGGTAAGCTGTCCTCTCCCTGGGATCACTGGCTGCGGTCAGGAACCCTCGCCCCACGGCTGCAGTGAACTGCCCACGGTGCCCCTGCTGTGTGTGTGTGGCCACTGGCGCTGGCAGCTGGCCGCAGGCCGCCGTGCCCTGGGGGCCTAGGCAGGAGGAGGCTCCCACTGGAATTGACAGCACTTGGCGAAAAGGCCACGTGTTCTGTCACCTGAGGATGTGGTGTGTCCTCTGTCACCAAGGCAGCAAGCAGTGACAGGGGACTGCCAAGGGCCACCCCTTCCCTGGGGGTGCGGGGCCCTACCCCGGGCCCTGCCCGGCCCTCTGTTGCCGGAGGGAGATTCCAGGGTGGATCAGGGACTGGGGACCGGGTGGACAGGGGTCACTGGCCCAGTGAGTGGCCTGAGACTCATCCGCCCGGCCTCCGAGGTCCTGCCCAGTGAGGCCCCGTGGCGGCCTGGCCAGAGGGGCACTGAGCCCTGGACCTGGCACCCTCCTCAGCCGCTACGAGTACCCTCACGCCCACTGCCAGGGCTTCCTGCCGCCTCGTCCTTCCCGGCCAGGGATGAAGAGGGGCTCACCAGTGGCGACTTCATTCATTCATTCAGTCATTCATTCCCTCCATCAAGGAAGGCGTTGCTTCCGCCAGGCTCCCTGAGCAGCTCCTCAGATGGGGATCTCCCAGTCCAGGGGTGCTGGGACTAAGTCCAGCGCAGACACTGCCAGGCTCAGGGTTGAGTCCATGACGGAATACCCACCCTCCCCACCCCCTGGGACATTAACACACGTGTGTTCTGCCCCCAGCCGCCCATGAGCCGGCCACCGTCCCGGGAGATCGACTACACTGCCTACCCCTGGTGAGTGGATCGTGGTCATTGAAGTGGGCGTTTGCTGGCCCCTCTGTGGTGAGCTTTTGGCCCTACTTGCCCACCAGAGGCTTGGGGTGAGAGTCTCGGCCCCAGACTGCCTGAGCTGCTTCCTTGTCTCAGAAACGGATCCATGAGCTAGCATCTGGGGTTGAAGTTGTTTTAATGTAATCTTAATTGAGCTTCCAAGTGTGTGTGTGTGTGTGTGTGTGTGTCTCCAAGTGTGTGTGTGTGTGTGCGCGCCTGCCTGCCTGCCCGCTTGCCTGTGTGTGCCTATACTGGTACTGAAGCTTGACCTCAGGGCCTCATGCTTTTTTTTTCACTAACTGCTAGCACTTTACCACTTGAGCCGTACCTCTATTACTGCTTTTGGCTGATTCATTGGAGATAAGAGTCTCTGGGAGGGCTGGGAAGGTGACTTTGTGGTAAGGTGCTTGCCAAGCATGCCTGAAGCCATAGGTTTGATTCCTTTTACCACAGGCACAGAAAAAGCTAGAAGTGACGCTGTGGCTCAAGTGGTAGAATGCTAGCCTTGAGCAAAAAAGAAGTTCAGAGACAGTTCCCAGGCCCTGACTTCAAGCCCAGGACTGGCAACAAAACAAAACAAAACACATAAAACAAGAAGAGTCTCTGGGATTTGTTTGCACAGGCTGATTTTGAACTAATGAGCAAAGTTTCAGAAATAGATGCACTCTAGTTCCACGCTGCTCTCCCTGGCCGCTCCTCAGCTCCTCTTCTCTGGCCTTCCCATGAGCCTGCTGTGTGCAGGAGCCCGCTGTGTGCAGGAGCCCGCTGTGTGCAGGAGCCCGCTGTGTGCTGCTGAGCTCCCAGTGCCGGCCCTTGCCTCGGCCGTGCCCCGCACAGTGCTTTCGCATCCGCTCATCTGGGTGGTGATCCCTTGCTCAGATGAGCGCGTGAGGCCGTGGCGGGCGCCCTGGGCATGGGCCTCACCCCGTCAGCGCTGTGCCCACAGCTCTGGTTCCCCTGCCCTAGGTTTGCAGGCAACATGGAAAGACAGCAGACGGACAATCTGCTCAAGTCCCACGCCAGCGGGACCTACCTCATCCGGGAGCGGCCTGCGGAGGCCGAGCGCTTCGCCATAAGTATCAAGTGAGTGACAGCTCTGGGGACCGCCCCCCTCCCCATCCTGGGTGTGTGTCGGGTGCTGTTGTCTGGTGCAGGAACCAGCACACCAAGCCTCATGCCGCGCCTCAGGGCTGCCGGGGCCTGCGGGCCTCCCCGGAGCCCAGTGTGCGGTGCGCACTCCGTGCTCTCCAATGGGGCATAGCTTACTGCTGCTGTTCAGGGGCGGGTGGTGGGTGGAGGCTGTGGGAGCCGCTGCCAGGGCCTGGCCCTTCTGTGGGGCCATCACACTACTTCATGCCAGCAGGGGACCTGTGGGACCTCTTCCAGTATATAAGAGTATGCATATATATATGTGTGTGTGTGTGTGTATGTATACACTCAGTGTACACATATTATATATATCACATATTATATATACTATGTAGCATATAGCGTATATGCTATACATCACAAGTAGCGTATATGTATACCATATAAATCTACATATACTACATACACTACGTGATATATGTGTATAATATAGTGTATGTGGTATGTATACTGTAAACACAACATATACTGGATAGACTACACATTTGCAGTCTACATGGCTGGCCTGGGGCCCTGCTTCACGGCCCTCCGTGAGTGCATCCTCCTTCCTAACTGACGCTCCTGCCTCCACCCCTCCCACCCTGGGGGACCCTCAGCAGCTGCTTTGTATGGTGCAAGTCTGGCCCTGGATGCCAGGCCTCCTGGAAACTCCTCCAGATTCTCACGGAAACAGACCGGGGCGGTCGGTCCTCTCTGCACAGGACTCCTGTGGACGGGTGTCTTGGGGCGCTGACCAGCCAGGCCAGCAACCAGTGGCATCTGGCTTGCCGCGGTGTCAGTGAGGCTGAGAGCCTTGAGCGCGGTGGTCTGTGCCCAGCCAGGTGTCCCACACCGCTTCTCCATGGGCCCCCAGGCGCGACCTGGCTTGTCCGGGCAGCCTGGCTTGTCGGACCAGGTGCAGCCCACACCACACGCGTCCTACCTGTGGGAGACAGGCGGACGGACCCCATGCCTGCATCCAGCCAGAGTCCCATCACACAGGGAAGCTGCCGAGGGACTTCCAAAGTGGGGAGCTGGAGGCAGGACTCTGCGGGGTGGGGAGCCAGAACAGAGGGCCCCTCTTTATAAGCACTGCCAGAGCTCATCACCTTTGCACAAGGCCCCACAAAAGTTTGGGGGCTATGGCTGTAGACTACAGAGGCGGGGCCGAGCATCCATGGTGCCCTGGAGTGGGCGTTGGGGCATCAGCGAGGTGGGCCGGGGTGGGGCTGCAGCCCCAGCAGCTGCAGGAGCTGTGTGCGGTGGGGGTCAGTCTCTGCTGCACACCTGCAGTGAGCGTGCGCTCACGCGGCTCGCACGCGGGGCCGTGCGTCTGTGCAGGTTCAACGAGGAGGTGAAGCACATCAAGGTGGTGGAGAAGGACAACTGGATCCACATCACCGAGGCCAAGAAGTTCGAGAGCCTCCTGGTACGGCCGCACCTGCGCCCGCAGCTCCCCCGCTCCCCCACCCCACCCCACCTGCAGAGCGGGCCCAGCAGCCCCGTCCCAGCCCCCACTTGTAGGCGGGAAGCGTGGCCCTAGTGTGGGCAAAACCCAGGGAAACGGGCCTGTGAGGGCCTGGGGACAGGTCGTGGCCTGAGTTGGGGCTCCTGACCCCTCCCCCCAAGCCTGCCCTGGAGAGCTTCTCGGCTGTCCACCTCGTTGACATGGCTTCTCACACGGCCCTTGCTGCGAGCGCAGAAACCAAGGTCTAGTAAGGCTTTGTGACAGACGGGTACCTCTGACAGCCCCCCGCAACCCCCACCTCTGCCCCAGGCGGGATGAGTGGAGGGCAAAATCCTCCTCCAAGTAACTTGAGGATGGCACCTGCTGTTCTATATATGTGTATGTGTGTGTGTGTGTCAAATCTGGGTGTTGAACTCAGTGCCTCATGCTCTAGCTTGGCTTTCCCACTCTGGACTGGTACTCTACCACTTGAGTTACACCCCCATTCTGGCTTTTTGCTGACTAATTGGAGATGAGTCTCTTGGCTTTGTCTACTCTGGCTGGCTTCAAATTGTGATCCTCAAATCTCAGCCTCCTAAGTATCTAGGGTTACAGGTGTGAAAGCACCAGTGCCTGCTGCCTTCTCTTTCTTTCTTTCTTTCTTTTCTATATTCCTTTTTTTTTCTGTGTGTGTGTGTGTGTGTGTTTTGTCAGTCGTGGGGCTTGAACTCTGAGCCTGGGCACTATTCCTCAGCTCTTCAGCTCAAGGTTAGCACTTTACCACTTGAGCCATGGTGCTACTTCTGGCTTTTTCTGCTTTTGTGGTACTGAGGAATCGAACCCAGGGCTTCATGCATGCAAGGCAAGCACTCTACCACTGAGCCACCTTCCCAGGCCCCCTTCCTTCCTTCCTTCCTTCCTCTCTCTCTCTCTTTCTTTCTTTCTGCTTTTAGTGTATGTGTGGGGAACGCTGGGTTTGAACTTAAAGCCGTGACTGGCCAGTGAACTCATCCTGCTAGTCCTTTTTGCTTTCATTATTTTTTGATAACTTTGGGCTTTTTTGCCTGGGTCAGCCTGGGTCCTGTTCTTCCCATTTATGTTTTTCTCCTAGTTGGTATGATAGGCACATGCTACTGTACCCAGCTTTTCATTGAAATGAAGGTCTCGTGAACTTTTGCCTTGGCTGGCCTCAGCCTCCAGAGTAGCCAGGACTGCAGGTGTGAGCCACTGTGCCTGGCTATTTCTTTTCCTGATCACAAGCATACTGAGGACCTTGCCTGTAATTAATGTGGTGAGCTCTAAGCAAACAGAGTACCCACAGGCTCTGTGGGCAAGCCCCCAGGGTTGCCTCTCTCCCCGCAGGCCTTTTAAAGCCAATGCTCTGCGCCCCATCTTTGGTTGCCCCTCAGGGTGACCCACCTTCAGTGTAGCTGAGCCTCTCCCTGGCTGGCCATGAGTCATTTTCCTTCTCTTTGAAGGCGTGTCCCCCCGCTGGACACATGACAAAGGACATGGCAGTCAGCAGCCTGTCCACCAACCCCTGCATCTTCCCGTGGGGACCGAGTCAGTCATCCACCCCTGGAACCCGAGGCTGTGGGAGGGTGGGGTGAGAGGCTGGTGTCAGCGAGTGTGCGCCCCCTGCAGGAGCTGGTGGAGTACTACCAGTGCCACTCGCTCAAGGAGAGCTTCAAACAGCTGGACACCACGCTCAAGTTCCCCTACAAGTCCCGGGAGCGGGCCGCCTCCAGGGTCTCCAGCCGGTCACCAGGTAACCTGTGCCCAGAGGTGCCCACTGCTGCCCCATTCCAGGACCCGGATCCTCACCAGCCCCTGCCCTGGTGACCCTGGCAGGGAGTATGGTTTAGGCCCTCCTTCCCTCTCCCTGTCCCTGCCCCACCGCCCCCTCCCTTGCCAGTTCCCTAATTTGGGGGGGGGGTCTCTGCCTGGAGGACCTTACCCAGGAGGCATGCAGGAAGTGCACCCTGGCCCTGGGAGTAGCCAAAGGCAGATCCTGCCTGCCCTCAGCCTCGGCCCTGAGGCAGGGGCTGGTCCCTAGGCTGCCTCTAGGGGGAAGCCTCCTCCCTGAGGATGGCCCGGAGCAGGTGGGGCAGGTCCTCCCAGCCCAGCCTCTCCTGGCGTCCACGGGGCCCTGTGGGGCCAAGGGGCTTGCTGGCTTCTAGGCAGAGCTGGCCAAGGCAGGGGGCAGGCCTGGGGCTGTGGGAGGGGAGAGGTTGTCCCCACTGACCGTCAGGACACGGTGCAGAACGGTGCCGTACCACCCCGGGTTCAGCCCCCACGCGCGCTCCTTGGCATCTTTCCTTGCTCCCAGGTAGGGCTTGGTGCCCGCAGTCCCTCCCTCGGCTCTGAGCCATCCCATGAGGGCTCCGCCCGGGTCCTGCCAACTCCTGACGCGCTCTCTCGCCTCTTTACAGCTTCCTGTGCTTCCTACAACTTTTCTTTTCTCAGTCCTCAGGGCCTCAGCTTTGCCCCCCAGGGCCCCTCCGCTCCTTTCTGGTCAGGTACCGCTGCTGCTCGGGCCCTGGCCTGGCCTGACAGTCCTTGCTGGGCCCGGGGGGGGGGAAGAGGGGGGGGGAAATGGGGGGGAAGCAAGGAGGGTGGGGAGCAGCGGGGGGGGGGGGCTGCTGCCACAGCTGAGGATGCGTCAGGCCAGGCCCTAACGGCCACCCCGCCCCCATCTGTCCCCCATCCCATCCCATCCTGGCCTGGCCGTCCAGAGCTTTGCCCCTGGTGAAGAGCTTTGCCTCTGGTGAAGGGCTTTGTCCCCGGTGAAGAGCTTTGCCTCTGGTGAAGAGCTTTGTCCCTGGTGAAGAGCTTTGCCTCTGGTTGTGGGAGTGACTGGAGGGTGGCTCAGGCCTGCGTGACGGCCTGGGGGCTGTCATGAGACCTAGGTGTGGGGATGGAGGCTGTGCTCCCGGTAACCACATGGCCGCCCACCACCAGCGCCCAAGCTCTTCTCCACCTTCCTGTGGGCTGTTGTGTGTTACTGTCATTACCACCTGTCATTCAGGCTCCGTGCTGAGCTGGTTCAGTGGGCCCTCGGATAGCTAGATGGTAGGGGCTTCAGTGGACAAGGTGTGGGCTCTGCCCTGCTACGCAGGACAGTGTCCATTGCTGTGTGGCCGCCCAGGGTAAGGGGTAACAACCCCGGCCCTCATCAAGTGCAGAGACGCAGGCCAAACCCGCGGAGGTGTGGGGGCCCTCCGTGTCCTCCCCCTGTGTGCCCACGACCCACACCACAAGGGCACCTGCTCAGCCCCTCCCGTCTCTCCCCACAGTGTTCACGCCCCGGGTCATCGGCACCGCCGTGGCCAGGTACAACTTTGCAGCACGGGACATGAGGGAGCTCTCGCTGCGGGAAGGGGATGTGGTGAAGATCTATAGCCGCATCGGAGGGGACCAGGGCTGGTGGAAAGGCGAGACGAATGGACGGGTGAGTGCAGACCGCAGACACACCAGGCCCATCTCTGTCCCTGCCAGGCTCAGAGTCACCCAGCCTGTTTCAGGTACCCTGTCACCACGGACTCTTCCCCCACGGGGGATAGCCCTGCGGGGAAACAGGCTCCAGACATTTACCACGAGCCCCAGGTCATGTTGGAATGAGTCACATGGCTCAGATCTGGACCCAGGCCCCTCCCAAACCCCATATCTTTGTGGCTAGTGCACAGTGCAGCCTGTCTGCGGGGAAGGGAGCTGCAGGGCTGAGGATGGGAGCTGGGGTCCTAACCAGGCTCCTGTCATCCTTGAGGGCCCATTGATGTCCTGTCCATACCCCACCCCACACGCTCCGCCACACACACCCCGCCCCACCCCTTCACTGTGTCCGGTTGACCCGGTGACTCCTTGCCTGGCTGCTCTCAGATCCTGCAAAGCCCTTTGGTTCCTCTAACCTAGTGTCCATCTGGGTCCTTGGCTGGACCCAGATCTTGTGTCCAGCAGGGCATGAGAGCACCATCCTGAAGATATGTGCCCCGCCTTCCTTGGGCTGAAGCTGCCTACAGGGTATTGTACAGGGCTTCAAAGGGCCATTCAGCCCTAAGCAAGCAGCTGGCATTTTGTAGGTCTGAGTCTTTGCATTTTAGTGAGCCTATGTAGGCCATTTACATTTATTGTAGTCACTGGGATGTATGGGTGGGGAGCTACCGCCTAGCTGGTTATTTACCTAGCTCTCCCTTCTTTACTACTTTGGGGTTAGCTAGTGTGTCTTCATCTGTTCCCCTGCCTTCCTATTGCTTGGTTAGTGATGCTTTCGCTGTGATGTAACTGTTTGCCTTAGAGGTTAGGGCGTGCACTTTGGCTGCTACATCTGAGACAGCACATTGTGTTCAGCCCCCTGGCAGCTTTCCTGCAGCAGTCTTGAGTTCATACATTGTTGCCACTTGAGAGCAAATTGCTGGAGAGTCATGTTTCCCCCAAGTGTTTGCTAAGGTCAGGGCTGTTCCCCTTCATGTAATTATCTCATCTACAGTCCATTTTCAGATTCCATCAGTCATCACAATAATGTTCCCCGTGCTCCTTCTCCCTGATCCTGGATCCAGGTGTCTTGAGTCTGAATCCCTAGTCCTGAAGTTGCATTAACCTCATTCCCCTCTTCCCTGATTCTGTGTGTGTATGTGTGTGTGTGTGTGTGCGTGTGTGCGTGTGCGTGTGCGTGCGCGCGCACACACTTGTGCATGTGCTGGCACCTGAATATTAGCCTTGCATTCTTTTTTTGCCAGTCGTGGGGCCTGAACTCTGGGCTTGGGTGCTGTCCCTTAGCTCTTCATCTCAAAGCTAGCACTCTACCACTTGAGCTACAATGCCACTTTTGGCTTTTTCTGTTTATGTGGTGCTGAGGAATCGAACCCATGGCCTCATACATGCAAGCAAGGCAAGCATTCTACCACTGAGCCACCTTCCTAGCCCGAGCCTTGCATTCTTGCTGGACTTTTTTATTCTGCTTTATCACTTGAGCCATACTTCCAGTTCTTGCTCTTCGATGGTTAATTGGAGCTGTCTGTCCTGGCTCGCTTTAGACCGTGATCCTGAGCTCTCAGCTTCCTGAGTGGCTGCTAAGACTTATACTTGATTTCCAGTTCCACTTCTCCACCTTTTGCAGGGAATGTTTTCTCAAACATGCCCCTTGAGAGAGTTACTGCCGACCCTGGCTTCCAGTTCTGGTGCCCACGGGCGGGTTTCCGTTGTCTGTACTTTCTCTTGTTTCTTGGTCGGCGCTGGGTGTCTTGCTGGTCGGTGAAGAGGTTCTAGGTGATGGGATTTCCTTCAAGAGGACCTGATTCTTTCTTTTCTTCTGATTGGCAGAGTACCCTAACAAGGCTGGCGTGCTCCTGGTTTGTTCCCTTGGCTCTGTGAGGCAGCCCAGCAGCCTCTCCATCAGGCCCTGAGAACCTGGCCCACACCAAGCCCCGAGCTCACACCCTTGCTGCCATCTTTTTCAGATCGGCTGGTTTCCTTCAACTTATGTGGAAGAGGAGGGCGTCCAGTGACGGCAGGAGCGGGGACAGGACTCGTGGATCTTCTTGGGAGAGTCTCTCCAGCTCTGAAGTTCCTCCCTGGCTCTTCCGTGGCTCCCAGAGGAAATGCCCACCTGCCTTCTGGTTGTCACCAGCCTTCAGGGACAGGGAGGGTGCTTTCCCATCACTTGGCCTGGGTGGCCTGTCCCTGGGGACCCTCCTTGTACATAGAGGAAAGCTGTGCTGGCCCCCGCCCCACCTCAAGGACAGGGGCTTCAGCAGCAGCACCAGCCGCCCGAGGGCGACAGCCACGGCGTGACCCTCAGGCTGAGATGGTGCTCAGGAGCCTAGGGCTCAACAGCTGGTGTTCCTCGGAAGGCTGGGGGCAGCGGAGGGGCTGCCCCACCCAGTCGGCTCAGGCACTGGACTCAGCCGCCTGTCTTCTCTGCTGCTTTTGAGGGATCTGGGCCTTGGGGGCAGATGGGGCCAGTGTTAGGCCTCTTGCTGTAGTTCCGGCTCACTGGGGCAGCGCTGGGGTGTGGAGGAGAGCCCGTGGGTCCAGGTCTCGCTGCGTCCCAGGCAGGGCTGTCCCTCACCCCCTCGTGGCCCTTTGCGTAGCCCCTCTCCCGGCCCGGCCCTCCTTCCTGATCCATGGTACCTGCTCCTTGTTCACGGGGCCCCTCCTAAACCCCCGAACGTCTGTCCTGCTGCAGGGACATGTCCTCCGGAGAGCCTGAGCTCGCAGGGCACCCCTCCGCTTGCCCGCCTCCCTCTTCAGGGGTCCCCCGGGGGGTGGGGATTTCTTTCATTTGCACGAGAGATTTCGGTCTCCCAGGGACTCCTGCAGTGCGCAAGCTGAGCCTGTGGCCAACCTGAAATAAGTGCTCTTGGGGTGCCTCCGCCCCGTCCCCTCGCCCTGCTCATGTCTTCTGGCCTTTGACCTCAGACTGGCTTGGCCAGGCCCTATTTTCTGTACGCTGACGTGGCATAGACCCTAGCCACCCTGTCTCCCCGAGACAGGGTCCCCTTCTCCCTAGGGCCAGCTGTCCAACCCTGGCTGGGAAGGGGTAGCTGTGCTGAAGGGTGCACTGTGCTGGCCGAGGTCGGCCTTGTGGTCTCCAGCTTCCGCCTGCAGAGGTGTGGGGAGGGAGTGGGGAGGGTAGAGGAGCTAGGAGCTGGGCAGGGTCCTGCAAAGGCCCCCAAGTAAGGAGAAACAGGGAGCCCCAGTGGGTGGAGGGTTGGCCTGGAGGAGGAGGCACTCAGCCGTCGTGAGTTGGGCGCACCCAGCACTTTGCACAGGCCCTTCGCTCAGCCTGCCCAGCCTGGACCCAGGGTGGGGGGGACCCTGGCCCTCTGTGTTGATGCCAGTGTCCTGTGCCAGCCTTGTGCTTGACCCTGGTTTGGGTTTGTTTTGCTGTGTTTTTTGTTTGACCTGTTCGTTTTCTAAGGGGAAGAAAGTCTGTAATTAATTCATCCAAATCTCCCGTTATCTGTGAATAATAAGGAAGAGATTTTATAATAGCAAGCAAATGATGTATATTTTAGTTGGTCTCAAAATGAGTTGTGATTAATGAAAGACACTGGGGAAAAATAATGTAGAACCCTGTTTGTTTGTTTGTTTTTGTGTTGTGTTCAGAAGGTTGTGTTTGCTTTGGTTTGGGTTTTGCACTGTGCTGAGCAGGGTGGCAGCAGTCAGGCCGGGTCACGCGGGGCTGCGGCCCGCAGGAGGGGCCGAGGAGCGAGGCCCGGAGCGCCTGGGAGCATGCCGGAGCCTGCACGTCAGGGAGGTGGGGCCCCATAACCAGTGGATACCCCAGAAATGGAACATTAACTGTACAGTCGCCAGTCGGTTCTTTTCCAGACCACGGTTTTTACTGCAAATAAACCTAAACTCTTTCTTCAAAGTGAGTGGGTTGTTCTGCCTGGGCCCTGGGAATGCCCGCTTCTTCATCCGGGTCCAGCAGCGTCCGCCCTGTGGGGGCCTGGCTTGCCCGCTGGGCCTCTCCTGGCTGGCGCCCCGCGGTAGATTCCCTGTGCGGGACCTCTTCTCCAATTCAAATGCCAGCCCTCACCTCTTAGCATTGGAGATAAAAATTCCACACTCGTGGACTGAGTGATGTGAGATAGAGAAAACCCAAATCATCAGGAATTTGCCTCCCCCCCTCCCCGCCCCTGCTGCCAGGATCCCAGGCTCCGTTCCTGAGCACCCGTCCGTCCCCAGCCAAGGCTGCCAGGGCCTGTGTGACACTGCTGAGTATGCGCTCAACTTCCTGGCTTCAGCCCACCACAGAGCAGCGCCGGCTGCTGCCAGGTCTTCAGCGGTCCCGCCCTCTCATGGCCAAGGGCGCTGCAGGCAGACCCTCCCTGTGGTGGCTGAGGTCTGAGGATCACAGTTTGAAGCCAGCCTGGGCAGGAAAAGGCCAAGAGACTCTTATTTCCAATTAGCCAGCAAAAAGAAGGCATGGTTCTCTGCACATACCCTGTATAATAACAAAACTTAAAACAATAGCATATTGACAAATGCTAAGGGAAAACTCAAAAAATACTTTCAATATATGAATAAAAGATTTACATTTAAAAAAAGAAAATGGCTCAAGTGGTAAAGTGCTGGCTGTGAGAGAGAAAACTGAGTGGGAACACAGGCTCAGAGTTCAGCCCCCAGTACTGGCACGCACACCACCACCACCAATCCCCCAAACTTGAAGAACACTGCTGTACCAGATCTGGCCCAGATCTTGGTAACTGATGTGGGACACAGCCTTGGGACACACCTGGAGGCAGGAGTGGAAGGTAGGGGGCTGGAGAGGGGTAAGGGCGAAGTCGAGGGGATTCGTTGCTGGCCCAGTAGTTATTTTCCCCGGGTTGAACAAAGCATCTCTGTCCTGAACAGTGTTAGTCTCCGTGATAGCATTTTCAAACTCTCCACTTCAGATGTAATTTTCCCAAGTAGTATATTGCAAATAAATCAAACCTGGCTGAATTACAGGCTGTGAAATCACACCCTTGATGGACTGCTGTCTCCTGTGGGTGGTGGGAGGGAGAGCGGGGGGGGGGGGCAGGGCAGGGGATGGCAGCCAGAAAGCTCAACCAGTCTGGTCTCTTCTTGGAACAAGACTTCACCTTGTCTGCTTCAGTTACAAGGTGACATTTATTTATTCTCTTTGTTGATCTCATTCTGCTCCTTTACTTTTTCGAGTAAAACAAAAGCCACGGCTGCCTGGGAGCAGTGCTCACTGGCGCCTCCCTCCGGGCCCACGTGGTCCAACTGCAGCTGGGACATGATGACCCACCCCTCCCTTGATGCCTCAGTTTCCCTGAGTCCTAAGGTTCTGGGTGGTGATCCAGAGCCTGGCCTGTGCCTGCTGAGCCTGGAACCCAGGTCTTGCTCTGGGTCTCCTTTTGTGACTTGTGCAAGACCGTTTTACTTCAGGCCCTGAGGAAGGAGAAGGGGCCACAAAAAGCATGACTCTCTCTGTCTCTCTTTCTCTCTCTCTGTGTGTGTATGTGTTGGGGCTTGAGCTTAGTCACTGTCCCTTAGCTTTATCGCTCAAGGCTAGTGCTCTACCACTTGAGCTACAGCTCCACTTCCAGCTAATTGGAGATGAAAGACTCGCAGACTTCCCTGCCCGGGCTGGTTATGAACTGTGGTCCTTAGATCTCAAGCTCCTGAGTAGCACAGATTCCACCAGCACCCAGGGAGATGGATATTCTTAATGGACACAGTGAATGCGTGGATGTAGAGTGGTGGCTCAGGCCTGTGATCCCAGCTGCTCAGGAGGTGGAGACCGGAAGGATCTTGGTTCAAAGCCAGCCTAAGCAAAAATTTTACAAGCTCCATCCCAACCAGCAGTGACAGACCGAGGAGCAGTACTAGAGTGCCACGAGGGCCATCACTTGGGTGCGTGGCTGGCCAGGGCCATGGGCCTGGGGCAGCCCCTCCCCCTGAGCATAGTCCCCATGTGCAGCTCTGTTTTCTTCATGGGGAGAGTGCCATAGGAAGTTTCAGAGCTACTAGGAAGCGGACACTGCAGGGTCACAATCCCTTCTCAGGTGGGGAAACTGAGTCTGGACAACACAGCTGCAGCTGGGATGTGATGAGGACCGACCCTGTACCTTGATGCTGCAGTTTCCCCATTTCCCTCAGTCCTAGGGCTGTGGGTGGGACTAGTGTCCTCAGCACCCAGGGGAGGGATGGACCTGCCACACCCCCCGCCAGCAGCTGCCAGAGCCCGGAGCCCCGCCCCAGACCACACCCCCGACCGGCAGCGCACTAGAGCCTGGAGCCACGCCCCAGACCACACTCGGGCCCCCAGCACACCCCAGAGCCCGGAACCATGCCCCACGACCACAACCCGGCCAGCAGCGACCCTCAGAGTCCTGAGCCATGCCTCCCCCCCCCCACGTCCACCAGAGCCCAGAGCCACGCCCCTACCACGCCCGACCAGTAGAGCACCAGAGCCGAGCCACACCCCCTACCACATCCCCTGACCAGCAGCGAGCCATAAAGCTCATAGCCATGCTCCCCCCCCCCCAAGCAGCCACCACAGAGCCCAGATCGATCACCACCACCTCCCCTCGTCCAAAGTTCAGGCGATGGCTCTGCCCTCTTGGTGAGTGATCACTTGGCAGATGTCCTCAGAGCATGTGGTCAGGAGGGTCTGGGCTGCCTGGCTGCTGCTCAGGGGTTATGGTCACCACGGTGTCCCCCCCACCCCCGCCCCCAACACTGCCAGGACGAGGACGTTGAGGGCGATGTGGATCGGACCCAACCTCACCCCACAAACCTGCCCTTCTCCCGGTCCAGTAACTGAGCCCAGGCGCCAGCCAGGCCACTCTCTCCCTGTCCAAGACTGCAAACTACCCAGGGTAGCCTTGAACTGGTGGAGGCCGGGACTCAGATCTCTCTACTTTGAGATAGACTCTGAAAACAGTGGTAGTCACCACCTCAGCCCAGACTGCTTCCACTGGGGTGCTCCTGTGTCAGCCTCCGCTGGGGCGCCCTGTATCAGCCTCCACTGGGGTGCTCCTGTGCCAGCCTCCACTGGGGTGCTCCTGTGTCAGCCTCCGCTGGGGTGCTCCTGTGTCAGCCTCCGCTGGGGTGCTCCTGTGCCAGCCTCCGCTGGGGTGCTCCTGTGTCAGCCTCCACTGGGGTGCTCCTGTGTCAGCCTCCGCTGGGGCGCCCTGTGTCAGCCTCCGCTGGGGCCTCCTGTGTCAGCCTCCGCTGGGGCTTCCTGTGTCAGCCTCTGCTGGTGTGTTCCTGTGTCAGCCTCCGCTGGGGCGCCCTTGTCAGCCTCTGCTGGGGTGCTCCTGTGCCAACCTCCACTGGGGTGCCCTGTGCCAACCTCCACTGGGGTGCCCTGTGCCCCTAGCTCCAAGTGGTCCACCGTGCAGCTAGCCTCGGGGGTCCTCTGGCTTTGCGTCCTGCCCCAGGCCTCTCGAGGGCAGGGACTCAGGTGGCTCAGTGCTTTGTGTTCAGTCGATGTGCAGGACAGACAGGACGGCAGCAGGACAGCCGGCCAGTGTTGGTGTAGATAAGAGCGCCGTGATTTGACAGTTCATGCCAGCAGTGTGGGCACTGGGGGCCCTCCAGGGTCAGCTGGACACTGCTGCAGGATTAGTGGGCAGCAAAACCCCCACTCCTCTGACCCCACGGGCAGAGGGGGGCGGGGAGGGGGCGGGGGTCCCTCTGAGGCCAGCACCTCCAGATTCTTGCCGCACCTGTACTGACTTGGACCTGACTTCCCCAGAGCACCCAATCCTGCCTGGAGGGGCGGCGCCTGACTGGCCTCTCCAGCAGCCATCTTGACTTCCCCATTGGAAGGCCTGTGGCGGGCGGGAACTCCAGCCAGGTGACTGACAGACAGGAGCCCGTGGCTCCCTTCCTTAGACACATTGCCAGGTCCTCTGTGTGGTCTCAGGTGAGCCAGCTGCACGCTCCACGACTCCCTGCCCAGGGAGCCTAGCTGGAGGCGCAGGGGCCCACGCAGAGAGGTTCAGAGCCTGGAGAGCTGGGCAGGCACAAGCAGGCAGGGCGCTGGGCTCTGGGGGCCTTCCGGAACCCCCATGAAAGAGTTAGTAAACAGAGCCCGCCAGCTTGCTCTGGGTGCTGGGCTCAGGGACTCAGCCGGGCTGGGTCAGCAGCCAGCTGGAGGAGCAGCCCACTGGGCAGCTGCCCAGCTGGACTGGGGGGGTGGAGCTGGGGTGGCCCCGCCCACATGGGGGCAGGCACTCTGGGCTGGCAGACAGCCGCTGTCTTGGAGTTCTTAAGAGGCCTACTTGGGAAAGAAGGAGGTGATACTGGCTCACTGGCCGGGCACTGGCCTGGGGAGCTGCCTGCTGTACCCCCGGGGAGGGGCAGAGCCTTGCCTCTGCCGGGGGCGCTGGCTCTGGCTGGGTTCTTTGTCTGCCTCTGCGGTGGGGAAGCAGTGTGGGAGGGCAGAGCCACCGGCCAGTGTTTGAGGAGGGCTATGGCAGATGCTGGCCTGGCTTGGGTCCCTCCACCCTCCTGCAGGCCCTGCTTCTCAGAGAGGCTGAGTTGCGGCCCAAGGTCTTGGTCCTGAGACTAGGCTCTGCCCCTCTGCCCTGGCCCGGGGCCCAGAAGCTCAGTGCAGAATGGGGAGAGCTGGGGGCGGGGGTCAGGTTAATGTTGAAGCCGCAGGCCAGGGCCCCGGGCGGCCCTGCCCCCATCCCGACTGGCTGGCAGGCCACACAGGGCACATGGCAGGCCCAAGGAAGGGAGGGGGCTCCGCCCACAGGTGTGCAATGCCCCACTCAGGGGCAGTGCCTGACTGGCCTTGGACAGCCGTCCCTGGGACCATGACCTGCACTTTACCCCTGTAGGAGACCGTTCTTGGAAGCTTCTGGAAGCCTAAGGACCTCCAAGGACCAGAGGTATGCATAGACACCTACAGAGGGGGAGTTCTACCCCTTCCCCCCCACAGCCCCAGTCCTGAGCTACACTGCTGGCCGGAGGCAGGCCGACAGCTGGGAGGCTGTGGGGTAGAGGGGAAGCCACAGAGACGCAAAGCCGAGGGGTGGCTCTGCAGCCCTCTCTCCTTCCCACCGGAAGGAGCGGCTCCTGCAACTCTCCTTCGGGTGGAGCTCTGTGGCACATTTTTCTTGTTATTACCAAACTTTTCTAGCTGGAGAGCTCTGGGAGGGCTTCCTGGAGGAGGAGGAGGAGGAGGAAGGAGACTCCTGAACGGAGTTCTGGGAGTCTGGAAGGCCCTGTGGGGGTGGGTCTGGATCCCGCAGCCTCCCTCTGCTTGGGCCTTGGGAAGCACTGGGGGAGACATGGCTTCTCTGGGGGCTCCTGGGGGTGGGGGGAGCTCGCATCCCATCTGGGCTGCTGCTAACACCTGTGCTGCTGCCTCCCTCCACCGGCTCTCCCTGCACGCAGCTCCCCTGCCCCACCCCTGCCTCTCCTCCTCGTCCATCACCTGCAGCTCCAGTTTCTCCCCAGCTCAGCCCAAGGGCGGGCCTTCCACTCTTAGGCAGCTTCTGGGGCCTGTCAAAGCCATGGAGGCCTCCTTACTCCGGCCTCCCCAACTCCCCTGTCATATCTCTGGGTCCTGAGTGTCTGTCTTTTTTTTTTTTTTTTGCCAGTCATGGGGTTTGAACTCTGGGTCTGGGCGCTGTTCCTCAGCTCTTCAGCTCAAGGCAAGCGCTCTACCACTTGAGCCACCACTTCCGGTTTTCTGGTGTTAATTGTAGATAAGAGTCTCACAGACTTTCCTGCACTGGCTGGCTTTGACCTTGATCCTCAGATCTCAGCCGCCTGAGTAGCTAGGATTACAGGTGCTGGCCACCGGTGCCCTGACTTTTTCTTTTAATTTTTTTAAATTTTAATTTTTTGTGAGCATACTGCACAGAGGGGTTACAATTACATGGGCAAGATAATGAGTACATTTCTTATTAAGCATTGCAGCCTCCTCCTTTGTTTACCCTTCATATCCCTTCTCAGCCTCCCCCCCACACCCAATCCTCCTCCCCCTCCCCCCCACACCAAAGTTGTAAAGTTCATTTTCGACATGACAACTTGTACTTCTCATTGTTGCAACAGGTCCACCTGTATCCTTAAACGACTTGTTTTTCCCCATCTCCTCCACAAATTATACCAACATCAAATATGGTGAAAGCAGGAGTTATACTGTGGGGGAAGGACATACAAAACAACAAAGAAATAATCTTATAAATGCATTAGAAACAAATGCATGAAAGAAAAAAACATTTAAATACATATCTAAGGGTTCATTTTCCTAACATCACATTCTTTTAATTTTTTTTAAATTTCATACATTTTAATTTCTCGCGTGTGCTGATACCAGGTCTTGAGCTCAGTCTTGGGCACTGTCCTTTAGCTTTTTCACTCAAGGATGGCCCTCTACCACTTGAGCCACACCGCCACACCTCTTCTTTTTTGGGTCCTGAGTGTCTGCGTGAGAGAGGCCCCTTCTTGTTTCCCTCCCTCCCTAGATAACCTGACTCCTCAGGCCATTTGAGATGTTTGCCAACCACATTAGCTCTCTCCTTTCTGTTACTCTTGTGGCCCCAACATTCTCTCCCTGCCAGAGCAGCCTCCTCTGGGGTTAGCTAGAGCTGCTATAGTCCCAGGCCCTTAATACACACTAGATGGATGGATGAGTAGATAGACGGATACATGGATGGATGATGGGTATGTGGATGTATAGGTGGATGAGCAGATCGATGGACAGATGGATGATGGAGGGATAGGGGTATGGATGATGGATGGGTGGGTTGATGGACAGGTGGGTGAATGGATGGATAGATGATGGCTGATTAGATAGATGAATGTATGAGTAATGAGCAGATGACTGGATGAATGAATGGATGAAAGATGGATGGATGAAGCATGGATGATGCATGGATGGGTAGATGAATGAATGGATAGATAGGTTGATGGGTAGATGGATGGGTAAATGAATGGATAGATGATAAGTGAATGAATGGATGGATAGATGGGTGATGGATGGTTGGATGGATGGCTGGTGGATGGTTGGGTGATGGACAGATGTTTAGATGGATGGATAACGGATGGGTGGTAGATGAATGGATGGCTAGATGGATGGATGGATAGTTGGATGAATGGGTGGATGGGTAGTTGGATGAATGGGTGAATGGATAGATGGATAGGCTGGATGGTTGGATGGATGGGTAGATGAATGGATGAGTGATGGATAGGTGGATGATGGATGGTTGAATGAATGGGTAGATGGACGGTTGGATGATGGATAGATAATGGATGGACAGTAGATGAATAAATGGACAGATAGGTTGAGTGGATGAATGGATGCTGGGTGGATGCTGGATTGGAGCTGAGTGGATGGACAGGTGGAAGGGTGGGTGGGTTTCTGGATGGATGAACACACGCCATGCAAAGGCCCCAGGAGGGGCCTTGGCCTTGGCCTTGGTGTGTGTGGGGGAACACCATGGGGGCCTTGGAGACTGGGCCACCCTAGCCCTCGTCCTTGTTGGCCCTGCTATAACCCAGCCTAGCTTTGTCCCCAGATAACAGGTGCTGAAGCCGGAGTCCTCATGGCCTCACTGAGCCGAGCCCTGCGTTTGGCCACCACCTGCCGTGGAGGGAGAGCTGCCCGGGGCCTGGGTCCGAGGCCCCTCTCCAGCGTGGCCAATCCCCAGGCAGAGAAGAGTGTGCCCTATCAGCGGACCCTGAAGGAGGCCCCGGGCCCCTCGGAGGTGGCCCGAGGACCCAGCCAGCCCCTGCCCAGCTCCGCCAACGTGGTCCTCATTGGTGGCGGCAGCTTGGGCTGCCAAACCCTGTACCACCTGGCCAAGCTGGGCGTGAGTGGGGTGGTGCTGCTGGAGCGAGAGCGTGTCACGTCTGGGACCACCTGGCACACAGCAGGTGCGGGCTGGGGTGGTGGTGAGGGGGCGAGCGAGGGAGCACTCTACAGCACTGTCTCCCCAGGGACTGATGGCACCTGTTCCCGGGCCAGGTCTGCTGTGGCAGCTGCGGCCCAGCGATGTGGAGGTGGAGCTCCTGGCCCACACTAGGCGGGTGGTGAGCCGTGAGCTGGAGGAGGAGACCGGGCTGCACACGGGCTGGATCGAGAACGGGGGTCTTTTCATCGCGTCTAACCGGCAGCGCTTGGATGAATACAAAAGGCTCATGTCGGTGAGGACAGCCCCGGTGGGGGGTGGGGCACTCAGAGGACAGACCAGCTCACTTTTTTTTTGGTGCCAGTTCTGAGGCTTGGACTCTCGGCCTGGGTACTGTCCTTTAGCTTTTTCACTCAAGGCGAGCGCTCTACTGCTTGAGCCACAGCACCACTTCCGGCTTTCTGGTGGTTCATTGGAGATAAGAGTCTCATGGACTTTTCTGCCTGGGCTGACTTGGAACTGTGATCTCCAGATCTCAGCCTCCTGAGTAGCGAGCCCACACTTGATTCATAATTCCTGGAGAATGGCTCAATTCATCTCCAGCTGGGAGGAGTCTGTGAGTTGGGCCAACCCCACACTTGACTGGATGCCCTTGGGCCAATCAAATGCAAGGGTGTGGCCTGTCCACCAGGATCTCCAGAGCCCAGGCCCATCTTCCCTTTCTTGGAGGAGCTGGGCTGCCTGACCGGGAAACCCAATCCTCAGGTCACAAATAAAAGACTGTGAAGCTAATTTTCATTTTTTAAAATGTATATAGTTGTTTGTACCCAGGTACTGTTCTAAGGCATGTGTGTGTGTGTGTGTGTGTGTGTGCGTGTTCACACCTCCAGTTCTGGCTTTTTGCGGGTTAGTGGAGATACGAGTTTCCTGGCCTTCACTGCTTGAGGTGGTTCAAACTCAGCTCCTCAGATTACAGGGGTGAGCCCTGCCTCGGCTCTGGTCTAAGTCCTTCATCAGGACTCTCACTCTATCTCTGGGCGTGGGCTTTAAGCAACTTGCACCAGGCTGTGGAGCTGGCCTGTGTTTGAGCCAGATGGAAGCGTGGCCGTGGAGCCGTTCCTGCCCGTGCACCTGCCTTCCACCTCGTGCTGGCCCAGGCTCAGCGTGGGAGGGGGTTGCGGTGCGGAGCAGCCTGGAGTCCTGCTCCTCACTGGCTCAGTCTCCTCTGGACCGTTCAGCTGGGCAAGGCCTACGGCGTGGAGGCCCATGTGCTGAGCCCAGCGGAGACCAAGGCGCTGTACCCCCTGATGAACGTGGACGACCTCTACGGGACCCTGTATGTACCGCACGACGGCACCATGGACCCCGCTGGCACCTGTACCACTCTCACCAGGGCGGCGGCTGCCCGAGGAGCACAGGTACCCTGGCCTGCGGCCGCCAGCTCTGGGGCCCCCGATCAGCCCCCTCCGTCCTGCCCAAGGTCCCCAGAGCAGAGGCCAAAACATTTCTGGAGCTGCCGTATGACCCGGGACAGTAAGGGTCTCGGGTCCAGTTCAGTTCAGGGCAGGCTGTGTTTATTCTCAAATGCCTCCGCTCTCTCCAGGGTCTGCTCAGCTGCACCAGTGGGGGGAGGGGTGGGGTGCCCTCTGGTCCCCTCTTATTGTTTATGTTTTAGAGTGTTGGATTTAAACTCTGGGATTTGTACTTGCTAGGTAAGGGCCTCTACTACTTGAGCCGTGCCCTTCACATTTTTTGCTTTATCTTTTGGATAGGGTCCCCTGCTTTTGCCTGGGGCTGATGAGGACTGTGGTCCTCCCATTTCTGCTTCTCTTGTAGCTTTGGATAATAAGCTTGCAACACCACACCCAACTCTTACTGATTAAGATGGGTTTTATAAACTTTTTTTCACCCAGGCTGACCACTGGGATCCTCGGGCTTTAGTCTCCTGAATGGTAGGATTACAGACAAGTCAGAAGGCAGCTAATCTCCCTCTTAAACTTATCTTTATTCATCAACCCCATACGTAATTGAAGGAAAAAACTGAAAAGACAAACAAGCAGCAAAGAAATGCAAACCACCCCATAGTAACCACTGTGGAGATTTTAGCATGTTTCTAATCTTTTTTTCTCCCTCCTATGGGGATACATATACATTAGAACCAAGCGGTGCATTGTTTTGTGACTTTTTTTGTCTGTTGTGGGGCTTGAACTCTGGGTCTAGGTCCTGTCCCTGAGCTCTTTAACTTGAGCCACTTGAGCCACTTGAGCCACAGCGCCACTTCCAGTTTTCTAGTGGTTCATTGGAGATAAGAGTCTCTTGGGCTTTCCGGCCTGGGCTGGCTTTGAACTGCAATCCTCAGATCTCAGCCTCCAGAGTAGCTAGGATGACAGGTGTGAGCCACGGGCATGTAGCTTGTTTTGTGGTTTTATTTTTATTGGTTGCTAGGCTGTGGCTCGCAAGCCTGTTTCTATTAACCAGAGGAGCCTTCCTTAAATGAAGAAAAGTCAGCTACTTTTCATCTCGTGGTGCTCCTGCCCTCCTGGCTGCAAGGTTTTTAAGTCCAGGGTGGATTTGGTTTTCTGGTTCATTTTCTTGATGACATAAAGGAATGCGATAAAATGAAACAAAACCCCCTGCATCTCCAGGAGGGGCCCGGCAGGGGCAAGAGGTGGACAGGAGCTGCTCCGGAGCCTAGGAGCAGTTCATTTCTCTTGGTCCCAGGTCATCGAACACTGTGCAGTGACTGGCATCCGTGTGCGGACGGATGACTTTGGAGTGCGGCGGGTCTCGGCTGTGGAGACAGAGCATGGCTCCATCGAGACGCCCTGCGTGGTCAACTGTGCAGGTAGGGCCGGCCTTCCTGCTGACTGCGGTGTGCGGTGTATCCTCCCCTCTGCAGGGCTTGGGGAGGGGCTGCAGGGGAGTCCTGGCCAGGCAGAGGGGTCTGCAGAGGCGTTCCATGCCCCTGGGGATGGCAGCTCCCTGGACCAGCAGAGCTGAGTGGCCCGTGCTCTGCCCCTAGGGGTGTGGGCAAGTGCCGTGGGCCGGATGGCTGGAGTCAAGGTCCCGCTGGTGGCCATGCATCATGCCTATGTGGTCACAGAGCGTATCGAAGGAATCCAGGTAGGTGCAGCCCCACATCTGTGCTGGGCAGCGAGGGGGTGCTGGTGGGGTAAGGATTTAGCTCTGGGCCCCAGCTTGGGCACTTACAAGTGGCTTGGCTCTTCCGGGCTCTCTGAGCCTCAGTCTCCCCATCTGTCATAACATTGGATGTTTCTTGGTGGTGTCAGAATTACCTGAAGTAGCCCAGGTGAAATGCTCCTCCCCCTCCCCCCACGCTCCCTCCCCATCTCGTGCACTTTAGGACTTTCCCTTGATATTCAAAGCATAGTCCAAGCCTGGGCAGGACCGTGGCTCAGGGCTCCTGCGTGTGCCCTGAGCTCTGGTTTTAAGAGGGCACCCATGCCTGGTACTCAGAACCTGGCTGGGAGCCCTCTGCTAAGGGAACTTGGGAACTGGTGCACCTGCTGGCACTGGGCCCCGCGCCTGTGCCCTCCCCCCTCCCCCCTCCCCCCCGTCCTGTCCTGCTTCATTCTTCTGTGGTAAGAGCTCCTTTTCCTGCTCCTTTTCACCTGCCATCCTCCCACCCTCCTCCTACCTTTCATCCAGGCCTCCCCTCCTCGCTCCCTCTCTGACGTGCCCCCCTCCCCACTCGGATCTCTCCACTTGTTCCCTTGCCTGTTTTGTTTAGTGTCCTCCCACCCACTCTTCCCTCATTGCCTCCATTCCTCTAACCATACACTGTTCATCTATGTATCTGTCCATTCATCTGTCCATCTCTTCTGTATATCCTTCCTCTACCAATCGACCCGCCTAGCTACCGATGCACCCATCCAACCGCTCGATCACCCATCCACCCATCCATCCACCCACCCACCCATCCACCCACCCATCTGCCTACCTACCCTCCCATCTGTCTGTCCATCTACCCATCCATCCACCCACCCACCCATCCATCTGCCCACCCACCCCCTCACCCATCTGTCTGTCCATCCATCCATCAGTTCATCCCTCTCATCCATTTATCCTCCCTCGCCTATTCCTCTGTCATCCACCCATTTATGAATCTCTATTCAACATTCATCAAACTGGCTTCATGTTTCAGGCCCTACTCTGGGAACCAGGGCTAAAGACCTAGTTCTTGCCAGGTGCCAGTGGTCATACCTGTACTAGCTACTCAGGAGGCTGAGATCTGAGGATCACAGTTCAAAGCCAGCCTGGCAAGAAAGACAAAGAGAGCTTTATCTTTAACCACCAAAAGCCAGAAGTACAGATGTGGCTCAAGTAGTAGAACAACACCTTTGAATGAAAAAGCCAAGGGACAGCACCTATGCCCTGAAGTCAAGCCCAAGTATCAACACACACACACACACACACACACACACACACACACACACACACACACACACACACACACGTTCTTCTGTGAAGCAATTCCATAAGAGCGTGGAGAGGGCTCTGACAAGGAATTCACCTTGACTATGGGGACTCAGGCTCCTGTGCAGGGTGGAGCCTGTACCTTTGACCATACCCGGAGAGGCTTGACTGGCTGCTCTCTGACCAGTTAGATGGGGGTGGGGTCTACCTGTCGGTCACAAGTTCAAGAATGGAGGATGGCACGGACGAGGGGGACCTGAGGGGGGGTGGACATGGACCACAGGCAGTGGTGATCACCGTGGGCGGTCAGGACGGGTGGACATGGACCACAGGCAGTGGTGGTCACCGTGGGCGGTCAGGACGGGTGGACATGGACCACAGGCAGTGGTGGTCACCGTGGGCGGTCAGGATGGGTGGACATGGACCACAGGCAGTGGTGGTCACCGAGGGCAGTCAGGACGGGTGGGAGAGCTGGGCCACTGGGGTGGGGCTTGGGAGAGTGAGAGATGACACGGTTCTTGTTTAGGATCAGGCCCCAGCAACCTGCCAGTGGTAAAAGCCTCATTCTTAGGGGCTGCTACCCCTGCCCTGCAGGAGCCGGGCTTCCCTCAGGAAGCCAGGGGAGAGCCAGGCTGGCTGCTGTGTGGACAGTAGTGGTGGAGAGGGACAGCAGAAACGGCTCATGGGCTCCTTCCCCTGACCGCTGGGCACGCTTTTCTCCCTGCCCCCTTTTCTGGGCACATCGAATGCCCGGCACACATTCACTGTTGGCCCTGACAGCCAGGGGCCATGCGTTGGTTAGGTGTGCTGGATAAAGCACAGGGACGCTGTGACATGGGAGCCAAGGCTTCACACCCCACCTGTCCCCCATTTGTCAAGAGAAGCTGTTCTCCTGGGTGGCCACCAGGGGTTGCCCTTGGACCGCTACAGGAGGGCCAGGCTGAGGCCCATGGAGCATGAGGACAGAGGCTGTATCGGGGAAGGGAGTCTCTGAGGCAGGTCTCCACCAAGTCCATACATGCATGCTTAATTCCTTCTAGTGACCCTTTCTGAGAAGCAGCGGGACTGAGCTGGCCGTCCCCCTCCCGTGAATGCCTAGGTCAGAGCAGATCAGGAATCCTGAGTGGCAGAGCATGGGAAAGAGTCCCCAGCCCCACAGCTGCCATTGCAGGGGACGGGGAACCTGGGTCAGTAGGCAGAGCACCCGTGCCCCTCTGGACGAGGAAGTGTGAAGGCTGTAGGAGCCAGCGTGGGGGACAGGCTGGAATTCTGACCTGCCCTCCCATTGCTGTGCTCTCATTCCTTGGTGACAGACCTCCTCCCCACCCCCCCTCCCCGCTCCGGTCCCCGGCCCTGGCAGGTCTGAGGCTGGAGCCTGTGTGCTACCTAGGCCCCCGGTCTGCAGTGCTCTGGGCCTGCCACCGCGGCTGCAGGATGCTGTCTGCCCCAAGCAGCTACAGGCCAGGACTCCAGGCTCAGGTCATAGTTCCAGGGTGGCCAGGGCCTGGGCCACGCAGGGCTTCCCAGCTTCGGGGAGCCATACTGGTCTTGGGCCCTTGCTGGTTTTCTTCTGTCTCTTTGCTACAGTGCCTTCCCTTCCACGCCTGGATGAAAAGGAGCTGAAACGGGGTGTCTGTGGGGCGGGGGCAGACCCGAGAGCACGGAGCCCCGGAGCTGAAGGCACCCAGTGGGGCTGGGGCGCTGAGCTGAGTACTTGCTGGGAGGAGGCAGCCCAGGGAGCAGGAGGACCCAGCACCTGTGCCTGGCACGGACATGTGGGCTTCCCTGGCCACAGGCGCCCCACCTCCCTCACCAAGCTGCTGCTGGAAATCACGGCAAGGCCACGGTGATGTGCATGTCACTGTGGTGTGCAGGTCACTGTGGTGTGCAGGTCACTGTGGTGTGCAGGTCACTGTGGTGTGCAGGTAACTGGTGTGCAGGTCATTGTGTGGTGTGTGGTGTGTAGGTCATTGTGTAGTGTGAAGGTCACTGTGGTGTGCAGGTCACTGTGGTGTGTAGGTCACTGTGGTGTGTAGGTCATTGTGTGGTGTGCAGGTCATTGTGTGGTGTGTGGTGTGTAGGTCATTGTGTGGTGTGCAGGTCACTGTGGTGTGCAGGTCACTGTGGTGTGCAGGTCACTGTGGTGTGTAGGTCACTGTGGTGTGTTGCATAGTGCATTGTGGTGTGTAGGTGGTGCTCACAGCCTTGGCCCCTGACTCAGAAGGGCCCCTGGGAGCCTCATTCCAGGCCTGTCCCCTTCTAGCCCCGGTGTTCGGTGTCGTCCTCCCCAGGGAGGGCAGGGAGTGCAGATGGCGGTCCTCCTCCAGCGTGCTGGCTTTGTTGCGTGGTGAAGTCAGCAGTCGGCGTTGGGTGTCGTATGGCCACGTGGACACGGTTAGCAAGTCCTCCTCAGCTCGTGCGTTTCCTGGATCCTCCTCTCCCCCAAATCCTTCCCATCTTCAGTCCTCTTCTCAGCCCTAGACCCCTCGGATTCCATGGCTATCTCAATCGGTTTTCCTGTTTCCCACCTCTGGTGTAAATTGAGTCCCCAGATCTGTGGCCTGGCGTTTCCCATTCAGCCTGTGTTTCCAGTGTCTGTACCAGCATGGCATCTCTTTTCATGGCCGTCTAATATTCATACTCTATTGTGTTGATCAACTACATCATGATCATGGACCGGTGGACATTTGTATTGCTCTGAGCACTCATGTGGAAATGGTTGTGTGGACGCGTTCTCATTTCTAGTGTGTACATGGGAGTGGAATTCCTGGATTGTACCGTGACTGTTTAACTTTTCCAAAGAAGCATCAGGCTATGTTCAAGGCAATGGGGCCAGGGACTGCTTCCGCCGGCCACGTGTGAATGCTCTGACCCCCCCCCCACCCCCCCCCTGACCCCCCCCCCAGGCCCCTCGGCCACGTGCCTAAGCCCGTTTGAATCTGGAACCGAGCTGAGGGGACCGGTCTGCTCTCCCCCCTCCTCCCCCACCAGCCACGCAGGAGTGCTCTGCCCCAGCCCACTCAGCAAGGCCTGCTCCTCTCCAGCTTTTTTTTTTTTGCTTTTCCTTTCTGAGCTGTCCTGGGGCCTGAACTCATGTTCTCCTTAGCTTTTTTTGCTCAAGGCTGGTGCTCTACCACTTGAGTCATAAGGCTACTTCCAGCTTTTTGGCAGTTAAAAAGAGGTAAGAGTTTCCCGGACTTTTCTGACGAGGCTGGCTTTGAACTTCAGTCCTAGGATCTCAGCCTCCTGCGTAGTTAGGATTGCAGGTGTGAGCCACTGACGCCTGCCCTCCTCCCCTTTGTTCTCGTGGTGTTTGGGGAAGGACAGGCTTGGCTGGGAGTGGCCTGTCCTCTGCACTCGAGGCCACCGCCCCCGTGCTGTCTTTGGGGTCCTGCAAGGTGGTTTGTAGTCACGTTGGGGCTGTGACTGGGGCAGGCGCAAGGCCTGGCACAGTGCTCAGGGGCCACCGTGTCTCTCTGCTCTGCCCTCCAGAACATGCCGAATGTTCGTGACCACGATGCCTCGGTCTACCTCCGCCTGCAGGGGGACGCCCTGTCTGTGGGTGGCTATGAGGCCAACCCCATCTTTTGGGAGGAGGTAAGACCGGAGGGTTCTGGGGTGGGAATGAGAGGTGCCCGGCCTCCCTGGGCTCCGAAACCTGGCACCTTGACACCTCTGGAGCAGGTTGAGGGGTGTCAGCACTGACATCGGGGCGTCGCAGGCCATGGTCTGCCCTCCTCTCCCCAGGGTCTCTCCACCTGGTATGTGATTGGAGGCCACAGTAGCATAACTCCATGGCTATTTTGAAGTCAAATGCTGTCTATTTTCTGGTAAAGGGTGAGACTTCTATCTTAGTTTCAAACAAACAGATAAGTAATGCACTTAAACATGCTCAAGGTTTTACATTCTTCCTTGGCTTTTTTTTTTTTTGATCAAGAATGGTATTCTACCACTTGAGCCACAGCTCTACTTCTGCCTTTTTCTTGCTGGTAAATTGGAGACAAGAGTCTCTTGGATTTGTCTGCCTAGGCTGGCTTCAAACCTTGATCCTCACATCTCAGCCTCCTGAGTAGCTAGGATTACAGACGTGAGCTACTGGTATCCGACTAAGTAATACAATTTGCTAAAAAAACAAAACAAAACAAAACAAAAAAACCCTTTAAATTGTAACTATAAAGGTGATGTACAGAGGGGTTACAGTAACATAAGTCTTTTTGGACAATGTTAACCCTTCCTTTGCTTTCTTCCAGCATAGATAGTATTTAAAATTGTGATATGAGATTTGTTTTTCTATTTTTTGTCAGTGGTGGGGCTTAAACTCAAAGCCTGGATACTGTCCTAGAGCTCTTTTTGCTCAGGGACAGTGCTCTATCATTTTGATCCACAAATCCACTTCCAATTTTTAAGTGGTCCATTGGAGATAAGAGTCTTACAGGGACTTTCCTGTCTGGGCTGGCTTCAAACTGAGATCCTCATATATCAGCCTCCTGAGTAGCTAGTGTTATAGCCATGAGCTACTGGCACCCAGCTTTGATAAGAGATTCATAAGGCCCTGGATTCAATCCCTAGTGCCCCGAACAAATAACCAAGTAGGTAAGTAAGTAAATACCATGAGACTAGCTAGGATGAACATAGAAAGAAGCAAAGGTCCAAGAAAAGAAGAGCAGATACGTTCCAGTATCAAGATGTTGGGAAGATGAGGGAGAGTTGGCAAAGGATAGTGAGATAGAGCAATTGGAAAGGAGTAAGTGCAGTGTCCTGGCACCCACATTAAGAAAGAAAAAAAATGACTGTGGGGAAGATGCTGATGAATGTGACTGAGATTGATTGTTACCAACATGTCACCAACATGTTAGCATGGATACAAGCAGTTTTGGTGGAGTAGTTAGGATGAAAACTGGATAAGAATAGAAGAGAAATTCGAGACCTTTAAGTATTCTAAGAATACTTTTGGGGGCTGGGAATGTGGCCCAGTGATAGAGTGCTTGTCTAGCATGCATGAAGCCTTGGGTTCGATTCCTCAGTACAACATACACAGAAAACACTGGAAGAGGTGCTGTGGCTCAAGTGGTACAGTGCTAGCCTTAAGCTAAAGAAGCTCAGGGACAGTGCCCAAGCCCAAAGTTCAAGCCCTTGGACTGGCCAAAAAGAATACTTTTGGAGCTTGTTCCGGTGGCTCATGCCTATAATCTTAGCTACTCAGAGGCAGGGCTGGCAGGGCTGGCTGGGGACACATTCCTGCTCTGCCCTTATAGGTGTCAAACAAATTTGCCTTTGGCCTCTTTGACCTGGACTGGGACGTGTTCAGCCAGCACGTCGAAGGTGCCATCCACCGCGTCCCGGTGCTGGGGACGACAGGGATCAAGTCCACGGTCTGCGGCCCGGGTGAGTGGAAAGGCTGAGGTAGGGGTATGCGGCGTTCGGGTCCCCAGGTGATACCCACTGGTGGTGGGCCTCTTCCTGGGGTGGCCTGGGGCTGACCCTGAGCTTGCACCGTCACCCAGCCCCATCTCTCCGGCATTGCCGTGATCTTTCTCTGCTGCCCAGATGCCCAGGCCTGGCACAGGCAGGGGTTTGCTCTGGCCCTTGGCCGCCAAAACATCATCCTGCATGTGCAGTCCCCAGCCAGGGCTCTAGGTCCCAGACTCGACTCACCCCTGGCATTTGGGGTTTTATTTGTAGAATGGGGATGAGCTACCCTGTTGCTGTGGCCTGAGGGTCAGGGAGAAGGCCGGAAGGGCTCGGGCCTTTCTGACGTGATGCGTATGGTGTGGCACCCAGCCCTGCCCCCATGGTCCCTGCTGGCTTTGCCACGCCTCAGCCTCCATCCTCCGTGACTCCAGCCGTCCACAGGGCCAGAGACCAGCCCCATGCAGCCAGCTTCTTGGCCAGGGGTTCTGAACCCCAGGCTCTCTGGGCTGGCTCCTGGGAAGCTGCAGCAGAAGGGTGGGCTCGGCCTCCAGCTCTCCACCAGGGGCTCTGTCCTGACTCTGGGGTCAGGGTCAGGGGTCGAGGCCACCAGCTGGGGTCCCGGGTGGCGCTGGGGAAGCAGGAGGCCATTCCTGACCTTGGGGGCCAACGTGAGGCATGTGAGGCCCGGCAGGACTCTTCTGAGCTGGGGGCAGCCCAGCGGGCAGCCACCCGACACCCGTGAGGCAGCATCCGTCCACACTGCGTTTTCCCTGATGAAGGGCAGCTTATCTATGCCCAGGATGGCCGGGCACTCAGGCCAGGGCTCCAACCCCAGCGAAAGGACACAGGGCGGACTGTCTAGAGGAGGAAGGGAGTCAGTGCTATGCCAGGCTGGGGGTATGTGTGGGGCGGGGCCGGCAGCGGGTGGGTAGAGCAGAGCAGTGACCCCATGGCGACCTCATAGAATCGCGTGGGAATGCCACCTTCCCCCTGTAGGGGGAGCCCCAGACCTCCAGTTAGAGAGACAAGAACAGAAAGACAGTGTTATGCAAAAAGAAATTCTGTCCCCGCCAGACCCCAGTGGCTCATGCCTGTCACCCCCCTAGTTGCCCAGGAGACCAGGATCTGAGGACTGTGTTTCAAAGACAGCCTGGGCAGAAAAGTACTTGGAACACTTTCCCTCCACTCAGCCAGTAAACAGCTGAGAGTAAGGTATGGCTGAAGTGGTAGAGCACTGGCCAGGGCCTAGGTCCTGAGTTCTCAGACCCTGCCCAGGTCTGGGAGCCCCGGGGTTGCCATCCGTGGAGTGGGTGACAGGCATCTCCTTACAGGAGCTGTCAGAAGACGAGAAGCCACAGGTGGGGTCAAGCTGGGGGCAGACCAGCCACCTGCAGTGAGCACTGGGGCGGTGGGGGGACAGTGAGGAGCCCAGGCAGCCGGCCGGCGGCCTCGCACAGAGGGGAGGGAGGGGTCCGACGTGGGGGGCGCCGTGGCCCTGGAGTCCAGCCTCCCTGTTCTGGAATACTTGGAGTTCCTTCCTGCGCAGGTGCCAGCCCGGCCTGCGCTGGTGTGTGTGGCTCTGGGGAAGGAGGAGGTGTGAGGCCCGGGGGGAGGGCAGAGTGAGCTGGGTGCTGATGGGCACCGCAGGGGGGGGAGGGGAGGGCGCCGTGACTCATGGTCCCCGGGGCTCGCGGGGACTGACAGCGAGGAGCAAAGGAAGAGTCCCAGGGGCTTGAAATCCACCCCCCCCCCACCAGCGGTTCTCTTATTTTAATTAGCCTGGAAGCTCTCACTCTCCCACAGGCTCTATTTTGGGGGTGATGGTGTACATGAGGACATTGTGTCTCATCCCGCGGTGAGGGAGGTTTGGAGATTTGCTCTGGGTTTGAACCCTCCAGGGAAGGACAGGGAAGCCTCAGGTCTGATGTAGGGGGAGGCTTGGGTGGCTGAGGTCACAGGCAAGCTGGGGGTCAGGACCGAGGCGACGCTGCCTTCCCGCTGGACCTCACTTGTCTGACTAGCTCATCCCATCGAGATGGCTGCCCCAGCCTCTGTCCTTGGCCTCATGGGACCTCAGCGGGTCCCCAGACCCCCCCGGAGGGGGACGGGCTGGCCCTCCCTGGCATCTTCACTGGGAGACAACGATCGACTCCCACCTGGGCGCCCGCTGGGCCCTGTCCCCTCTTTGGCTTGCCAGGTGGATGGTGCAGTTTGTCCTGGCTGATATTTGTCCAGTCCCCACAGGTTCTTCAGCCAAGCTCAAGTGACACATGTCCATCCAGCCTGGGCTTCACGTCCCCCGCAGTGCTCCCCTGAACACGGACTCCTCCCAAAGCACGCACGAGACACTGCACCACCAGAAGCACTGCGTGCAGTGTGCGCACGCTCGGCGGAATGTTGAAATACTACTTCATATCTTTGTGTGTGTGTGTGTGTGTGTGTGTGTGTGTGCATGTGTGCACATGCATGTTCAAGTCCTAGGTCTTGAACTCAGGGCCTGGGTGCTGTCCCTTAGCTTTTTTGGCACAAGGCTAAGTGCTCTACCACTCGAACCGCAGCTCCATTACGGTTCTTTGGTGGTTCATTGGTGATGAGTCCTGCCCAAGCTGGCTTTGAACCTCAGCCCTCAGATCTCAGCCTCCTGAGTAGCTAGGATGACAGGCCTGCAGCATGGTCCCTGACTTCTTGTGTCCTTTCGCTGAACTTGTTGGGACTCATTTCCTGTGAACTGATGTGACTTCTGGTTGGGGTTTGGGACCAGTACCTGGGCACACACACCCATCTGAGTCCATCTGAGGACAAGCTGCCCTGTCCAGTCGGCCTGCCTCGACCACCATGTTATCCTGGTTTCACATGTGTGGAAACGAAGGCACCGAGGTCCTGTGTTGGGTCTCACAGGTTGGAAGGGTATAGAGCAGGGAGGAGCCTGGCCTCCATTTGTTTGATCCAAGTGTAGCTCTTCATAATTGGGTCCCTGGTCTCTTACCCGTGCGCTGGGGTCTGTGGCCCACTGGCTGCAGAAGGAGAAGGCTTCTCCTGAGAAATTTATGATCATTCTTTCATTCATTCATTCCACAAACATTTATCCCCGCTGGAGCGGGGCTAAAGAGAAGAGGAGTTCCCAGGTCCCTGCCCCTCCCTGCTGCCTTGGGGACCCCATCCTAAGTCCCTGTGAGCTGGAGGGAGGCTCAGGTCTCCCTGTCCCGTCCCTTTCAGAATCCTTCACGCCTGACCACAAACCCCTGATGGGGGAGGCGCCTGAGCTCCGAGGCTTCTTCCTGGGCTGTGGCTTCAACAGTGCTGGTGAGTGGGGTCCCCGGGACTGGGGCTGGGGTCCCAGGGAGGGGGGCTGACTGTAGTCCCGTACTTCTCCTGGCAGGAATGATGCTGGGCGGGGGCTGTGGGCAGGAGCTGGCTCACTGGATCATCCACGGGCGCCCAGAGAAGGACATGTACAGCTACGACATCAGGCAAGTGTGTCCTGGAGCCCAAGGGCAGGGCTGGCCGCGCACGGCGCAGGGCTGGCCACGCACGGGGCAGGGCTGGCCGCGCACGGGGCAGGGCTGGCCGCGCACGGGGCAGGGCAGGGCTGGCCGTGCACAGTGCAGGGCTGGCCGTGCACAGTGCAGGGCTGGCCGCGCACGGGGCAGGGCTGGCCGCACACGGCGCAGGGCGTGGCTGGGGGGCTGGGAGGCACTCTGGACACGGCTGAGCCGGGCCTGGACAGGTGTGGACAAGGATCACTGCTCAGGGGCTCCTCCACCTCCTCGGGGCCTTTGAGGGGACAGGACAGGGCCCCCACGGCCAGTGCCACCTCTGCTCCTAGCTGGTCCCCAAGGCCAGCTGTCCTAGTGGCCCTGGGCACCGCAGGTACTTGGCAGGGCAGCCTGGCAGGCGGCAGCCCCAGGGGACCTCTGCTGGCTCACTGGTGCTGCAGGGAGCAGATGCCGGGGGACTGCCGTCTCTGCTCAGGGCGCCCGGCACCCCTGCGTCTCTTCCTGGCCTGGCGAGGCCATGGCGTCTGTGGGGAGTGGTGTCTGTCCGGCTGAACCCCCAGGATGTCTCCGGCTGACGGCCGTAAAGGCTGCTCTGTGGCTCTGCAGGGCCTGCCTGTGCTTGCGTTCCCCGACTCTCCCCAGAGAGGAATATTCCAGAAATGGTACAGCTGCACGAGGCCTCAGGGAAGGGCCATCCAAACCCTTCCTGCCACACACAGCCGAGCAGAGCCACAGCTTGAAGCCACACAGCTGCGCCACAGGAGCCTTGGGCTGTTGTTGATCCCGGGATCCCGGGGGGTGGGTGTGGCACCAGGCTGGTTGGGGTCACTTGTCCCCATGCAGTATGCCAGGGTCACCCGGGGCGGTCAGTGCTCAGAAGAGGGTCAACCCCATGGCAGAGGGAGACAGAGCGAGGAGATAGAAGGGAAGCGTCAAAAGAAAGGAGAAGATTCAGCACCAATTACACCTCCTTCATGCTTGTCTTCTGCCGGCCTGCCGCCTGCTTATGATCCCAGAAGGTCAGAGGCATGCCTGTCCCCTCATCCTACAAATAGGACAGGGGCTCAGTGAGGGACATGTCCGGGGGGAAAAGCCAGTGTCAGCCGTGGGCCCCCAGCCACGTGCAGGGTCCAGAGCCCACTGGGCACCAGGTGGCATCCGGGCCAGGCCACTGCCTCCCTCTCAGCGGGGGCAGAGGTCACCTGCCCCTCCCCCCAGCCGAGCCTAGAGCAGCCATCTCCTCTGAGCTGCGTTCCTGTGAATGTGGACAGGGGCCTGCCCCAAGGCATGCTGGGTCCCACGCCTAACCACCCAGCCAGGGGCGTGGACCACTCTTGATACCAGGGGAGGTCTTAGGCGTAGCAGGTGGCTCTGGCTTTGGCTCTGTCATTACTCAGGCAGAAACGGCGGCCATGTCCCTCAGCTGAGCTGAGGGCTGCACCCTGCTGGTCCCCACGGGCAGGGGCAGTGTCTACAGCTGTCTGAGGGTGAGAGTGTGTCCCGCCCCACCCCTCCTTGCCCCCTCCTCCGTCCCTCCCCAGGGTAGAATGAGCACTCCCTCCCAGCAGTGTTACAGCAGCCGGGGGCTGCCTGGCAGGTGTCCCTTGGCTCCATGGGCCCGATGGCGAATGACCACAGACTGACCCAACAGCCAAGGGGCCTCGGGCCTCCTTCCCCAGCCTCCTCCTGAGCTGGATACAGGCTTCCTCTCAGGACCCTCGGGGGCCTCATCGCCACCTCTAACAGCTTCCAGTTCAGTGTTGGTTGCTTATGGGACCTGTCTGAGCCTGGGGCCCTCAAACGTGAGCCAGGCCTTGCATAGGCAGCCGTGAGATACCCAGGGGAATCTGCACACGGCTCTCAGCCCTGGTCTGCACTGGGTATGAGATACCCAGGGGAATGTGCACACGGCTCTCAGCCCTGTCTGCACTGGGTAAGCACTCCTGGAGGAGCACTGTTATTCAGGGCCGCTGTCGGCAGCCACGTGCTCTATCAGAACCTCGTGCTGGCTGGAATCGTGCAGTCGGTCAGCCCCAGGGTGGTTCTGACAGGGTTCTCTGGAGAGATGGTGGCTGCTGGGGTCAGAGTGTGAGTGACCCTTGGCTGGGGGAGGGATGGAGAACAGGGACAGGGGAGAGGCTGGGTGGCCTAGTGCTGAGAGTAGCCCTGGCAGGCAGGGGTCCAGCTCCAGCCCCGGGCTCTGCAGATTGGCCTGGACCCAGCAGCTGCGTCCTGGATGCTAGGTGGTCACACTGGTGGGTGGCCTGCCCCCACACAGGCAGGGAGACCAGGCTGCAGGTGTGCCGCAGGCCTCTGGGCTCAGAGACAGCAGGGGCTGCAGGGTGGAGCTGCCCCGCAGGGCTGCACATACAGCCCCGGCTGTGAGTGAGGACTGGTCCTGCAGGTCCTCCCCAGGCACAACAGTGGGCCCCCAGCTAGCCCAGCGGTGCACTCAGCCTCGAAGCTCAGACTCTGGGGGCCCAGCCAAGAAGTCATTAAGGTAATGACCTCCACAATGGCTGGAGGGGAAGGGGGGGAGGGGACAAGAGTTCTACAGGCCGCTGCTCTGAGTGTGTGTGTGTGTGTATGCTCATGCACACACTGATACTGGGCTTGAACTCAGGACTTGGGTGCTGTCCTTTAGTCTTTTTACTCAAGGTTAGTCTTCTACCTCTTAAGTCACACCTCCACTTCTGGCTTTTGGCTGGTTAATTGGAGATAAGAATCTCCTGCCCAGGTTGGCTTTGAACTGGAATCCTCAGTTCAGCCTTCTGAGTCATGAGGATTACAGGCATGAGCCACAGGTGCCTAGCTGTGCTGCTGTCTTTAAACTCTCTCTCTCTCTCTCTCTGCTTCACATACACCCTAGTCTCCCCTAAGATACACCCTAGCTCCCCTAAAGATCCTTTACTCGGCTGGGCGCCAGTGGCTCACACCTGTCATCCTAGCTACTCAGGAGGCTGAGCTCTGAGGATCGAGGTTCAAAGCCAGCCTGGGCAAGGACAGTCAGTGAGACTCATCTTCAATAAACCACCAGAAAACTGGAAGTGGTGCTGTGGTGCAAGTGGTAGAGCACTCATCTTGAGTTGAAGAGCTGAGGGACAGAGCTCAGGCCCAGGGTTCAAGCCCCACGACTGACAAAAAAAAAAAAAATCCTTGGGGCTGGGAAGGTGGCTCAGTGGTAGAGCGCTTGCCTTGCATGCTCAAGGCCCCGGGTTTGATTCCTCAGCACCACATAAGCAAAAAGAAAAAAGCCGGCAGTGGCACTGTGGCTCAAGTGGTAGAGCGCTAGCCTTGAGCTGAAGAGCTGAGGGACAGCGCCCAGGCCCAGAGTTCAGGCGCCACGACCGGACCCCCCCAAAAAAAATCCTTGACACTGACTTCTGCCAGGTGTTGTTGGAGTCCCAAGTCCTCCCTCCCATGGGTCACTCAGAGAAGGGTGACAGGATTAAGGCCAGAGCCCTATTGGGAGTGAGAACCACATTGGGCTGTGGGTTCCCAGTGACCCACTGCCCAGCAGCTATGGTGGAAGGGAATCACAGGTGAGGAGCAGAGGTCACAGGTGAGGAGCAGAGGTCTCAGGTTTGGGATCCATGCTAGAGAGGACTCCAGAGGAGGGCCTGGGGGTGTGGCCTCAGGGGGCCGTGGCACAAACTGGGCTCTGCAGGGGTGTGGCCGGCATTGGGGGCCTGTCCTGCAGGGGTGTGGTCTCCCTTGGGGGTGTGTCCTGCATGGGCGTGGCTGGTGTTGGGGGCGACCCACAGGGGCGTGGTCTCCCGAGGGGCGTGTCCAGTCTAGAGGACGTTTCCCGCAGGGCGTGGCCTTCTCGGGGGCGTGGCCTTCTCGGGGGCGTGGCCTCCCGCAGGGGCGTGGCCGCCCTGAGGCCGTCCCCAGGGCTGACCGGCCTCCTGCTCCCCGTGCCAGGCGCTTCCACCACTCGCTCACCGACCACCCCCGCTGGATCCGGGAGCGCAGCCACGAGTCCTACGCCAAGAACTACTCTGTGGTCTTCCCCCACGACGAGCCGCTGGCGGGGCGCAACATGAGGAGGGACCCGCTGCACGAGGTACCCCAGCCTCCCCTGCCGCGGCCCGCGCTCGCGGGCGCCTGGGGGCGGCGGGGTGACCGAGGCTCTGCGAGCCCTCGGCCTGGCGCTGCCGCCTTGGGTGCCTGTGGGCTGGGCCTGCTGCGCCCTACACCCGGTCGGGCCAGGAGCCAAGGCGCTGTCTCCGCAGGAGCTGCTCGGACAAGGCTGCGTGTTCCAGGAGCGGCAGGGCTGGGAGCGACCCGGATGGTTCAACCCCGGCGGAGCGGCTCCGGTGAGTGCGGCCTGGGGGAGGCTGTGGGCTGGGGCTGGGGCTGGGCTCCACCCAGGCCCGAGGCTCGCCTGCTGAGGCTAGGCATGTGCGAAGCCCAGCGCCCTTGTGGGGGCACAGGCCCGAGCCCCAGCCTCACCGGGCCGGGTTTTCGGGGCTCTGCCTGGGCCGAGCGCCAGCCTGCGCCCTGCGGGAAGGGAGGAAGGGTCCCCAGATGGCAGGAGCAGCCCAGAGCGTGGTCCTGCGTTCCGCGTGTCTTTGGCACCTCCAGCTGTGGGTTTCTGTCAGCAGGAGGCCGGCTGGGAGGAGGAGCACACCTCAGTGTGATCGGCTTATCCACGGCCCCGCGCGGGGAGGGGCCCTCGGGGGTCGACAGGGGAGGCACAGCCAGAGGTGGACCCTGGGCCTGCCCCAGGGTCCCTGAGGACCGGGCACAGAGGCCGGCCTGGGGACCTCCGGCCTTTGATGTTTGTTTTTCTTTTTGCCAATCCTGGGGCTTGAACTCAGGGCCTGGGCCGCTGTCCCTGAGCTTCTTTCGCTCAAGGCCAGCATTCTACCACTTGGGCCATAGGGCTACTTTTGGCACTGAGGAATCGAACCCAGGGCCTCATGGATGCTGGGCAAGCACTCCACCATGAAGCCACGTAACATCCTGCCTTTGATCCCACGAATCTCAGCCGGCGTTTTTAACAGCTTGGGGGACAGGGTGGGATCAGAATACTTTAGGGTCTGGATCAGCAGGCTTCGGGACCACCCAGAGCCAGCCTGGGGCAGCTCTGCTGGTGGCACCGGCAGTTGGCGGGGTGTCCTGCGGGGGCCTCGGGAGAGGGGAAGGGCCTCTGTGGACTGGGCTGGGAGCAGGGGGCCCCGTGTCCACCTCACACTCTCTCACCTGGGAGCAGGAGGTGGCTGTCATTCACACCTGCCAGGTGCCAGCGTTTGGAGCAAGGGTGTCACAAGGAGCAGAAACCCAGGGGCTGGGGCGGTGAGAAAGACGGGAGGGAGGGCGGGAAGGAGAAAGGAGGAAAGAAGGAAGGCAGGAAGGGAGGAGGAAGGAAGGAAGGAAATGGATGGTGCGTGTATCCACTGCCCCAGGTCCTTGACTACGACTACTATGGGGCCTATGGGCACCCGGCCCACAAGGACCACGCCTACAGCCGGCTGCTGGAGGACGAGTACACCTTCGAGTTCTCGCCCCACCACCACGTGGTAAGCACCGCCCCTCCCACCCTCCCGCGGGAGAGGCCTCGGTGGAGCTGCCCAGGGGTGCCGGCCCTGCCAGCACCTCGTCTTTCCCCCTCCGCCCTCCGCTCTGCCTCAGTGCCACAGTGATGGCGTGATGCGCTCCTGGCCGCTCCCCTCCGTCTTCTGCGTCTCAGTTCTGCCACAGCCGGGCTTGGGTGTCCGTGCTTCTGCAGGGGCAGGGGTGAGGCAGAGCATGCTGGGTAGGCTGTGTGGCCCCAGGCCAGGGCCCTCGCTTCTCTGAGCCTTTCTGGTCCAAGGCTGTGTGAGCTCTGCGAGGGAAGGGGCTCCTCTTCCTGGGGACCCCAGAGGGCTCCCACCCCTAGTTGTAGCAGACTGGGTTTGGGACGAGGCGGGCTTGCTGACCCAGGCATCAGACCCTGGGTGGGCCCTTCGTGGTAAACCAGCAGAGGAGGCTGTGCGGTGGAGACTGTTTGCTCTTAGTGGGCTGGTGAGGCTGGCGGCCCCTTGCCCGAGCGCCCTGACTCTGCACATCAGGGTCAAGGGCACAGGCATCAGGCCAGGCTGTCTCCCACTGACCAGGATAGCTTGGGGAGCGTGGCAGGGGGTCCTGGTGCCCATAGGAGGTGGGATTGGCAGTGCCCGCTGCTCAAGGCCCCTGGCTGAGGCAGGTCCTCCCCACACCCCAGAATCTCCACGTTTCTTCAGCCAGGGCTGTGTGTTTGCATCTTGCACACCCCGGCAGCCTCAAAGGGAAGGGACTATCTATTTCCACCGTTAGTGATACGTGTCTGCCAAGGCCTCGGAGACGGAACCGGGAGGACTGTTTCTCCAGAAGGCTGGCAGCTGGCGGGCCGGCGTAGTGCCCAGTCCCCGGCGGCCGCCTCCGGGGAGTGCATGGGCTGCGTCTGGCACCTCCACACCTGCAGCTCGGCGAGCTGTGGGACTCCCGGCCCTCCAGGATGTGGGAGCTGGGGGAGATGCCAGCTTGGCTGCGCTGCTTCATCCGGCCTCCGCAAGTGCGTGGAGCCGTGAAACACGCACACGGTCTCCACGCTGGCGGCTTCCCAGCGCCGCAGACAGCAAGCAGACATCTAGGAAGCTGGGCTTTTCTGCAGCCTGGCGGTGTCAGCAAAGGCACTGTGGTGGGCACTCTGTGAAGCCGGCGGTGTCTGCAGGGGGGAGCTTATACTCAAGCCTCTTCAGGGTCATCTGCGCTGCAGGTGCCTTTGACTGGCTTTAGACTTTTGAAACTTTTGGTGATGCCCCACTCATCTCCTTTTCCCCATTTTCTTGCTTGTGCTCTTGGCGTTCTGTGTGTCGGACTCTAACCCAACACCAAACACATTTACTTTCGTGTTAACCCTTATTACTATAATTTTTCTACTTAACTCTTAGGTTTCTGATCCATTTTGAGCTAAATCTTGTGCTTGGTGTGAGGGAGGGGTCCAACTTCATTCTTTTGTGTGTGTGTGTGTGTGCTCGCATGCATGTGCGCGCATGCGTGCAATCATCCTGGGACTTGATCCCAGGGCCTGGGTTCAGTCTCTAAGCTTTTATTGCTCAAGGCTAGTGCTCTGCCACTTCAGCCCCAGTTCTTCCAGCTTTTTCCTGGTTCACTGGAGATAAGAGTTTCATGGACTTTTCTTCTTGGGCTGGCTTTGAACCATGATCCTCAGTTCTCAACCTCCTGAGTGGCTAGGATTACAGGCGTGAGCCATCAGTGCCTTCCTGGTGATTCATTCTGGCAGCTGGTCATCTTGGTTTTTCAATACTGCCTGCAAGAGGCTCTTAATCCTCAAGGAAATCCCTTGGCACTTTTGTGGAAAGCTAATTTGACATCAATACAAGGGGTTTCTTTCCAGACTCTCCAAATTTTATTCCATTGGACCGTCGATCTGCATATCTGTCCTTAGGGCCGTCCAGCACTGGGCTTTGTAAGAAGTTTGTAAGAAACTTTGTATGAACTTTGGAAATCAGAAAGCATGAGTATTCCAACTTTTTTCTTCTCCTTCAAACTTGTGTTGGATACTTTGGTCCCCAGAGAATTTTAAGGCTGCATTTGTCAGTGCGTGCAAAGGAGACAACTGGATTTTGACAGGGATTGTGCTTTCTCTGCACACCGGTTTGGGTGTGTTGTCACTTTAACAATAGCTAACCTCCCATTTCGTGAGCTTGGGGGTGTTTTTTCCGTTTACTTAGATCTTTAAACCCCCTCAAAAAACATTTTCTAGACTGGAGAGTACATATTTGGCATTTCTTTTATCAATTGAATCCCAAAGCATGTTTGTTAGTTTTTATGCTGTTGTGAGTGGAATTATTTTCTTCATCTCCTTCCCAGATTGCTCAGTGTTCATATAGAGAAGCACAATAGATCTTTTTTATTTTTCTTTTTGTACATTGATCTTGTATCCTTCAGTCTGTTGAACTGCTAGTTCCAGCATTTACCTGCCTGAGTCGTCCACAAGGAGGGGATTTTTGGTTCTTCTTTTTCAAACTGGATGCCTTTGTTATTTTTTTTCTTGCCTAGTTGCCTTGGCCAGGGCATCCACTGAGGTATGGAGCAGAGGTTGGTGAGGGTGGATAAACTGTGTTTCCTGCCCAAAGTGTGGGCTGTGGGCCATGGGTGAAACACTGTCGGTGTGCTGTTGGCGAGACTTCTGCAGGTGCTGTTTGCCAGCCTGTGGCCTGTCCTGCTTCTCCTTTGCTGTGGGATTTTATCCTGGCCAGGTAGACTTTGTCAGATCGTTTTTCTGCCTCTGTTGGACAGTGATATGGCTTCTGCCTTTTATTGTATTAAGATAGTATGTTGTGTGAACTGATTTGGGGGCTTTAAACAAACCTCATGTTCCTGGCATACTCTAGTGGATGGTGGTTTTCCATCCTGCCTTTGTGTTTGATTGCTATGCTTATTGAGGGTATTTACGTCTAGCCTTAAGGGCATTGGTCTGTAGTTTCTTCTATCTTTTGTTTTTGCATCACTTCTATCTTTTGGTTTTTGCTGGTCACTTGAAACATATTGGGGGAACATTTCTTACTGTTACGTTGTTTTAGGGCATTTTATGAAGAGTTGGCATTACTTCCTTGGAGCATTGTTGTTATTACTATTATTCTTAGCAGTCATGGGGTCCAAACTCAGGACTTGGTGCTGGCTAAGCAGACACTCTACTGTCGAGTCATACCTCCAGTCCTTTCTTTGCACTTTTGTCTTTTTGCTAGTCCTAGGCCTTGAACTCTGGGCTTGGGTGCTGTCTCTAAGGCTTTGTGCTTAAGGCTAGCCCTCTACCACTTGAGCCACAGCTCCACTTCTAGCTTTTTGTAGTCAACTGAAGACAAGAGTCTCACAGATACCAGGTGCTGGTGGCTCACGCCTGTCATCCTAGCTACTCAGGAGGCTGAGATCTGAGGATTGAGGTTCAAAGCCAGTCTGGGCAGGAAAATCTGTGAGACTCTCTCCAATAAACTACCAGAAAACCAGAAGTGGTGTTGTGGCTCAAGTGGTAGAGTGCTAGCTTTGGGCTGAAGAGCTGAGGGATGGCACCCAGGCCCAGAGTTCAAGCCCCATGACTGACCAAAAAAAAAAAAGCCTCACAGACTATCTTACCTGATTTCAAACCATGATCCACCTCAGATCTCAGCCTCCTGAGTAGCTAGGATTACAGGTGTGAGCCACTGGTGCCTGGCTTGCACTGGTTATTTGGAGATAGTGTAGTGGGGAGGGGCAGTGAGACACTCAGTCCGCAGTGAAAATGTAAAAGATTTTATTGAGCAAAAAGTGCTGGTGTGCCAGGACCGCACCTGGAGTTGGGATCCCAGGAAATGGCCCTGAGGGCCGGTCTACATCAGCTTTTAAGCATTTGGGACTAGGGCGGGGGAAAGGGAGAGGCTGGGTGTTGGTTTTGGCCAATGATTGTTACAAGAAATGCGTGCCTTAAGTTTAAATTTCCCGCCAAGGTTTTGCTTGTGGGAAGCAGGGGAATAGAACAAAGGGTGGTGATGGTCTGCTGGGTTAGGGCTTGCATTGCTCAGAAAACAGCAGAAGCAGAGTTACAGAGTGACAGGGTTACAGAGTTGCAGAGTTACAATTAGTTACTAGCTAAAGTAACTAGCTAAAGTAACTAGCTAAAATAACGCGTTACTAGGGAAGTCTTATCCACAGCACACTTACATTTATTTCTTAAAACCATTCAGTATCCATTTTACATAATCCAAGTCAAATATCATATTCCATCTTTATGTCCTCCACCATATCATTAGTGTCTTTGCTTCTTGCCCAGGCCTGTGCATAGACTGCAGGCTGCCTATTTTATATTTCCTATTACAGCTGGGTAAGAGGCACACGCCACCACTCCTAGTCTCTTTCATTGATATGGAGTGTCATGGATTTCTATGCCTAGGCTGGCTTAGAACTGTGATCCTTTAGATCTCAGCTGAGATGACAGGCATGTGCTATTGCACCCTGCTTCTGTGTAGAAGGTATCTTGAGTGTATGCCTAAGCTATCCTGGAAGTTAGAGCCTCCTCAATCTCAGCATCCCAATTATCCAGAATTGTAGGTATGAGCCACTGGCACCTGGCTCTTTGAAAATGTTGGGATAATGTGCCCCTGAAGACATCTGGGGCTATGCATTCCTGTGTGGGGATTCTGGAGGAGCCCATTGAACCTCTTTTTGTGAGGTTCCAGGAACATTTTCTGCCCTTCAGCCAATTTCAGACTTGTGTCTTTCCAGGAAGCTCTTTCCTTACAATCTTCCTTATGTAGTCCTGAGTCCTCTGTAGGGTAGGTAGTGATGTCTCCTCCTCCACTCCTTTTCTTTTTTCTTTTTTGGTCATGGGTCTTGAACTCTAGGCCTGGATGCTGTCCCTGAACTCTTCAGCTCAAGACTAGTGCTCTACCACTTGAGCCACAGTGCCACTTCCAGTTTTCTGGTGATTAATTGGAGATAATAGTCTCATGGCTTTTAGGCCTGGGCTGGCTTTGAACCGCAGTCCTCAGATCTCAGCCTCCTGAGTAGCTAGGATGACAGGCAGGAGCCACAGCAGCCCCTGGTCTTTTTGTTGTTGTTATTGTTTGCTTTGGTTTTTTGAATAGTTTTTATTATCTTCAGTGGTTGTATGAAGGACTTGCCATTCACCGAAGCAGTTGATGAATACAACACATCTAGATCGATGTTACCCCTCCAACATTCTCACCTGCCCCTCCTAACTCACCCCTTCCTTTCCCTACTTTAATTTTAGGTTATGTATTGATTTTTTTTTGCCACTTAACAAGGCAATTCACTGTGTGCAGTGCATCTTGATCTGTGTCATCACTTGAACATCTTCACCCCCTTTGACTCATCCCTTCTCTTACATTTCTCAATTCTGTGGTGTATACAATGAATTCTTGCCTTCATTTCCCCCCACCTCCCCCGCTCATTCTAACACCCCTCTCTCCTTGGCCCTACCCTTCCCTCTAGTCTCCATTTCTTGATACTTATTTTGGTGGACTTTACTTTGAGCCTTCTCTCTGGGTCCTTCTCTCTAACTAGAAGTATGCCAGTTTGGTTGATCTCTTCAAGGGCTGACTTTTGGCTCAGCTGCCATTTCTGTTTTCATTCCATTTCATTCCATTGCTTGAGGCCTTGTCATTCTTTTCTTCTGTTTGCTCTTTTCCTGGTTCCTCAGCATGCAAGGTTGCCTGTGAGTTAGAGATTTTCTTTTCCAATGTAGCATATTCGAGCACCCCCTCCTACCACCACGAGCATTGGCAAGTTGTTTTTCACTTTTATCTCTCCCCCAGTAGCTTCTAATAGCCCTCGTGAGTTTCCCATTAGGAATATCTTGTTTGTTTCCCACATACTCATGGGTTTCCTAATTTCTCCTCTGCTGCTGATTTTGAATTTAACTCTGTGGTGCTCAAAGAGTCTTCTTGATGTGATCTTAGGGCTTCTGAGTTTTCCGTGCCAGTCCTATTCCCCTGTGCTGGGGAACAGTGTGTCCTGAGGTGTTCTCAGCGGGGCCGTGCAGGAAGCGAGGCTCAGGAAGAGCTGCCCCCCCCACAGGCTAAAGGGCAGGGCCCCCCTAAGGCCTCTGAATCTCATCTCATGGGACTTTGCAGATCCAGAAGGAGTGTCTGGCCTGCCGGGGGGCTGCTGCTGTGTTCAACATGTCCTACTTCGGGAAGTTCTACCTGCTCGGTGTGGATGCCGGGAAGGCTGCAGACTGGCTGTTCTCTGCAGATGTCCACAGACCCCCTGGTATGGGGCTGGGCTTGGGTGGCCCACACTCTTCTCATACTTTGCCCCAGATGGAGCTCCACAGACCCAGCCCGGGCATACAGATGAACTGGCAGAAAATGGGAGCCCATGGCTGCTTCTTCTGGACCCAGCTCAGCTCCACTGTCCAGCCTCTTCTGCCCCACGGCCAGGCCCTTGCCCTGGGACCTTCCTCCTTCCTGCACCCTGCCCTCCCTCCTCTTTCTCCTCCCTTTCTGCTTCCTTCTTCCTTTGCTGGGAGGCAGACGTGGTGGCAGGCCCTGGGCAGCATCTCTGGCCCACTGGGGTCCCGCCTCTCACAGTGCTGCCAGAGTAATAACTCCTGGGAGCTCAGCACACTTGAATTTTGGATACATATTGAATAATTTTTAGCACACTACATTGCATGTACTATTTGGGAGATTCACTTCTTTTTTTGTCACCCATCCACCTACTTCCTTACTCACCCATCCCATCCCCAGACCCACACGCCCTCATTGGTGTTTGTTTCCTGTGGATGCCATCACTGAGCTCCACAGACGTATCAGTGGCTTCACAGAGCAGCCACAGGTGCCACAGCTCACCTCCTGACCCTGCAGGCCACGGATGCTCAGCAGAGGCACCAGCCAGGCCTCACCAGGGCCCCTCCTGCCTCTTCCGGTCAGTGCAGTGGGAAGCCATGCTCTTGATTGGCTAGCAGGCATTTCTGCCATCTGCCTCTGATGCCACCCGGCCTTCTTCTGCCATTTTCCTTCTTATGAGGATGCAGCCACACTGGAAAGAGGCCTGTAACAATGACCATCTGGTCAACCGACCAGCCAGTACCCACCTGTCACTCCCACAAACACCTCCCACTCACCCCTGTGCCTCTCAGCCTGCCCTTACCCATTCATCACCCACCCGTCATCTGCCTGCATGCATCCCCTTCTACCCATCTGCCACCTGACACCTCATTTCCTCCTCCTCTCCTGCCCTCCTGTGCCTCTGCTCATTACCCATGTACCTGCCTGTCTCCTCTCCCACTCCTCGTCCACTTATTCATGCACCTCTTCCTCACCCCACCATTCATTTATCACCTCCCCCTCCTCCCTTCACTCATCCATCCACATCCCGTCCCCATCCATTCATCTACCCCACCCCTCCCCATCTATCCATCCATCCATCCATCCATCCATCCATCTATCCATCCATCCATCCATCAGTTCATTGTCTACCCTATCCACCAGTTATTGCCCACTGTCCATCCATGTTGCCACTTACTCTGCAGATCTTGCTAGGGACTTGTGCTGTCCAGGTACCATGCTGAGATGGAAATCCCATGGTTAGGAACTTGTCAGTGAGATGAGTTGAGATGAGGGTGAAAGGGAGGAGCCAGGTCCAGGCAATTCAGGAGGAAAGCAGCCTCTGCCCCCCAGGGTGGCATTGTGGATGGCTTGCCCGTGGACAGCCAGAGTTCTCCAGATTCTAGTCAGGGTTCTCCAACTTCTAGACAAGCATTCTCCAGATGCTAGCCAAAGTTCAGATTCTAGCCGGGGCTCTCCAGATTCTACTCAGGGGTTCTCCAGATTCTAAGTAGGGTTTTCCAGATTCTAGCCAGTTTCTCCAGAATCTAGACAAGCATTCTCCAGATTCTAGACAAGTGTTCTCTAGATGCTAGCCAGGGTTCTCCAGATTCTAACCCGGGATCTCCAGATTTTAGACCAGGGTTCTCCAGATTCTAGCCAGGGTTCTCCAGATTCTGGCCAGGGTTCTCCAGATTCTAGATAAGGGTTCTCCAGATTCTAACCAGAGTTCTCCAGATTCTAGCCAAGGGTTCTCTAGATTCTAGCCAGGGTTCTCCAGATTCTAGATAAGGGTTCTCCAGATTCTGGCTAGGGTTCTCCAGATTCTAGCCAGAGTTCTCCAGATTCTGGCCAGGGTTCTCCAGATTCTAGACAAGAGTTCTCCAGATTCTAGCCAGGGTTCTCCACATTCTAGATAAGGGTTCTCCACATTCTAGCCAGGCTTCTCCAGATTCTGGCCAGGGTTCTCCAGATTCTAGCCAGGGATTCTCCAGATTCTAGCCAGGGTTCTCCAGATTCTAGATAAGGGTTCTCTACATTCTAGCCAGGCTTCTCCAGATTCTGGCCAGGGTTCTCCAGATTCTGGCCAGGGTTCTCCAGATTCTGGCCAGGGTTCTCCAGATTCTAGCCAGGGATTCTCTAGATTCTAGCCAGGGATTCTCCAGATTCTAGCCAGGCTTCTCCAGATTCTGGCCCTGGGTTGCCTTACCTTGAGGCCAGCAGCTCTAGGGCTGGCACAGATCTCGGTTCTTCTATCCTAGGCTCAACAGTGTACACCTGCATGCTGAACCATCGAGGGGGCACTGAGAGTGACCTGACAGTCAGCCGCCTGGCCCCCGGCCCCCAGGCTTTCCCTTTGGCTCCTGCCTTTGAAGGTAAGAGATGCTGTGGAAAGCAGTGTTGCCATGGCTACAGCCTGCTCTGGCGACTGGTGGTCACTGGTTGGACAGGGCTAGGCTGCTGAGGGCAGCTCTGTAATTACCTGCCATGTCCACTGTCATTGGGGCCTGGAGATTAGAGCTCTCAGTTCAGGCTAAATGCAGGTTCTATTCAAGCAGCAAGGCTGGTGTGCTGAGCACTCAGCGATTATGTCTTTTAACCTGTCCGTCTATGTGGTGGCACTTTGGAGCAGCCTCAGCGTGGATGCCTTCAGCTGCCTGGCGGTCAGCCTCTCTCCCCTCCCTGCCCCAACCGGACATCCATGCTGGACTGGCTTTCTCAGCTTCCAGACTTCTGCATGGGCAGATACCAGTGTCCAGGCTGGAACCCAGATGGCCTCTGCATCGTCCCCCCTTCCCCCCCTGGCCCCATGATGGGTAGCTCAGCACTTCAGTTCTCACTGGGCCATGCCCACCTGCCATGTCCTCAGCCCCCAGACCCACCCCTCAGGGTTCACACGGGACAGGGGAGGGAGTGGGGGTGATGCCCTCTGTCCAGGTCAGGCATTAGCTATGCAGATCTCATCCCACCATCCAGAGGGGGTGGAGGCCAGCCAGAAGCTCAGGCCACTGGGAAGGCTGACCACTTCCTCCCCCTCCCCTGCTGGTCCTCCATGGGGCTCAGTCAAGATTCTCTGAGCTGAGTCCCGGACTGAGCCCCTGGCAAGTGGGTCAGACCCTTTGTCCACATCTCCAGTCACAATTCTTTGTTGTTGTTGTTGTCAGGGCCTTGAACTCAGGGCCTGGGCTTTTTCTCTGAGTTTTTTCACTCAAAATTAACACTCTATCACGTTGAGCCACGGCGCCACTTCCAGTTTGCTAGTGGTGAATTGGAGATAAGAATCTCCTGGACTTTCCTGCCCAGGCTGGCTTTGAACTGTGATCCTCAGACTTCAACCTCCTGAGTAGCTAGGATTACAGGCTTGAGCCACTGGTGTCTGGCTACAGCCTCTGTCTTTAGGAACCTGCTGTATATCCAGCTCAGCTGGAGATGTGAGGACACAGCAATGAACTGGTGAAGGTTCTGGCCCAGGTAGCACTTATATTTCCAGTGGGAAGAAACAGGATCTAGCAGCACGATAGGTGGAAAGGACAGGATGTCACATGTGTTGAGAGGAAAAGTAGAGGTGGGGGTGGGGCACAGGGTCAGGGCTGCAGAGGGAAGAGTGGTCGACTGCCCATGGGATCCTTGGTGTGGGTTGGGGTCTGGGGACTTCTTCCTGCTGCTAAGAATGGGAGTAATGATCTCAGCCCCAGACGACTGGGGGTTGCTTCTGGGCTGAGGCTGTGGGGTGGATGAAGACCAGTCTTGCCCTCCGAGGGTGTCATGGCGGCTTTGTCAGACCACAGATGCCCATTGGTCAGTGAGCCCTGCATTCCTACGTGCCTCCAATGATCCTTTGCAGGGCTGCAGGAGAGGAAGAGATGAACGGGCCGCAGGGGTCCAGGACCACACCCCGTACAGGGTGGACACATGGGGGCAGAGCTCAAGGGCAAGAGATGGGGGCTAGGAAAGAGAAAGGAGCACCGGAAGCCCTGGAAGGCCCTGATCCAGTGGAGGAGGGCTTCAGAGATGGGTAGAAGCCACCTAGAAGGGTGTGGTGAGCCGGCGCACCAGCAATGGAGAGAATGCGCGGGCTCTGCGTGTCAAGCTAGCGTACCCAGCGGGTGTCAGTCCTAGAAGCAGTTGTACATCATCTTTATTCGCTATCTAAAATCTGGCAAAAGGCAAACTTGCCTGCAGAAAAAAAAGTGAAGTTAGATCCAAACCCCAGTCTCCACCCCATGCCAGGGACAGAAATGGGGTGGAGCCTGGGAGGGAGGCTAACCCCACCCCCAGCACTGTCCTCTGCCCTGTCTGCTTGGGAGATGCCCGGCCTGGCTGCCCACAGGGCCTCTATATGTTGTTTCTAGAGCTGCTGGCTGGGGGAGGGGCCAGCTTCAAGCGAAGCAGGGGGTGGGGTGCCACTGCCGCAGTCTGTCAGGACACTAGGCACCCTCCAGCCCCCCGGGAAAGGCTTTGGGGTAACCAGAGGGGTGGAACTGCCCAGAAGCCAGGCCGTCAGGTCATAGTGTGTACAAATGCACACAAAAGGGTGGGAGCTGGTTGTCTGTCCTGGAGCCAACGATGTCCAGAATTCCAGGGTCCCTCCGTAGGACCCTGAGGGGTCTGGGGACCCTCTGGGGACAGGCTTATCTTCTTGGCTTCTCTCTCCTTTTCTGTGCTCATTGGTTCCAGAGAAGAGAGAGGAAGGGCTTCCCTGGAGGCTGGCTGGCACTGACAGCCTCTCATCAATGGAGGCTCTCAGTGCGCAGGCGCTGTGATTTTGGCTGTGGGGAGACAGGAAGAAGGGGCGGATACGGCCCCTTGGGCATGTCCAGGGCTTGGGTCACTGAAGTGTCTGTGGGGCTGGAGGTAGGAGGCTTCCAAGAGGAGGTGATACTCACCCTGGTCCTGTCGGGCGAGTTGGTGCCTGGGCTCCTGCCAGTGGTCAGGAGGTCAAGAGGGGCTGCGGGCTGAGGGTGACGGTTCCACAGGGTCTGCGAAGGCTGGCCAGGCCTGGGCTTGTGGGGAGTGGGGGGGCTGGCCCTTGTGTGAGCTGGGCACGGAGGGCACGGAGGAGCACAGAGGCCCGCTTCCTTCAGTGAGGTCCGGGGCTCCCTGCAGGCTGATCTTTCGAGGTCTGGGGCTCCCTGCAGGCTGATCTTTCGAGGTCCGGGGCTCCCTGCAGGCTGATCTCAAGGAAAGAGCACTGTCTCTTCCCCTGGGAGCCCCCTCCCATGCCCCTGTGCCCAGGGTTCCTTCTGAGGCTGGGTCCTCTTCCAGGGGATGGCTACTACCTGGCTGTGGGCGGGGCTGCGGCCCAGCACAACTGGTCCCACATCACCACGGTGCTACAGGACCAGAAGTTCCGCTGCCAGCTCGTGGACAGCTCGGAGGATCTGGGCATGCTCAGCATCCAGGGCCCAGCCAGGTAAGGACTTAGGCAGACAGGCCTGTTGGCACCTGGGGCGGCTTCCGGATGGCTAGGATCACAGGCGTGCACCACTGGTACCTGGCTTACATTGCATTTTTTTTAATCTAAGTAGTTGTACAAAGGGGTTGCCATTCAACAGAAGCAATGTTTATTGGAAAACAAGAGTAAATACATTCTTTAAAAGAGTAAGATGTCAGGGGGAAGTGAGGACAAGCCTCTTAGCTATCGGTGGTTGGTATAAGCCCCCAAGCCGGACTCCCAATGGGAAGTGCCACTGTGGCCTCTGGAGTCACCACCCACCTCACCCCAGGGCAGCGGCCTGCTCCCTGCTCCAGGTCCTCAAGGTCTTCGCCTTCTCAGAGCCTTATCGTGGCTTCTCCAGAAGAGGGGGACCGACTCCCCCGGGGCCATCTCCCATTTCCTCAGGGTCCCCGGGGAGAGGGTGGGTGCCACCCCACTGGGTCACAGTCTCTCCGCATTGGCCGGTACAGTTGTAAATCTTCCTCAGTGTGGCCGGAGGGGCGGGGACCTGGACTCTGAGCTCCTGCTGCAGCCTCTGGCCGCCGCGGCCAGGATGGAGGCTGCGGGTTCTGCTCTTTTCTGGGGAGCCCCGTGGCCTGTTGAGCTGGAGGCCTCTGCTCCCCTGCCCCAGAGCCCCTGGACGGGGGCTGGGGGGCTGTTTATGTATGGGGAGGGAGAGTGGGGTGGGGAAGGAGGAAGGTAGAGGAGATCCAGGCTGGCCTGGGATCCTCTCACTACCAGCCACTGCGGGCTCTCAGCCTTCTGCATCACAGCCCCCCACCCCCCAGCCTGTCCTCAACTTCCTACAAGGGTAATAATGTCACCACCATCACCACCAATCCAATGGGTGATGCTGGCCGAGTGGTGTGGGAAGTACTTAACACAGCACCCGGGCTGTGGGCCTGAGCCAGCTGCTAAGCCCCATGGGACTTCCAGCCCTTGACAGGTGGTTGCATTTTTCTTTTTTCTTTTTGCCAGTCCTGGGGCTTGAACTCAGGGCCTGGGCACCATCCCTGAGCTGCTTTTGCTCAAGGCTGGCTCTCTACCACCTGAGCCACGGCGCCACTTCTGTGTATGTGGTGCTGAGGAATGGAACCCAGGGTGTCGTGCGTGCGAGGCGAGCGCTCTGCCACGGAGCCACCTTCCCAGCCAGGTGGTGGAATTTTCAGTTGTAGAGAGCACCAGTTCAGGCAGCCTTTGGTGACCGGGGGAACACGCTGGGCGGAGCCGGCGTGGCGCACACGCCCGGTGCTCAGCACGTGCCGGTGAGCTTCTTTCTCACCAGGTCTCTGAGCTGGGACATCACTGAGCCTGTTTGGCTGGCGTGGGGTTGCCAGAGCCCCTGCCTGTCCCCTTGGACAGGGACCTGGGGTTGGGAGGGGCGGCTGCCCTCCAGGCCCCCCCACTCTGCACCCCCCGCATGTCCTCCTCCCCCCCGCCCCGCCGTGCCCTGGCTAGGATCACAACAAACAGCCCTGTCCAGCCCAGCCATCTTGCTCCCAGGAGGCTGCCTGAGCGCAGAGGCCCAGAGGCAGCCGGCGCTGAGCCGTTCTCTGGGCTGGGGGGGGGGGGCGGCGGGCTGGGGTTACATAAGGATCTTGGCAGGGACTGTGCCGCGGCGGAGCACCTCAGGCGGGCGGGCGTGGGTGGCAGCTCGTGGCACCGGAGGGTGGGGATTAGGGTTGAATGCACTTCTGATCAGCGGCCACTTGACAGCCCTGGTGCCCGCGGGGACCCTGGGTGGGCAGAGGTGGGGAGGGGCAGGGCCGGCCAATGAGAGGCAGGTCCTGCTGTGCCCAAGCCTGTGTGTTCCGCCCATCCTGTGGGCCTGCAGGGCCTGTTGGCCTGGGGCCTGTGGTTGAGGGGCAGAGCAAAGTTGGAAGGGTGCCTGGCAGGAGTCTTGGAGGGCTACCTGGAGGAGGTGACAGCGGTGCCAAGGGCAGAAGAGAGACAAAGGGCTAAATGGGGACAGGGAGGCTGGTGGGAGTGCGGAGGGCTCAGGAGGCCCAGGGGACGCGGGGTGTGTGTGTGGCTCTAGCCAGGCCTCGGGTGCAGAGTAGAGGTAAAGAGAGGCCTGCCTGGAGAGACCAGGAGTGCATCAGAGTTCCAGAATATTCCAGCCATGCGGGGCAGGTGACAGGGTATGTGTGTGTGTGTGTGAGAGAGAGGGAGAGAGAGAGAGTGTGAGTGTGCCCTGCCTCATGACAACCACAACCCAGCCTGCAGACAGACACGTGGCGAGGTGGGGGGGGAGGGGGGGCAAGGGCAGGACAGGGGGCAGGGTGGTGTCCAGGGGCTCCTGTCGGGGCTGGGCCTGCCACCCAGCTCTGTTCTGTGGTTAAAACAGAGGCCTCCGAAGCCAGCTTTTCTGGATGGTCATCTGTGGTGACTCAGGTGGGATCTGGGATATAGATGCTCTGCTTCAGTTTACCTGCCCGAGACCAGAGCAGACCCACAGTCTGGCCTCTTGAGTGCTGCTGGATCTTGGCATTAGGAAGGTGGCTCTCCTGCCTGGACGCTCGTGGATGGTTTACCTCCATCTCCCGCAGGAGACTGCGCCCCTGTGCTGCTGACCCACCCTGTCCTTACTTGCAGCAGGGCCATTCTCCAGGAGCTGGTAGATGCCGACCTGAGCGATGAGGCTTTCCCCTTCTCCACCCACCAGCTGGTGAGGGCTGCAGGCCACCTGGTAAGTACCAGCGGCCACGAGACACCGGGGTCTGGGTGGCATATGCTGTGGCAAAGAAATAAACCAGAGCCGGGACCCCGGGGCCTGGCGCCTCCCTGGCCTTGGGCCTCAGCTGTGAGTCAGCTGGAGGTAGTCTGCCGGCAGCCCGGGGGGCGTGGCTTTTGGGGACTCATGGTGGTCAAAGTCCCAGTGTGGCCCCGTTCTTACCTGGAGCCTCACCTCTGCTGAGGCTCTGTTGGGGGGTGTTCCCCTCCCCCAAACACAGGCCTCACTGCCCCATCAGTGACTTCCTGTCTTCCTGGGGGCCACTGAGCCATTCACGTGGCTCCTGCCCTCCCCAGTGGGGCAGGCGCTGCTCGGGCGGGGCAGGCTGGACTCTCAGATCCACCAGGCCTGGGGGCGCTGCTCCGAGACCCTGAGTGGGGGCCTCACTGCAGCCCGGGGCTTGCGTCCCCCTCTCCCTCTCCTGGCTCTCCTGGTTGGAGAGTAAGCAGTGTGATTTCTACTTTGACTTGTGGGGGAGGGAGGGGGAGGCAGAGTGGGCATTGGGCATGCGCTCTGGGCACTGGGCAGGCCCTGCTGCTACAGCGGCCTCTGCTCTCCGGACACCACCCTGGAGCAGGTGGTCAACATCAGGGTGCTCACTACCGTGCTCAGCAGTGCACTGGCTCCGTCCCAGCCACCCGCAGCCCCCATCCCAAAAAATGTGGCCTCATGACCACACATCCCCCAGGACAGGCCTGCGCCGCAGCCTGGCTGTGTGATTTCCTGCTGTTGGCAGGGGACCCCCCCAGGGGGCCGAGGCTCCCAGAGCGTAGGCTGTGGGGGGTGTCCCTGAGCTCCTCTCTAAGAAGCCAGCAGTTGGGACCACCCATCAAGCTGACCTCCATGCACACAATTCCTGTCAGGGACCTGGGTGTGGCCCTGGGGTGGGGGCGGGGTGCCAGCCCCTCTCCCCCATCCCTCATCCAGGAAAAAGGAATATTTGTGGGGAGCAAGACCCCAGCCTGCAGAGGTTCTGAGGGGTGGGGGAGGGTAACGCAGGATCCCTTAGCAAATAAACAATGGCAGACCACTGCTGCCACTGACAGCCTCGCAGGGCCTGCCCCTGCGTCCCTCCCCAGGGGCTCCCTGGGGGTCAGGAAGCGGGGTGTCTGGGGGTGTTCCACTAGCTTGCTTCCTGCCTCCTTCTTGAAAAAAAGCCTTGATGGGACCAGAGAGGGTAGGGGTGCTGAGAGCTGCACAGCTCTGGTCTCAGCCATGTCCAGCCTTCCATCTGTGGAGCATCATCAGCCCGTGTCCGACCTACTTTGGAGCTGGGTTCCCATGTGTAGACAGGGGGGTGGGGGGGGAAGCAGTGGATCTCTCTCTCTCTCTCTCTCTCTCTCTCTCTCTCTCTCTCTCGTGCTAAGGCTTGGAGCCTGTGTGTGGCTGGATGTGTGTGTGGGGGAGACAATATGGGAGCACATCCCTCTCCACTCCAAAATCCATTGTTCTCCCTCCCCTGTCCTCCCTCCCCCCTACTGGGCTGCTCCAGCTGCTCTCCCCCACACACCCCCACAAGGCCCTGGCCTGGCCCTGGCTGCCTCCACCTGGGGCCTGAGCTGCACTGGGCCAAGCCCCCGGTGGCCTCTCTGGTGCCAGCTAGTGGCTCCACCCCCAAGCATCCCTGTGAGATGGACGCCACCCAGGGCCCTGGTCAGACCTGCATCTGCCTCTTCCGGTCCTGGAGCAGGGCCATTGCCCCGATCTCAGACCCCTGAGCGCTCGTGAGTGGGTAGCGTGCGTGCAGGTCTGGCAGAGACGTGGGGACCAGCCTGTGCCTCTGCCTTCATGAATGAGTTCTCTCTGCCGCAGAGTGCTCTCTCCCGCCAACCCTCCATCCTCCACGCCCAGCCTCCACACCCTCCAGCCTCCACACCCTCCAGCCTCCACGCCCAGCCTGTGCATATGAGATGCTGTAATTGTGCTCCATGCGCCCCGAGCGCCCTCTAGGGACCCCTGTACCCCTCCAATACCACCCTGCCACGTGAGCAGCACCCACACCAGGCGTGTGGGTTGGGTCTCTTCTCTTTGGCAACTGTCTGATGACTTCAGGTGGCTGACGGAGCTGACCGGAGCCTAGACTGGGAGCCTGTGCCCGTCACATGGCAGCAGCCATTGGTGTTTCGGTGGTAGGCTCTTGGTTGGGCCTCTCCTCATGCCCAATGCTGTCCTAGATCCGGCATCAGTAGAAGGATGGTGACTTCTAATGCCAGACCTGAAGTGCACCAGGCCAGTGTCTTGTGGGGTGCTGCAGAGAATTGAGGAGCTAGACCAGCCTACATGAGGCAGACCCAGCCCTGCCCAGGGGAGGCCCAGGTGTGTGGGCATGTCTTGACTTGGGAAGGTTCTGGGCCCCAACCCAGCCTCCTGGTTGCATGGGCTGTTGGGCAGGTCCGTGGAATCTGCCCCAGACTCCCAGGCCCATGGCGGCCTTCAGTGGTTACTGCTGACATGAGGATGTGCCATCCGAGCCGGCAGCCCTGCTGTGGGCCTTCGGCCAGTTCTGGCATTTCACTCTGCTTCCCTCAGTGCTGGGGACAGGACCCGGGGCCCTGCGCCTGCCAGGCCAGCCTTCCAGCACTTAGGTCCTCAGCCACGGAGAGCCCTTCTGAACCCGACAATCGACACCAGTGTAACCCCGCTTCCCAGGGACCCGGCCACACTCCAGAATGCATTTCACCTGTGTTAGCTGCAAGCGGCTGGCCCCAGTGTGGAGCCCAGGGCTGTGGTTCCCTGCCTCATCCTGAAATGCCCGTGCCTCCCCCCAAGAGCAGCCACACCAGCATCTTGTCCTTCTTCCTTATGGTCCCTCCTTCACTCTTTCCTGGAGGTTCCAGAGGAGGCCTCCTGGGGGCAGGTCTCATCCAGTGGCCAGGGAGCCCAGTCCTGCGGTATAAGGGCTGGAACAATCCAAGTGTGGGCTACAAGGGAGGACATATCAGACAATGCCAGGCCAGGGGGCCCCACCTTCTCCACAGGGCTCCAGGGACCTTTAGTGTGTGGCTTCTGTGGACCTGAAAGCTATCTTCTTAGGGCCCCCACTGGCCCAAGGCTGGAACAGTGGCCTCCCCGTCTAGCGGGGGGGGATGATCTGTTACCAGCTGCAGAAGCTGGACTGGCCCCTGCCCAGAGGCCCATGGCAGCGCCCAGAGTGCAGAGCCACAGTCCTGGAGGCTGTGGACATCAGACCTTCACGCTGGACTCAGAGCGCTGGGAGCCAAAGCCTTCCGAGGGATAGCTCCCTGCCGTGAGCGATGACCCGGCTACTGCTCAAAGCCTAGGTGAGGTTTTAGGTCTTTTCTGAAACAAGGTGCCAGTAGCTCAAGCCTAAATCCTAGCTACTCAGGAGGCTGAGATCTGCGGACCGAGGTTCAAAGCCAGGGCAGGAAGGTCTGTGGAACTCATTTCTAATTAACCCCCCAAAAGCTGGAAGTGAAGCTGTGCCTCAAGCCAGCCTTGGACAAAATACCTAAGGAGTGGTGTCTAGGCCCTGGGTTCAAGCCCCAGTATGGACACACACACACACACACACACACACACACGTGTGCACGTGAGAGCACACACACATGCTAGGCCAGGAAGGATTTTACTCTCTCCAGACACTGAATCCTCTTGGACTCCAGGGGGAATTTCATATTCTCTTGCATGATCTTGTGCCGGCTTAAACATGTGTTGTTGAACTGTTGGTCAGTGTGCAGTGGCTCGGGGGCTGGAGGATGGAGCTGGACCAAGTGTTTATAGAAGTTTGATTGGCTTTCAGCCTACCAGCACCAGCTGTGGGGGGGGGGGGACGGGAGGGAGGGGAGATGCGCCTGCACAGTCAGCACCACTGCCTGCTGAGCAGGGATATGAGGAAAGAGGGTGAGAGCCGAGGACTGCGGCCCAGACCCCATGGGCCACCACGTGTGAGCTTGTCATGGTCAGCGACCTCTGCTCATGACTGAGGACTTGGCAATGCCCCGCTGTGCCTCACCTCTGTTGTGCAAGAGCGCTTCTCTGAATACTTGGGTCTGTGCTGTGTCCACAATCCTGGGATTCTTGGAGGAAGGAGGGGACTGGGGGAAGGCCGTTGTCCTGTTCCCCAAGCCAGCGAGATTTCCAGTGGGAACTACTTTCTTGGTGTGTCTCCGGGAGCTCAGCACGGCCAGTCCTGGGCCAGACATGGTGTTCCAGCACCTTGGCTGAGGACAGAAGGAAGTCTCCCTTTTGCTGAGGACAGGCACCTCGGGGCTGAGACCGTCTCTTCTTAGCAGAGCAACAGGCCCTGGGTTGGAAGCCATTACAGGCCATAGCTATAAGTACGTTTTTCTTCTGCAAAGGAATTTCAGATCGTGTTTTCCCCGTGCTGAGGAGCCCGGCGGTGCTGCTGCTAAGACTGGATTGGCTCGGGATGGAGTGGCCTTACATGGCACACGTTAGATAAACCATGACACCCCAGCCAGAGAATTCGAGGCATTTATGGGGTGGGGATTTGCCAACTGGGTTGCAGCTGCTGCCTAAAAACTCCCTTCGCCAAGAGCTGTGAAAATCTGCTGAGGCCTTGGACAGCCACAGGATGTCACAAGCCCGCTCTGTGATGTGACTGAGAAGATAATGGAATTGCGGTTGGGGTGTGGTTCCCCGATACTATTCAAGCGGTCAGGGGACAGCGGAGTCCCTTGCCAGGCGAGTGTTAGGACAGGCCTGGCTGGAAGGAGGTCAGATGACCTCGTGTGACCCCACGGAGTTGTTTTGGGCACCCTTGTCACAGAAAGGCAGGTTCCTTCCTGGGGGCTCTCTTCCATTCTGCTGGTCTGGTTGTGTCTTCTTGCCTCTCCCGTGTTGTCTCGGTTGCATAGTTTGGGTTCAGCATGGTTTGAATTCAGGAAATGTGAATCTTCCAGCTTTATTCTTTCAAACTGACTTGGCCATTTGGATTCTTTGAGATTCCAAATGAATTTTCATGTAGATTTATTCTTTTTAACCTCCCATTCCTGAAAAGTCAGTGTTGTGTGTCTCTGCCGGCCGCTCTGGACATTGTGGACAGCTTCTCAGTAGGAACATTGGGGTTCCTAGATACTTTATTCTTTTAGATATTGTTGTAAATGGAGTTGTTCTCATTTCTTCCTTTGGGTGGGTATTGCTGGCTTGTAGAAACACATTAGAAACAAATTCTGTGAGTTGGCTTTATATCCTGACACTTTGCTGAAATCATTTATTAGCTCCAAGGTGTTCTCTCTCTTTTATCTTAAAGGCAAGAAAAAGATTTAAATAAAATCTGGCTTAAAGCTCTTCCTGTCAGCTTCCACAACTCTGAGTTCCCCACTGCCAAGTCATTATGCACCAGGCTCTGCTTTCCCTAAGCCCTGTCCTCAGCCATCAATTAGATGAGGCGGGCCTTGGTGGGAGGCTGGCCAATCAGGGGCAGGGGTGGGGCTGTACTTCTTAGCCCTCTCCCCTCCTCAGGGGTCCCCATTTGGAAGACACACGAGGCTGCTATGCATGGGTAAGGACCATGTCTGCGTAGAGACCTGTAACTGGGGCTGTTCACGGGTGCACTTTCAAATGATTTTTTCCTGTTTCACAGTGAGACTAGCTTTGTGCCCCACACTCCTCCATGGGCTGGCTAAAATTAGAATCCTGCTGACAAGGCAGCCTGTGTCAGGGCCCTTGGCTTGCCCCACAGAGATAAGGAGCCATCCATGGTGTATTTCCTGAGTAATTCGGAGTTTTTCTGAGAGGCCCGGGCAAATGGCAGCTCGGGGCAAATGTATGCGGTTTTAAAAGCGTTTGGAATCCAGTCTGTCAGTGGCAGCGATTAGAGGATCAGGTGCTCTCTGGTTGATCGCTCAGTCCAACAGCTTCGGTACAGATACCGTGCATTTGGACACTGCAAAGACCTACCCACCTTTCAGCCCGTGAACCTTCAAGCTCCTCCAGCTCCTTGCTTCTCCATCCTTCTGGGGTGTTCTGGGTTTCCTGCCCCTTGTTGAGCTGGTGGGGTCCTGGCCTTAATGATCAAGCCTTACCCCTGGGTTTAAGAAGGTCCCTGGAGGTCAGGCACGGGGCACTGGGCAGCTATGTGGCATGGACCTGAACTAGAAAAGCTGTGGTTGTATAGGGCACCATCTCCCGGCACCACAGCTCTTCACCATGGGACTGGGCATGCCTCCGGGCCCCCATGCCTCTCTCTGTGGCACAGTTCACAGCGGTGCCCCCAGCACGTGGGCAGTGAGGGGCAGGATGTGTGTGAAGCGCTCAGCCTGGGGCAGGGCGCATGGCAGTATAGTTCCCGTGGGGGGGGGCAGGGGCCCAGTCCTGGCACCCACTCCCAAATCAGGCAGGTGGCTTTCCCAGCCCAGGATAAGACCCTTGCTGGCCGGCCTGGCTGCAGCCTTGCTCTCCTGCCACCCTGTACTGCCACTCCAGTTCTGCTTTGTACCAACCTCTCAGCCTGGAAGCTTTCTACAGACTCAGCCTCCTCCGGGAATGGTCCCACCCACTCCTCACAGACTGGGCTCAGGGCTTCTTAAAATGACAGACCCAGGCCTTGGCCCTGTTTATTTGCCAGTACTTACGCATGAACTCAGGGTCTCTAGTGCTCTTGCTTAACACGTGTGCACACACACGTGTGTGTGTGTGTGTGTGTGTGTGTGTGCGCATGTGTGTGGGGGGCGGTGTGTGCCAGTGTCAGTCCTGCAGCTCGCACTCAGGCCTGGGAGCTGCTTCTGAAGCTTTTTTATTTAAGGATTGCACTCTATCACTTGGGCGACACTGCCACTTCCTGCTTTTTGCTGGTTAACTGGAGATAAGAATCGCATGGCCTTTCCTGCTTGGGCAGCTTCAAACTTTGATTCTCAGAGTAGCTAGGATTCCAGGCGTGAGCCACCAGTGCCTGGCCATTTCTGTCACTTTGAGGCTCCTGGTGTGTGGTCACTCGTCTGACCACAGGGGACCTTAGAAGGACCAGGGACGGCCTAGGCAGCGTCTCCCACAGGAGGCCCCGTCCTTCAACTGAAGATTTTCAGAGTGGGTCCTGTGAACCCGCTTTGGAGGACCCATTCCTTGGTGGCGATCTGCCCAGGCAGGCCCATGGCCAGCCCACAGTTCCAGTGATAGAAGAGCTGCCCTGGGTTCATGGTGGCCAGTGCCTGGTGCCCGGTGCTGGGAAGCCAGTGTCGAAGCTGTGGCCTTGCCCCCAGGTCCGGGCCCTGCGGCTGTCCTTCGTGGGAGAGCTGGGCTGGGAGCTGCACATCCCCCGGGAGTCCTGTGTGTCTGTGTACCGCGCTGTGATGGCTGCAGGCGCCAAGCACGGCCTTGTCAACGCGGGGTACCGGGCCATCGACTCCCTGAGCATTGAGAAAGGTAAGCGTGGGATCTGGGGGTACCTGGGAGGTACCCGGACAGCTGGAGGTAGCGGTGCTTCAGTCTACCACAGGTCTTGCCTCCCAACACTGCTTCCTGCAGCCCCGCGCCCTGCCCACACCCCGGGGGCTTCTGCAGACCCCAGCACCCGGGTACAAGGACGCAGAGAGCTGAGGCGCTGCCCACCGCCTTGGGTGAGGGAGCCAGGGCCAAGTCAGGATTTGAATTCAGCACGTGGTTTCTCTGACAGATGTATGGCTTTTAAGAGCTTCTGTTGCTGGAGCTCAAACCCAGGGCCCGGCAGGCACCACCTGAGCCCTCTCCAAGAAGGGGAGTCGAGAGTAGAACGGGCTCCAGAGTCCCTGGGGACACAGTGGCACCCCACAGTGACCATGAGGGCCAGAGTCATTTGCAGCTGCCCCGAGGTATCCCAGCTGCTTCCCACCCTGGCAGCGCGGAGCCCGAATGCTCAGGGTCAGTTTGGGAGCTCACGAGGAGGAACCTTCTGGAGAAGAAAGTCCTCCACCCTCCAGCCTCCTGCCCTGGGATGCCCAGGCTGGGCTGAGGGCCCTGGGCGTGAGCAGCACCCATGTGGGTTTTCTGAAGAGCTTGTGCCCACTTCAGCCACATGCTGACCCAGAGGTCCCCCCTTCCCCCCTCCCCCCCCTCCGCCTCAGGCTACCGACACTGGCACGCAGACCTCCGATCTGATGACAGCCCGCTGGAGGCCGGCCTGGCCTTCACCTGCAAGCTCAAGTCCCCGGTGCCCTTCTTGGGCCGAGAGGCCCTGGAGAAGCAGCGTGCTGCAGGCCTCCGCCGGCGCCTGGTGGGCTTCACGGTGGAGGAGTGAGTACCTGTTTGCGGCGGGCCCTGCCGTCCCCAGCCAAGACCCCTGCGGCTTGCTCTCCCCCCCTTCACCCCCCACCCCCCACCAGCCTCTCCCAGAAGTCACTCAACAGCGGTGACGGATGGGGAAACGGAGGCCCCGGAGGTGGTCAAGGAAAGACAGAGGTAGCACACGAATCAGGGCAGTCACCCAGCTCTGACCCCCTCCAGGGCCAGCTTTGTCTTGGGGAGGCTTGCAGGGGTCAGTGGGGACCCAAGATAGACACACTTCCTTCACGAGGACAGGCGCTCCCCGGCCTGGCCAGTGCCGCAGCCCTGTGGTGCCATTTCCTGACCTGTCCAGTTACGCCATCTCCATCTCGGTGATGGATGTGAGGAGCAAAGCTGGGGACCAGGGCGAGGGGGTTCACACCCGGCTCTCGTGGCAGAGGTGGAGGGAGAGGCTGGGCCATGGGCCCTGAGCCTCCACCCCTGCCAAGGGTGGTTCTGAGCGTGTCATGGCTGGGGGCCAGGCCCAAGTTCTCCGCATTCTGGGGGGCGCTGGGTCCTGGGAGCCTGGGTTGCGTGTGGGTTTGGGGTTATTTTAGTTCTGGGGAGGTGTTAGCAGCCACCAGTGGAGCCTGCTGGAGGCCTGCTGAGTAGTGGGAAGGGAACAAATAAGTGGAGACCCAGGGAACTTAGCCCAGGAGATCCGCTTGTAGATGCCCACCCAATGTCACCTGTCACGAGAGTACTGGCATCTCTAGATTTTACTTGATGTGTTTCTTTGTCTACAACTTGGCATTGGCAAAATGTTTACAGTGAGCATTCCCATAGCAATGTAATCATGAATCCTTAAAGCAAAGACCGCAAACTGAGAAAAAAAATCAGCCCAACAGGTGGCCATCCTCTGGTGACTCGCAGGCCCTGCCCTGGTGTCCTGGCCAGCAGGCGGGCCCGGCCCGGGGCCCATCAGCCCATGCTCGGGCAGGCACAGCACAGACACCCCAGGATGCTGTGGAGGGGGCTCCCTGGGGCCTGGAGTTCCAGCTGTCTACTGCTTCTTCTAGAAAAGTGCCCATGTTTGGCCTGGAGGCCATCTGGAGAAATGGCCAAGTGGTAGGCCACATCCGGAGGGCTGATTTCGGCTTCACCCTGGATAAAACTATCGCCTACGGCTATATCTCTGACCCCAGTGGCCAGCCGGTAAGTCCTGCTCTCTGTCCCACCTAAGGGGGCCCTGGTCCGTGTCCCTGCTAAGGGGAGCCTGGGACCTTCTCTGACACTGAGGCCAGAGCTGGGCCCAGCGAGGTGGAGATCACCCCCATTTTGAGGGTAGAGGGATATGCTTCTGCCTTTACTTTTTAATTTTTTGGTGCCAGTTTTGGGGCTTGAACTCAGGGCCCGGGCGCTGTCCCTGAGCTTCTTTTGCTTATGGCAAGTGCTCTACCACTTGAGCCATAGCACCATTTCCATCTTTTTCTGCATATGTGGTACTGGGAATTGAACCCATGCATACATGCATGCTAGGCAAGCACTCTACCACTAAGCCACATGCCCAGCCCTGCCTTTACTTTTAAAGAATACTTACTCCTGCCCTTTTTGTGATTCTGGGATGGGTTTATAAGGAGTGTGGACAGGGAGCCAAGCTTCAATGCCACTACATGTCCAGGACACTGAGCGCAGGCGGTGGCATCCAGGCCACCCTTCCCGCTCCCACGATCGGGCCCTCCAGAATGTTCTCACCATTTGGTGAGCAAGCTCTGCAGATACCACCCCTCCCTCACCCAACTGGCTGAGCACCCAGCTTGCCTGTGGGATAATGGGGATTTCCCAGCAAGGTCAGGGTTGGGCCTCCAGCACAGGAAGGCCCTGGAGCTGAGGTCTTATCAGCTGGGCCCACCACTCTTGGAACACCTGTCTTTAGACCACCGAAGACCACCAGCTACCTGCCTGGACCCTGCGGGGCCCCACACAGCCCTACCCCATCCCCATGCGCTCTGCCATCCATCCCTGAGCTGCCAGGAGTAGGACTCCTGTACCCCCAGAACAAGCCTCTGAGTTGGCCCTGGGTTTAATCACCATTCAGAGAGAGCTCCCTCCCCTGGTGGCCTCAAAAGCCTCCTCCCTCTGTGGTCCAGGAAGTCCCTCCCCTGTGGCCCCAGAAGCTCCTCCCCCTGCAGGGCAGCAAGGATGTCCCAGCACACCCGCCATGCCAGACAGAAGCCCCACTCTTCACCCTGTCTGAGGAACACCAGCTCCCGGGCTTTCTGGGAAGGCAAAGACATGGAAGCCATGTCTAGAGCCATGGGTCCTGCACCCCTCAGCATCCGAGCCCATGCCCTGCCAGGCCCGGTTCCCGGCCGAGCCGCCATCTTCCCATGCATCTGGGATGCTCTACTGGGCCGGCCCAGCTTGGGGCCCTGTGCGATGTGACCCACTGCTCCAGGGTGGGGCCTGGCAGGGGATGGCTTCACCATGTGAAGCAGGCGGGCAGGAGGACAGCCCCTCCCCGTGGCGGGCCTTGACCCTGGCCCCTCTGCACCTAGGTCTCGCTGGACTTTGTGAAGAGTGGGGACTACGCGCTGGAGCGGATGGGGGTCACCTACGCTGCCCAGGCTCATCTGAAATCTCCCTTCGACCCTGACAACAAGAGAGTGAGGGGGCTCTACTGATGGCCTGGGCCCTGGGGAGGCCACTAGCCTGCCAGCTGAGTTCATTCCTGCGACCCCAGACCGGCACGTGGTTCTTCCCCTCCTTAGTGCCTCATCTAATCCACCCCAGCCCCCGTTCAGAGCAGATGGCCAAGGCCTTGGACACCGAGGCCATGCTTGGGAACTACGGGCTCCTCAGAAGGAGCATGGTGACCCTCGGTGACCCAGCGCAGAACAGGGAGGCAGACAGGTTTCACCTCTCCTCCGAGAATCTCTGCTGGCCCTGGGCAGCCAGAGCCCTTGGAGGGAGGGGAATCCAGGGAGAGGGTGGAGCGGTGATCCATTGGCACTGTCTGCCATGGGCACAGGTGGACAGGAGAGAAATGAGTGCTGGGTAAATTCAGGACCGTGTTCAGGTGGTGGTTTCTCAGACCAGGGATGGAGAGTGCTTCTTAACTCTACCTCCCAGTTCTGCAAGTGGGAAAGCCTGAGAGTCACCAGCCTATGGCCTGCGGAAGTCTATGACAAGAGGCCCCAGGTCAAGGGCACTCATTCCTGGGGAGGTTTGGCTCTGAGATGGCTGAGGGCACAGTTCCCACCCACATCAGTCTTCCTGCTCTGGGGAGGGTCCCGAGCAGGTGGGGCTCCTCCGTCCCTTCCTCCCGCCCTCCCTTCTCTCTTGTTGACACTGGGGTTTGAACTCAGGACTCTGTGCTGGCTAGGCAGGCATTCTACTCCTTGAGCCACACCTCCAGCCCTTTTTTGCTCTAGTTATGTTTTTGTGGACAGTGTCCCAAGTGTTTGCCCAGAGCCAACCTTGGACTGTGAGCCTCCAATGTATCTTAGATGACTTGTAGAGCTTGAATTACAGGCTTGAACCACCGTGTCTGGCATATTGTTGAGATGGGGATCTCACTAGCTTTATTCCCTGGCTTTGAACCACAAGCCTCCTGATCTCTACCTCAGGAGTAACTGGGATTACAGGCATGCACAACCATACCTGGCCTACCCTGCCTCCTTCTCTTGTCCCTTGGAATTCTTCCCACTTCTCCACAAGTCAGGAGCCACCCTGCCACCGCTTCCCTGCATTGCCCGGTGCCCTCCTGCTTTGTGCCCTGGTTCAGATCCGTGGATCTTGATGCTGCTGAGGGCTCTCATCATCCTCACCAAAGGTCACCCTGAGGTCTAGGACAGCAGGCTGGATGCTTGGTGGGACCGAGACCCGCACAGCAGCAGAGAAGACGGGCGTGGGCTGTCCTGTCCGGGACAGGCCCAAGCCTCCAGAGGCTCACATACCACACACAGAGCTGGAACAGGTCGAAGGTCTGGGAAGATGTGAGTTACAGATGGCCTTGGAAAGCCGATTTGCTCTCCTGAGTGTGGGGAGGGCTGTGGGCCAGGAAGGGCCGTGGAGGCCTCTGGCTCTCACACCATCAGCCGGAGAAACACCTGCAGCCTCCCATCACCTGGTTCTCGGCCAAGGCCGGTTTTGTGAAGCCAAAAGGGAAGGGAGACGCCGCCCAGATGGCCTCAGCCAGCTTCCCCAGGGCTGTGGTTTGGCCAGGACCCCTGGACTGGACGGGTGACCGCATGCGTCTGATGGCCTGTCTTGGAGGAGGGCTCTGGATGAGGGTGGTCTGGTGGTCTGGGCCCTGGTTCTAGTCCAGCTCATTTCTCACCGCCACGGCTGGGAAATTCTTCATCGGCTTCCTCCCTGTTCCTGAGGGCCTTGTGTGACCAGAATCGCTGCAGTCCTTTGGGAGGGGCTCTGGGTCACCGAGTGGCAGTGGCCTCCTTAGCCACCTAGCTCACCTGCCCCATGGGGAAGGCCCTGGCCTGCCATGGCCCAAGCGCGCTACCCCGATGGACTGCATCTGTACCCCCTCCCACGGTGTGCTCCAAGGCCCAGGGAACCCGCCAGGCCTTCCCTTCTGCTAATCTAGAGACACCTATTGTGTGTGTGTGTGTGTGTGTGTGTGTGTGTGTGTGTGTGTGTGTGAGGTGGGGGGAGGGTAGGCAGTCCTGGGGTTTGAACTCAGGCTTGGGTGTTGTCTCTTAGCTATTCTATTCAAGGCTGGTGCTCTGCCACTTGAGTCACAGCTCTACTTGTGGCTTTTTTGTGGTTCACTGGAGGTCAGAGTCTCACAGACATTGCTGTCGGGACTGGTTTTGAACTGAAATCCTCAAATCTCAGCCTCCTGACTAGGTGGGATGACAGGGGTGAGCCCCTGACGCCTCCCTCACTTTGTCAAGATGCCGTGATGCTCACCGGCTGGCTCCTCAAGTCAGAAAACTGCTTTGAAAGAGTCTGGCTGGCGAGGGCAGGGCTGGCTGAAAGGAGGGTCAGGGTCTTGTGGGAGGGGTCAAGGTCCTGGGGGCAGGGTCGGAGCCTCACACTTGGCTCATGGGGTGGTCCAGCAGTACCCCTTCTTATCCCACCCTCCTGGGCAGGATGGAATGCCCCTGTCCTGGTACCCTCATCCGGAGCCACGGCAGCTGTGTCTTGAGTGCCAATGTCACCAGGCACCGGCCTTCCTGTGGGAGATGGGGAGGAGCCTGCTGGCAGGGCCGGGTGCCTGTCTCCCCAAGAACCAGGCCCTGCTGGCAGAATGTCTGGGCCACTTCTGGCTCTTTCCCTCCTGGGCACCCCCGACTCCTGTACAGAGGGCCACCTCCCTCCAATGCAGCTGGTAAAGTGGCAATGGCAGCATTTGGCAAAGGAGGGGTGGTACTGAGGCAAGTCGTGGTGAGTTGTGTGTGTGAATGAGAACACCTCCAGCATGGGGGGGGGCTCTGTGTTTGGGTTCTTCTAGCTTTCATCTTTGGTCTCCCCAAAGAGTCTGAGGTCTGGTGGCTCCTGTGCCAGTTCACAGTGCCCGCCTTGTGCGGCCCAGCAGGGCTGGTCTCAGCATGGCCAAAGGGGCAGGAGAAGAGCCAGGGCAGAACTCTGATTTGTGACTGTGGAGGGGGATGGAGCAGATTGGTCCCCAACAGAGGCAAAGGCCCAACAGAACAGGTGCGCAGTGGCTTTGGGCCTTGGGGGCACCGCTGAGGCTGCAGAGAAGGCGCTGGAGAAAACCTGGGCTCCGCTCACCCCCACTCCCGGCCAGCAAACATCAGGGCTCTGCCCTCCCGGAATAGCACGGTCTGACCCCAGTCTATCTCTGTGTCTCTGTGCTTTGCCTCTGGGGAATATGTGGCGTGGTGGCACCCATCTGCCCATCAAGGCCTCTGCCCTCCATCTCCCGTTTGCTGCCCACTCCCTCTGCTCATTCATGGTGATCTTCATCACGATGGCTCACTCCAGAAAAGGGGAGGCGGGCTCCCCACACACCATGGAGCCTCAGCCTACACGTGTTCCCCTGCACTGCAAAACAGACTCTTCTCTCCCACTCATCACCAGACTGCTTAAAAAAAAAAAAGCACAGTGCTCACGCCTGTAATCTCAGCTACTTAGAAGGCTGAGATCTGAGGATCATGGTTCAAAGCCCGCCTGGGAAGCTGTTCTCTCCCCTAAAGGATTTCCCCAAATGTTGTGGGCCTCACCTCTCACTTTCTCCAGGATTTAATGAAATGTCACCTTGTCCTGGAGGCTGTCCCTGGTGGTCCTACTTAAAATGCCACACCTGACCAGTGGTGCTGTCTCCTGCCTTCTCTATTCATGTTCTTGTCTTGGGAGGACAGAGACGGAGGCAGGTGCCCCTGGGGCCTGTGTGCGCTCCTGAGTCTGTGCAAGGGTGCTCTCCGTCCCCCCAGCCCCCGCCCCCACTCCCAGTGCATCCCAGGCCTGTGTGTGGCTCCAGATCCTGTGTGTGCCCTGCCCCATCCCCCCTGCCTGTGTGCGCCCCAGGCCTGTATGCACCCCGAGCCTGTGTGCGCCCCCTCCGCCTGTGTGTACCCCTCCGCCTGTGTGCACCCCCCACCTGTGTGCACCCCCGAGCCTGTGTGCACTCCCCTCGCCAGCCTGTGTGCACCCCCCCGCCTGTGTGCTGTGTGCACCCCCCCGCCTGTGTGCATACCGAGCCTGTATGCACCTCCTTCCCCTGCCTGTGTGCACCCCCCTCGCCGGCCTGTGTGCACCCCCCAGCCTGTGTGCATGCCCAAGACTGTGTGCACCCTCCCCCGGCCCAGCTTAAGTCAGCCCTTGGGTCTACAGGGCCCCCAGCAGGGCTGGGGGGGACAGTCACTCCTGTGGGGTTCACAGCGTCCTGGGGAGGAACGCAGAGCGGCGGGACAATGGTCATGTGTCCCGGGGCCGTCCTTGTTCTCAGGCTGTGCAAGGACCGCGCCCCTCGCCGGTCAGGCGTGGGCTCAGTGGGGAGGATCCTATGGCCACGCCCCTTGCCCCATGCGCAGGCGTGGGCTCAGTGGGGAGGATCCTATGGCCACGCCCCTTGCCCCGTGTGCAGGCGTGGGCTCAGTGGGGGCGGTCCCGTGGCCACGCCCCTTGCCCCATGCGCAGGCGTGGGCTCAGTGGGGGCGGTCCTGTGGCCACGCCCCTCATCCGTGCGCAGGCGTGGGCTCTGTGGGGAGGGTCCTGGGGCCACGCCCCTCGCCCGGTTTCCGCTGGGCGTGTCTCCAGCAGCGGGGAGCCGTGGCGCGGCTCTTCTCTACCCGCCTGGGACGGTGGCAGAAGTCTTGGCGGTGGGAAGGGCAGGCCTGTCCTGGAGCTGGGCTGACTGCATGCCATGGGCTCTGACAACACTTTCCAGAACTTTCTGTGGAGGGAGGAGTCTCTGTAGCCGTGCTGACCAGCCTGTAGCTATGGGCCACAGGTAGCTCCTGAGCCCTGAAACGTGGGTGGAGATGGGGGACCTCGAACCTCAGCATTCCATAGCTGTCGTTTTAATTAATTTCAATGAAGCTTAACTAATCTCAGGAGCCCAGTGGGTCCCAGCCAACGGCCCAAGCCAGCTCAGAGGACACCCCAGTTCTTCTCTGGGGTCTGGAGCCCAGGGATGACACTTTGCATACCGCAGGTCTCCTCAATACCGCCTTGAACCCAGGGCACCTGGGACTCTGCCCTTTCCTGACGCCCAGGCCCCGGGCGCTGGAGAACCTTCCTTGGTGGGGAGGCCCGGCCCGCCCAGCAAGCCAGCGCAGCGGCCTGGACTGCGCCGCTCAGGGGTGCGGCGTGCACACTCCGGGGTTCTGCCACCCCCCATTCTGTGCCTGCAGAAGGGATGCAGCCCAGCCCAGTCCCCATGGGGATCCTGCCCCTAAATATGGAAGTGGAGGTTGGGTCCACATGCTACAGCCAGTCTGTGCATGAGGAGCCCTCAGCTTTGCCTAAGAACACGGGGATCACCAGAGAGAGCGGGAAGCGGGGAGGGGGGGGACGACGGGGGACGACCGTGGGTCAGGAGTGACCCCGAGTGACAGGAGGTCCAGGCACCAGGTCTGATTCCTGATTGGGGCTCTTTTGAGGGTCCCAGAGGAGGCGCTGCTCTGTGAACCTCACTTTCCCTCATCTGTGAGTTACACATCCCCCAGGTGCCTGCGGCGTGGGAGGGGAAGCGGGGAGCGATGGGGCCACTCTGGCAGAGTCTCCCTCGCACGCTGCCCAGGGCTGCCGGTTGGGCAGGACCAGCTCAGAAAGGGCCTGTCTGGAAAGCTGTGAAGATGACCGAGGGCCCAGCGGCTCTTGCGTTGTCAGGTCTGGCCCTGCGCAGCGATCATGGTGTGAATTACAGCTGTGGGGGAGCCGTGATTCATTCACTGCGGCTCAGAGCGGGGCCGGGCCGATCTGATCCACCAGTAATGAAGAGCCTCCTCCGCAGAGGAAGAGGCCGCGCCGGCAGGTCCTCCCGAGGAGGGAGCCTGGGCCCATCCATCACCCTGTCTGCTCTAGCGATTGCGGCGTTTTGCTGAACTGGCTGAACAGAGCCGAATTTGTTACTCCCTTCAGAAATTCTCCAAAAGCTGAGCTCGCCCTAATCCGAAGACAGCTGAGGGGGCAGTGCAGACCCAGCAGACAGACCTGAGGCACCACCCTGGGTCCCCGGTGTGGGGGACCCCATGGGTCCAGCCGGCAAGAGGGCCGCCCCAGCCAAACCTCCACTCCTCAGCAGAACTGGACTGTAATCCGCCCTGATTCCAGATCCTGGCCACGTCACTGCCAGTTTCTCCCTGGGAGGAGTGGGCAGTGCTAACCAGAGTTCCCCAACGAGGCTGCAGTCTTCATCTGGCTCTTGGCCGCCTTGGTTTTCAGTAGAGAGAGTTGTGAGGGCTTCCCTTTTAGGTGGGCGAAAATTTCTATTTACCCTGCCTTGGAGCAAGTCTTAACTCACTAAGTGTCTCAGTGCGGGAACGCCGCCCACGGGAGACAGAGCCGATCCTCAGGGAGATGTTTAAGAAACTGCAGCAAGCGTACACACACACACCAACACGAACCGCCACCATGGGCAGAGGGTGAGTCCACAGCCCAGCCTAGCATGGCTGTCAGGGAGGTGGACGTCCCAGCCCCCTTTCCTGCCCCCCGTGGTGGCTTGTCCCTGTGCTGAGTGGGCCTGGGGGTTGGGGAGCCTCTCCGTCATGCAGGGGTCTCAGGAACAGGGGGCTGGAGTGGATCAAGCTTCAGGCAGGGCTTGGCCTGGTGCCTTCATTCTAGGCCCATGGCACTGTTCCACAGAGGGGAGGGCCTCATGGGGGAGGGGTGCTGGCCAGAGCCCCTGTGCCCTGGCGGAGAGAAAGGCCAGGAGCGGCCCCCCCTAACCTCTGCCCCGGCCAATGCTGACCCTGGTGGGGCCGCTGGGGCTCTGGGCCTGGCTGGCAGAGCACTGTGGGGTGGGCTCTTCCAGTGTTGAGAGGATCTTGGGCAGGGGCTGCAGATCCCATTCACCCTGTAAGGAAGGAACCAGGAGGTAAACTGAGGCTGGGAGGGGGGAGCATGGTGGGGTGCCACATCTCCAGCCACTTTTCTTGCCCTCAAGCCAAACTCTGTCCACTCCCCACATACACAAGCTGCTCCTAGGGATCCCCACCATGCCCTCAGTTACTTGGTGACCTGAAAGCAGCAGGGAGCCATAGCTCTAGCCAGGCTGCGGCCGACAGCCGAGCTTTCAGTCCCGGTAGATGTGGTGCCGCGCTGCGCCGCTGTCAGGTTTAGCAATTAACTGGAAAAGGTTTGCTCCTGGACCCCCGGGCGGCAACGGTTTCCCCCTTCCCTGCCTGACTCTATGCAGGCCCAGACTCCTGATGGCGGCTCTGCGCGCCGGGCCGCGGCTCAGCTGGGGAATCAATTAGGTGCCTTTGAGTCCCAGAGGGTCTCAGGCAAGGAGCAGGAAAGCAGCTGCGGGGGCAGCCGGGGCTCCCCGCCCCCTCCCAGGTTTTATGTTTAGGTTTTAGGGAGGCTGCGGATTGGCTGTTGGCAGGAGAGGTGGCTGCCCTGCCCTTCCCCACAGTGTTATGGTCTGTCCTCCTTACAGTCTGTCACCGCTGGGTCATTTTCTCCAGCTGGCGCGTGTGAGTGCTTCCTGCCCAGGAGTTTAGGGTGCAACACCAGAGTCATGGGGAGGGGCATGGCTGGGTCCCCCGTGGCCCCACGGCGGGTATCTGACAGCCTACCTGGAAGCGGATGGCGGAGGACTTGTTGCAATGCATAGAGATAGGGGCAAAGTCGTACAGGGCCTTGAGCACATCCCGGTTAAAGGAGTTCCAGGGCACAGAGGCAAACTGCTGGGGGACAGAGGCCTGAGGGCAGGTGCAGACACCTTCACTGTCGAACCTGGAGGCAGAGGAGGCAGCCCAGGCTGAGGCTGGGAGGGGGAGGAGGGAAGCCCTGCAGGATGCCGGTGAGGCCTCCAGCAGTTGCCCTCCCTGCGCCCCCTCCCCCAGCCCTGCCACTCATGTGGGCTTCCCAGGAAGCTGTGCTGGCCCTGTGCCCCTGCCAGCAATGGATTCATCCCTTGTGACACCTTGAATTGTTGGTTAGGGCTGCTCTGGGCTTGGTTGTGAATTAGGGATTGATTAGTGATGCCTGCCACAGGCACCTCCAGGAGCTAGTTGGGTGGCACGGTGCCAGCCTTGCTCCAAGGACTTGGTGTGGATTCTTCAGGTCTGCTCAGCCTCCTATCGGGGCCTGTGGGTTTCCGTCTTGGTTCTCCTGGGGACCCGGAGCACAGGGAGGCCCTTCACCTGTTCACCAAGTGGAAGTATTTCTGCAGGAAGCCAGCGTCCACGGCGCTCTTGCAGAGCTCCAGCTCCGTCTGGGGGTAGTAGTGTATGTAGTTGACACACATCTCCTCCAGGATCCCGAAGCCGCCCTGCAAGCCACAGGGATGGCCGTCAGTGGGCTGGCGTCCCTCGCAGCCCTGGCTGGGAGACAGGCGACAGGCGGTACCAGTGGAGACAGATGGGTTGGGGAGGTTAGGAAGGCTGTGGGATGGGGCAAGGGCCAAGGCAGTACTATTTTCTGGGTACAAAAGCTGAGTCTCAGGGGGACGAGGAGACACACACCCTGCCATGGCTGTTCAATCAGAGGCACAAACGGGCCTGGAGGAGCCTGGAGCTGAGAAACCCACCCTCCTCATGCCCCGCCCACCGACCCCCAATCCCCCCACCCAGCTGAACTCTGAGAGGAGCAAGATTACACATAGGCGGCTCAGCACGCAGCAAACACCACCCAGTGTGGTGCTGCTCTTACATCCCGACCCTTCTCCAGGTGAAGGAGGGCAGCCTCGGAGCCAGGGCTGTGTGTGCCGCGGGGGCCTCTGCCAGCCTCTGAGCTGTGTGTGTGCCGCGGGGGCCTCTGCCAGCCTCTGAGCCAGGGCTGTGTGTGTGCCGCGGGGCCTCTGCCAGCCTCTGAGCTGTGTGTGTGCCGCGGGGGCCTCTGCCCCCGGTGTGTGCCCCCAGCCCGGGGTGGGCAGCTGTCAGCCCTAAGAAGGCAGGTAGGGAACAACCCGGCTCAGACCCCCCTAGGGTAGCTGGGCCATAGGCACGGGTCTCCCTTCTCTGAGCCTTCATTTCTCCCCTGTGACAGTTCAGGCTAAAAACCTTGGGGAATGAAATGAGACTGTAAGCAACACAAACGTCCATCCACCAGAGAATGAACAAATACCAATACTGTGCCCCTCAACCAGGTATCGTGACTCACTCCTGTAATCCCAACTACCAGTGAGGCAGAGATCAAGGCCAACCCAGGCATGAAAGTTCACAAGACTCCATCTCAATCAGTTAAACTGAGCAAACATCAGCACACACGCACACACATATACACACACACACACACACACACACACACACACAGAAGTAAAAGACTTGGGGTGTGGTTCAAGGGGTAGAGTGCTGGCCCAGCAAGCTCAGGTCCTGAGTTCACACTCTAGTACAGTATCAGCATCATCGTCACCATCCTCATCACCAGCACGTGCCATTTGTAGGGCTACAAACAGTGGCGTCTGTTGAGTGACAGCCCGCTGGAGAAGGGTGTAATAGAGTAACCCTCCATTCCAAGAAAGGGAGATTCTGTAACTTTATACACAGGGAAAGAAACCACACGACTCCATCAAGAAGAAATGTCCAGAATGGGCCAGTCTGGATTCAGCAGGTGGCGGTGGTTACCAGGGCTGGTGGTTGCCTGCGTCTGTGACTGTACTAAAGTCAAACAATTGACTGTGGTGCGTAAATTCTGTCTCCATAGATGACTTTAACTAAAAGTGTAACATGACCAAGAGGAGAAGGGACACGATGGTGGTCTGAAAGACACGGTCATGTTTTGTGTGTGCGTGTGCTGGTCCTGGGTTATGAACTGGGGGCCTGGGAGCTGCCTCTGGACTTTTTGTTGCTCAAGGCTAGCACACTTGAGCTGCACTTCTGCCTTTTTGCTGGTTCATTGTACATAAGGGACTTGCGAATTTTTCCAGCCAGAATTGGCTTCAAACCTTCGTCTTCAGAGCTCAGCCTCCTGAGCAGCTGGGATTCCAGGCGTGAGGGACTGTAATGGCTCCTGCCCAGAGCTGCCATCTTGACTCGCTGAATAAGAATCTGGTGACATACAAGTACCAGATTCTGAGGAGGGAAAGAGAGGAAGGAAGGAGAAACGGGGCCCCGCACACTCTTGGGGTCACAGCAGAAGAAGAGCAGCCAGGAGTCCTGACGGAACACTCAGCCCCCCTGGCTAGGGAAGGGAACCCAGAGAAGACACCACGGGGTACAACCAGATGGTTCCCTCAAGGGGTCACCGAATTCAGCCAGAAGGAAAGCAAACACACAAACCCACAGACCACACTGCCAGCTCAGGGGTCCTGAGGGGGGGCGGGGACCAGTCCGCTGCGAGAGGCGCCCCAGAGCCCTGAGCTCGACGGTCACCACCGTCAGCCAATTTCTCTGGGTCGGGAAGCAATCGCAGCGGACAGGGGGCTGCGGAGCCCGTGTGCGAATCCGTGATGAGAGATGCGGCAGCGGAGGACGGAGCGGGTGGCAGGAAACAGGAAAAAACAAATGTACACTCCGGGCAGCCACGGGCGGCTGCGTGGAGAGAGGGCTGCAAACTCCTGGCCAGCCGGGGGCACAAACCCCAGGCCGGGGCTGTCACCTCCACCCTGCGAAGAACCGCGGTCCCCCAGACACGGACAGCCATCAGAAATTCCTAGCTGTTGTGCAGAAGTCTGTCTCTTCGTTCTATTTTTGGTTCTATTTTCTGAGGGTTGGTCTAGCTGAATGAATGGCCTTCTACCCGTGGCTGTCCCCTTCTGTGCACTGCCCAGTTATCCAGCGCATGTCCCAGACACACAGCCTAGCCACGCGTCACGGTGTCCATCCAACAGCGCCATGCTGCCCTGCTCACAAGTTCGGAACTTCATTCAGGAAGATGGAGGTAACGCAGCCACGCGCCCTGCCCCGCGGCGACCGGCACTCCAGCCAAGGGGTTGGGACCCAGCCTCAGGGAGGTTTTAGAGACAGTCCCCCGGGCCCTGGACAGGCACCTGGGGTGGCCGGGGTGACTTACCACGGTGGCCAGCTTCCTGTCCTCCGTGTTGTAAGTGCAAGAGGTGACCAGCACATCGCCCTGGGGATGAGGCCGCAGCTGCGTCAGCGCCCGCCCTCTGGGGCTGGTGGGCAACCCAGCCCCTGGGGAGCAGGTGCCCCCCAGAAGCACCCCTCACCCCTTCATCCACATGAGGGTTACAAAATGCCTGTCCCGGGGGCTGGACTCCATCCGCCCCGGGGCCCCAAAGACACAAGTCATGGGCTCAGGCCTGGCCCCGCTGCTGTCGAGGCTGAGGCCCCCACCGTGGGCCTGGGTCCCCACCCAGGGCCCTCATCCTTTCCCACAGCTTTCAGATGGTGGCAAGGCCAGAGAGGGGCGTCCTCTGTGGCCTTGACCCCATCCTTCTGGCTCTCCACCCCCCCGGCCTTCTCTGGGTCCCCCCCTCTGAGGACCCCTGGGCTCCCTGTCCCCCACCCCCTTGGCACTCACCGGGTACACAGATACCATCTTCTTCAGCATGCGGATCTCCTTGAGCGGGGAAGAGGGCAGACATCAGATTGCTTGGGGCCTTCTCCCACACCCCAGACTAAGCCTCCTGACCCTTGGGTTGTCAGCTCTGCCCTGCCTCTCTGGGGAGCCAGAGCTGGTTAAATGTGGGCTCCAAACAGGAAGGGACAAGGTTAGGACAAGAAGGTGAGCACTGGGGTGATGTAACCTTGCGTGGCTAGGGACCCCCAAAGCCCCTGGCCACCCTGGGGCCAGGATCCAACACCTTCCCCTTGGATTAGAGTGTAAGAGGGGGTGCTGGGTGCAAGAGCCTCAGCGTGGTTATTGCTGGGGCCATTGGAGGGAAGGCCTAGCAGCTGAGGGGGAGGCCAGAGGCGAGAGGCAGGCCCAGCACGCCTAGGGAAAAGCCCAGCGGGCCGAGGGAGGCCCAGCAGGGGAGGGGTAGGCCCCGCGGGCCCCTACCTGGAAGTGAGGGCTGTAATGATTGTCCCTGTTCACGATCTCCCTCTCTTGGCCATCCCGGGCCAGCACAGTGACCACCTTCCTCCCCGTCAGGTGTGTGTGGAGCTGGGAGGCAAAGATTCGGATTCCGGAGGGTGGCAGGGCCTGTGGGCGCGGGGACGCACAGAGTCAGGGCCTGACCCCCAAGGGGCCCCAACCAGAAGCAGGGAGCAGAGACACCCTGCCTTTGTTTCCCTTTTCTAGAGGATTCTTCCTGCTGGTCATAAACCTAAAAAGGCTGTAAGAGCTGGCGCGGGCTGCAGCCTGGGCCTTGCGAAGCAGCAGCAGCTCCGGGCTCCTGGACAGATTCTCTCTCTTTTTTTTTTTTGTTGTTGGTCGTGAGGCCTGAACTCTGGGCCTGGGCACCGTCCCTCAGCTGTTCAGCTCAAGGCTAGTGCTCTACCACTGGAGCCACAGTGCCACTTCTGGTTTTCTGGTGGTTTGTTGGAGATAAGCGTCTCATGGACTTTCCTGCCTGGGCTGGCTTTGAACTGCGATCCTCAGATCTCAGCCTCCTGAGTAGCTGGGATGACAGGCGTGAGCCGCCAGCGCCCGGCCCTTTTGTCTCTCTTGCGTCCTGAAGGCAGAGCATGTGTTCTTCTCCGTCTTTGCAGCAGCAGGACCTACGGCGAAGGCTGCCGGGTGAGCAGGCAGGGCCTCCACACTCCCGCCACACTCTGTAGACCCCATGTCAAGGGGGCAACCAGTATGTGTTCTGCAGTGCCCACCAACAGCTCCCTCCCGTGCTTACAACAGGGTGTTCTCCCTAAGGGCACGGTGACCCTGCTGTGCAGCTAGGAGCTGTCATCCAGGCCCACGAGTGACAGTCACTCCCATGGGAGTCGGGGGGGGGAGGGGGAGGGAGGCTCACCAACACGTAACGCCTCAAGGAATTTTCCGGGGTTTATGGTTTCTTTGTTAGATAGACAGTGTCATCAAGCTAAGTGCTGGTGACTCAGGCCTGTAACCCTAGCTACTCAGGAGGCTGAGATCTCAAAATCAAGGTTCAAAGCCAGCCCAGGCAGAAAAAGTCCATGTGACTCTTTTGTCCAATTAAGCAGCAAACAAACGCTGAAGCAGAGCTGTGGCTCACACGATAGAGTGCCAGCCTTGAGCAAAAATGCAAGACAATGCCCAGGCCCTGAGGTCAAGCATTGGCACACGTGCGTGTGTGTGTGCACACACACTACACATGCATGTTTCCACGGTGTGTGAGGGCTGGTGTTTCCAGACAGCGGACAGCCTGGGAGCCCGCCAGTGGCCCAGGCCACACAGAGGGGCTGGGCCCCGTGTCCGAGGGTTCCCGTGGCCACTGCACTGTGTGATGCTTGCATACCGAAAGTGCCCTTCCAGTGCAGTGCATGGAAGCGTGGGCACGCCGCGGGACCAGCCACGGGGGCTGGGGCCGGGGTGGGCGGGGAAGGGGCAGCTGCACACAGGTCCTGGATTCGTGGTCAGGGGAGCGGCCTCCCCCCGGGCCGGCGGGGTGCAGCCCAGCCCGGCCCACTCACCAGCTGGGTGCACTTGTCCGTGCAGTAGCCGGTCAGCATGAAGGCAGTCTCGTGTGGGGGGATGGCCATCACCGGCGTGTACACCAGGCCCAGCTCCATGATCCCCGCGTTGAAACGCCGGAGCGTGGCTGTGTAGTGCAGGCGGATGCCGGAGGAGTCCCGGCGGCCTGCGGAAGGGGCCCGGGGTGAGCAGAGGAACTCACACACTCCCTGCGGACAGGGTCGCCGATGCCCTCGCTGACAGAACAGCGCGGGAGGCAGCGGGCCGAGCGGCTGGGACGCAGGGCACCACAGAGGCCGCGGGCCGTCCCTCACGCCTTGAAACCAAGACCAGGTGTCTTCTCCCTCCCCCTCCAACATCCAAACCCCAGTAGCTCCTGTATCTCCCAGCTGCTCACATCAGAAGCTAATAACAAAATAACATAAGTGAAAGAAAAAGGCACTTGGCTAAAATTCAGATAGGGATTAAATAATGAGATAATTGTGGGATTTTGATATTTATAGAGAAAGCAGCCCATCTCAGGATTGGTGAAGTGACAGGAAAGGCCTTATATTGGGTAAAGGATCCATAAATACAAGCAGACAATCAGGAAGAGGCAGACATCGCCTGTGCTTAAGGAGGTTTTGAAAATCCATTTGCTTTCAGGTTTTAAATGAGCAATAAATCCCCTCTCATGCTAGGGCCGAGCCGCATTGCGGCCGCCTCTGTGTGTGCTGCAGATAATTCCAGCTGCGGTCCTGCCGGGCGTAGGCAGCCGGGAGGAAAATAACCGCGTCATTAGGAGCACAGCCGGGGTCGGCACCCGGCATTCGGCACACCAGCCTCACAGTGCTCTGAGCCACCACAGCAGTTTCACAAGTGAAAAGGAATGTTGTTTGAAAAGACAGACAGAGAGACAGAGAGACAGAGACAGAGAGACAGAGACAGACGGAGGGAGATGGGCGCCGGTGGCTCATCTCCATATCCCTAGCTCCTCAGGTGGCTGAGATCTGAGGATCACAGTTCAAAGCTAGCTCAGGCAGGAAAGTCCACGAGACTCTTATATCTAATTAAGCAGCCAAAAACCGGAAGTGGAGGTGTGGCTCAAGCAGTAGAGCACTGGACTGAGAGAGTGAGAGAGATGGGGGGGGAGAGACAGATACAGACAGAGACAGCGACAGAGGCAGCGGCCCATTACACACACAATACCAAGAGAGAGAAAGGCAGCAACGCATCAAAAGAGAGAGAGAGAGAGAGACTGCCTTTGGTGGGAGATGGGGCAGCAACACAGAGCAGTCAACACTGCTTCTGACACGATGTTAACTGGCACTCCCATCCTAAAGACCTCGTCTACTGTCCGCCTTCAGGCACAGAGTGATCCAGCGGTGTTGGCTCTGAGTTTCATTCCCCTTCCAACCCCAAAGCCATGTTTAACACCACCACAGAGACACAGCCAGACAGTGGAGGCTCATGCCTATAATCCCAGCTATGCAGGACACTGAGAGCTGAGGATCTTCTGGGACACCATCAGCTCCAGGGAACAAGCAAAATGCTGAAAGCATGGGGGCGTGGCTCAAGCAGAGTGGTAGAGTGCCAGCCTTGAGCACGAAGGCCAGACTAGAGCAGGAGATGCTGAGTTCAAATGCCCCAGTACTGGCACAGATAAATGAATACATAAGCAAACAAGTTACCTCTGTGAAGCCAGCTGCATCCCATGGTTCTCATCCTTTTGCACACCTTGCACTTTGCTTGTGCTTCCCTGGTATGCACACATGTGCATAGGTGTATCTGTGCTCTGCATGCTCCCCAAAGCCCTTGCTGCCATGGATACCGTCTGGCTGCCCCTGAAGGGATGCCCCGTGCATGGCAGGCTCTCCTCGAGTACCGACAGGGCTGGCTAGCGAGCCGGCAAAGCAGGAAGGGGCAGCCAGGAGGCTCTGGGGCCAGGGTACAAATGTGGGAGGTACCAACGTGTTGGGGAGACACCGGGGCTCAGGTTGACAGGCAGACAGACGCCCCACCTTCAGGACCTAAGGGCTGCCGTGGTGAACTGGGGGACACGATCACCTCCCGTGTACCTCACAGAGGTCACGGAGCGCTCAGTGCCCATAAGCTCAACTGTGCTGTACTAAACCCTTCCTGCAGCACCCAGGGCAGACATTGCTAATCAATTACAGCACTGCCCTGCATAGCCAGCCAGAACCTCAGGCTGAGTACTCTTCCAAGCTGCTGACAGGCAGTAGGAAGCCTAGGAGCAAAACCTCTGCTGTCCCTGGCCCAGGCACACACAGAACAGGGACAGGAAACCCCACGTGCATGCTCGCGCTGGACGCCCTCGTCCGTTCCTCTACAGTGACTGGGGGCTGCCGAGCCAGAGCCCCGCCTGTCCCCAAGGCCGCGTTTTCCAGTAGTCAGAGCTTCAGGGCCCGGGGGAGTCTGGGCAGGGACCACCACGGCTCTGACACGGCCTGGACCCCTGCCAGATGCCACGCCGTGGCCCAGCTTCCCTGGAGGGAGCAGAGCCACTTTGTGGACGGCAACAGGCCCCGAGGTCTGGGCTGCACACCCTGAACTGGCCCTGAGCGGCGAGCGAGGGGAGGGGAGGGACGGGCTCAGGCTGGCCTGTGTCACCGTGCTCTGCATCGGGACAGGCAGCAGCTCTGGGACCAGGCCGGCCTCTACGCTCACAAGGCCCAGGGGCCGAGATGGGCCAGAGCCAGGACTCCTGGCCTCAAGTCCCTCCTCCTCCACCTCTGAGCCTCAGTTTCCTCCACTGCAAGGTAGGAGTGCAAAGACCTCCGCCTGGCCTTTCCGTGGGGGGTGGCAGCTGGGATGGTGCCGTCTAGACACCCGCGGTCCTGTGCAGACAGGAGGACGGGCGTGGGGCGCGGGGGCTGCCTGCGGAGGTGGGCGGTGGCCTGTGGCAGGTGGAGGCTGAGGCCTGCCAGTAGTGCCCCTCTAGCACCCCCAGGTCCTTTCCGACTGGACAGGTGGAGCATGGAGCCACGCCTCCCTCCCGTTCCCTACCTTGGATCTTCAGCGGGTTGTGGTAGTGAACTTCTAGGCGGAGGTATCTGGAGGACCCAGGTCCCCCAAAAGCGACACCAGCTTCCTCTGGGTAGTAAAACGCCTGTGGGGGGTACAGAGGGAGGTGTCCGAAGGGGGCCTGGGCTGGGACAGGCGGGGCCGGGGTGGGGGATTAGAAGGCTCCCCTGCTGCTGGGTGGACCAGGACCAGTTCCACCATTGGTCTCACTCCCAGCCCAGCCCCACCTGCTCTGTCCTCTAGCTTGGGGAGAAGGCAGTCATGGAGACCCCAGGGGCTCCTTCGGGGACCAACTTACCTTGCCACCGGGCAGCCCTGGAAGCATGCCGTGCCCAGAACATGGACCCCAGCGTGTATATAAAATCAGTACCCACGCGGGGCACTGTCAGAGAGGGAGCAGTCTATGCGCCCCCAAAGAATGATGGGAGTCAGACATCCCAGAGGCAGCCGGAGCTGTTGGGGCCTGGCCGCCCCTGCTACATACCCCTGCTGTGGGAGGCGGGGCCGGGTCGCCGCGGGTGGGCAGGCGGGCGGTGCTGGCAGCATGGTGCACTCACCTTGGCGCCCAGGGCCCAGGCGGCCAGCACGTGGCGACAGTAGTTGAGGCGCTCCGGCTTCATCTTGGAATCGCACGGGCCACTGAAGAGGGGGAAGGTCTCGAACTCGGCCGCACACTGGAAGACCTCCATGTGGTGTACCAGGGCCTCGTTGCCCTCGGTGATGACGGCCTCGTACTACACAGGGACAGCCACAGGACAGCCCTGAGCTGGCCTGCCTGCTCGCCCTGCCCGCGGGCCGGGGCCTCTGGGCCCATCTGCCCAGCTGTGAAATGGGAGGGAGGAGCAAGGCAGCTTGGAGGGGGGCAGCGGCATGGCAGGGGCCTTGGGCTCAGGGAGGAAGCTGCCAGCCCAGAGCAAGATGGTGCCAGGAGCCCATGAAGAGGAGGCCTGGCGTGAAGAGAGCGGGGGACCCACACAGGCCATTTCCAGAAAAGGTGGAGATAGGCCGGGTACTTCCAGGCAAGGACACTCTCTCTGAAGCACCATCAAGAGGCGGATGGACACCCCAGCCTACAGGCTGGCCCCAGGCACACGAGCACAGCCAGGCTACTCCCTCACACGGCCTCTCCGGTCAGTGTTTCCCCTCTGGAAACAGAGACAGTAGCCAGTGCCGGGTGCCACCTCTGTCTGGCAAACAGTGGCATCCAGTCACCAATGCCATCGCTACGATTTCTGCCCTAGAGAATGAATTAAGCTGTGAGGGGGCAGGTGACCATAGACAGACAGATGGACGGATGGACAGCAGTCCTAGTCCCAAGGGCACAGAGGCCCTGGGGTGGGGGATGGGCGAGCCGGGTGTCAGGGGACTGGGGTGCTGCCGTGACTGGGGTGCTGCCGTGGCTGTGACAGCGGCCGTGCGGGGCCCAGGCTGGTCCCGCAGTTGGGCGCTGAGAGGACACTCGGTGGTGTGCCGCAGCCGGGTGGACCCCACCTACCATGATGATGTGGTGCCGGGAGAAGCCGGGGGGCAGCTCGGTGATGTAGCACCAGTACGTGGTCTCCTGGCCAGGGATCAGGACGTCAGGCGCGCGGATCTCCATGGTGTGTGTGTCCGGGGGCATTGCCGGGGTGCGGACCTCGGCCTTCAGGAGCTGCACCCGCTGCAGCCCCGTCTGCAGGCCCGAGGTGTTGATGGCCTCCAGAGACCGGAAGGGCTCCTCCAGGATGCCGTACACCAGGTGCACGGTGCCATCCTGCAGCCGGATGGGGCCCGTCAGTCCCCCCACGCACTGGGCAGGATCCTTAGCCACCAGGAGAAAGGCTATGTTTCTGCCCACCCACTCCTCCAGCCAGTGGCTCTCAGCGGTGCAGACGAGGGGCTCTGAGTGCCGCGTCCCTGTCTGTGTTCGGATCCCAGGCTGGCTACCCCAGCTCTGTTCCAAATGCATCTTGTCTTTTCTGTTCTGCCTACATCCCATACCCATATAGGGACTTCTGGGCCCCATGGAGCCTGGGCCAGCTGGGACAACCCAAAGGTCCTGGGGCACAGGGTGACAAGGTCGTATCTACGCTCAGGCCAGCCCAGCCTGGGGCACTGGCGCTGCGTGTGAAATGGGGTTTTGAACTTGTGCTGGACAGCACAGACACAGAAAGGCCTGTCAGGGAGCGCTGTGCTGGGGGTGCTGTGCTGGGGGTGCTGTGCTGGGGGGTGCTGTGCTGGGGGTGCTGTGCTGGGGGGTGCTATGCTGGGGGGTGCTGTGCTGGGGGGTGCTGTGCTGGGGGGTGCTGTGCTGGGGGTGCTGTGCTGGGGGGTGCCGTGCTGGGGGTGCTGTGCTGGGGGGCGCAGCCAGGCTCCGGGGCAGGGGTTGGGCCTTCCCACCCCATACCAGAAGTGGAAACCAGCATCCTGGGTGGAACAGGGTGACAGAAACACCTGCAGGTCTAGAGCCACGGTGTGTGCTATGGTGAACTGGGAGGATGCATGCTCTCTCCAAGCGTATCTCAGAGCTCCAGGCAGAGGGCCCAGAGTCTGGGCACCGGCGATCCTGGCCTACCCTGGGACATTCTTCAGATGATCCCCTGCCCTCCCTCACCTCCTCCAACCAGGAGGGAGAGACTTAACGACCAACCAGAAGGCCCAGCTCTGCTCCAGCTCTGCCCCTGAGCCCCTCGGTGCTTCCATTCCTTTCCAGGGCCTTGGCTTCCTCATCTGGCCAGCCCCCTGCTGCTCTTTTCCTAGATCCTGTGCTTGTCCATTTGGCATTTGTAAATTAACCTCGGGCCAATGGATGGCCACAGCTGCTACCTCTTCCTGCCATCCACCAGTGCGGTAGGCCGGTGAGGATGGGATTCTACACCCTGCCACCCGAGAGCTCATGCTGCCAGCGCCTCCCACCCACGTGCTCCGGGCCAGGCGCTGGGGAGGTGGAGCCCGCCTGGGACCCACACGGTACCACTTCCCTGCCAGGCTCTGCCTTTTCTATGGGAGCTGGGTACGACCTCCTGCCACACTGTCCTTGCTCCATTCTACCTCACCCCCAGGCCTGTGCACCCACGTGGCCCTCTGTGGCCTGGGGGCTACCTCCCCGAGAACTGTGCGTAATACATCTCTTTCAATGGTACCGGCCTTTCCATGGTGTCGCTTGACCAGATCTAAAATTAAAGCCTGGAGCCAGGTGCTGGTGGCTCACGCCTATAATCCTAGCCACTCAGGAGGCTGAGATCGAGGATACAGGCTCAAAGCCAGCCCAGGCAAGAAAGTCCAAGCCCCTTATCTCCAATTAACCACCCAAAAGCCAGAAGTGGAGCTGTGGTCCAAGTGATTCAGTGCCAGCCTTAAGCCTAAAAGCTCAATGCCCCCCACCACACACACACATACAGGTAAAACCTAGACACACACCAGCAGCCCTGCCACTGCCGTCTCTAATCACCCAGGCAGCAGACTCTCCTCAGCTGGGGGGCCCTACCTCAATAAGGTAATCCTGGGGGTCGCAGGTGGCAAAGGACCTCTTGAACAGCAGGGACAGGCCGTCTGGTGTCCCCTGTGCCTGCAGCAGCTGGTAGTCCTGCTGGGCATCTAGGTGTATCTGTCCTTTCTGGTCGCTCCAGGCGTCCTGCGGAGAGAGCCCCGGATCTGAGCATGGAGGAATCCATCAGCAGGGCCGGGTGCAGAGCTGAGCAGAGCTCAGGCCCTCCCAATCCCACTGCGGAGTTGTACCTCACTTCCTGTGGAGGTGTCCCAGACCCCTTCCTCTTCCCTTTATTTATTGGCTCTTTTCAGATGGGGTTTTGTTAAGTAGCACAGGCTGGTCCAGAACTCACAGTCCTCTTGCTCATTCTCCCAAGTACCAGGATAATAGCTAGGCTAGCTTCTTTCCTTTTTTTTTCTTTTTCTTAGCATGCATTAGTTTCACAAAGGTGGGGGGGGGTCATTGTGAGATTGCCCAGATGTACACTGTGTCCCACTCAGCCCCGCCCCTCTGTCCCTCTCCTTTTCCTTTCCCCCTTCCTTAAGCAATCACAAGCCAGGTGCTGATGGCTCACACCTATAATTCTAGCTACTCTGGAGGTGGAGACTTGGAGGGCTGTGGTTCAAAGCCAGCCTGTGTAGAAAGGTCTATGAGACTCCATTTCCAAAATATAGTACAACACCAGACCAAAAGGGAGATTCGAGTCTTACACACCAGCCGAACGAGCAAGGTGAGCAAGTGTGAGGGCCTGTGTTCAGACCCCAGATCAGCAAAGAAGGTGTCTGGGCTTCTGATTGATAGGACAGCTGGGTGGCCGCTTGAGCCACAGCAACATTCTTGAGCAACAGCAACATTTCAGGGTGCTCACCCCAAAGAGCTAGCATCACCTTGAATACTGCTCCCTAGATGGCCCTCCTCCTAGTCCCAGGCTTACCTGGAGTGGGTAACTGAGGCCTGAGGATGGTGACTAGGTCTCTAACCCTTCCCTCTATTGCCTGCCTGGCCAGGGCACCCAGGCTCAGACTACAGTGGGCTCCAGGTGAGCACAGGGGACAGAATTCCCCCTGGGGTGGGGCGTGAGGCCCACAGGCCACGAAAATGCCCTGTGCTCTTAGCCTTTGGCTTGTTTCTTTTCCAACATGTTTTTCTTCATTTCCTCAAAGGAAAAAGAACCTTGCAAAAGATTTTTACAAGATGCTCCCTAGAGGAAGGTAGCTGGTGAAGCCCCGGCTGGGGACCCTGTGGGTTTAAGAGGACCAAGGTAGAAAGCTAGCAGGTGGGATCCTGGCTGGAGACCTAGACAACAATGGCTGAACATACTGCCAAAGGAGAAACCCGACCTGACTCTGGTCCACACAGGAAGTACCCCGCTCCCCCCCACCCCTGCGAGGGCCAGGATCCCAGCAGGAGTTGCGGGGGGGTCCCCTGCTCCTGCTCAGACAGCTCAGCACAGCTCTGCCCGGTCCTGCTGGTGGCCTCGGCCAGTGGCTCCTGCTGCAGCACATCACCTACAATGTCTAAGTGGCTGCCCAGCCGGGACCCGGGGCCACTCGTGGGAAACTCTACCCACTTCCGGTGTGGTGGCTGAGGCCAGAGCAGAAGCCGGCCGCCCTGCTCAGATTGGGAAAGTACCCTTGTCTGGAGAAGGCAGGGCCTGGCCCTCTTGTTCCCGTGGCCAGGGAGAGCTGGGTTTTGTCTCTAGAAAGGCCGGTGGCCGATCTCTGCAGGAGAAGGGAGATCTGTGACCTGGGGCGGGATGGGGGTGGGGGTCTTCCTCCTCTGCTCATCTCTGCCATTTGTGACGGACCCCAAAGGCCACTCCGGTGCCTTGATGGCGGAGTGGAGGTAACTTTTGCAGGGAAGCAGCCGGGGCTCCGCCGGCCGGGGAGGGCTTTTCCTCACCCAGGGGCGGGAGGGATCGGCACCTGTTCGCACCGCCTGCGCAGCCGTGTGTGGCACAGAAGGTCTGTGTGCTGTGTTCCTGCGCTGGTTGCTGGTTACCACGCTGCCTGTGCACACACTGGCGGTATGGAAGGGAGGGACGTGGGTCTGCACTCAGGCGGTGGGAGTATGGCGGGGTCTGTGATTTGTCCTTGGGGTTCCTGAACCCCGGCTTGTTGGGGTATGCAGGCAAGGACAGTAAAAAGCCACCCATTTCCCATTTCCCATTCAAATTGGTGTCCCCACTTCTCTCCCCCTCTCCCCCCCCCCAATGCTCAAGCCAGGGACACAGACCTGGTGACCAGAGTGAACTCAAACGTGGAAAGGAGCAGAGTAGGCGGAGGGCCAGCTGGGGTTGGAAGAGCCAGGCGGGAGGAAGGACTTACGGCAAAGTAGGCACTGCCCCCGTCCGTCCAGAGCACCACGAGGTCGGCCCCCTGCAGCTCCCCGCGGTCTGACATCCCGAACAGGACCCCGGCCTGGAGCCCATGCACCAGGAGCTGGAAATGCACGTCCTTCCGGACATAGCTGACATTCCACGAGAGCTCCAGGACCCCCTCGGGGTCCAGGGGGATGTGGTAGGGGAAGGGGCTCTCTGGGGGAGCCGAGCCCTGCAATGCAGCCACCAGGATGACCAGGAAGATGGCCACTGCCGTGCCGTACATGGAGGCGGCCTCACGGGCGTTGGGGCCGGGGAGATTGGCTCGGCGACACTGGCGGCTGGGGGCTTGCATGGCTGCGGGGAGCTCGGAGGGCCGGCTCCACCTGGCCCTTTCTATACCCCAGCCCCCCGTGAGGGTGGATCCTGGCTGCACCCGTAATCACATTTGTCTAGTGGGGAATTCAATTGTCCAGTGGCCGGTCTCCACCAACCTGGGCCTCAGGGCAAACACGTTGCTCCTGCCCCTCCTTAATTGGCACTAATGACACATGGACATCATCTGGGGAATGGACGCCGAGCGGCTGATGCCCTGACGAGCCTCCGGGAAGGCAGGGACGGCGGCCACAGGCCTCACGACAGCCTTCAGCCCGGCGCTGTGACACCTGGCTGGCTGATGGTCCATTCTCGTCCTTTCCTGCCACGTGGAAGGCTTGAGGGGCCCTGCCGGGGGTGACCCGTGAGAGGTGGGCTCCTCGCCATGGGCCTGGCCCCGCCAGCCATGTGGTTTCTACAACGCTGGAGGGTGGACTGATTTCAAACTAAAAATAACAACTATCCCCAAATAGTCAGTGTTTAGACGCTCTCTCCACGGCCTGCTGTTCCCCCTTTTGTCGCCTCTATTTCCCCACCAGCTCCAGCTGGCACCACGGCTGCTCCAGAAGGCGTGGGCGTGCGGCTGGGGTGCAGATCGCTGTGGGGTGTGTTGCTGGGCAGGCAGGGAAGGGGCTGTGTGGAGGACAGGCAAGCGCCAGGGCGTGGCTAGGAGACAGTCTTTAAGGAAAGGGGGTGAGGGTCAAGGCCGTTCCCCTGTCCGGAGCTCTCAAGGACATGACTTCTTCTTGTCTGGACTGGACCAGCTGAACTTACCTCCTTGTAGGCCAGCTGGCCCTCAGCCCTGTTTCTCCCGTATCTGCACAGATCTGCCCACCAGTGCCCTGCGTCCATCTCCCTGCCACGCCTGCTCAGCCTTGCTCCTCTCAGGCAGAGCAGCTGGACCAGGACCGTCACTTCTCGGAGATGCTGCCTGACCTCCTGCTCCAGTCCCGCCAGACACCGGTTCTGAGGAAGGAGAAGGGCTGTGTTCTCCCTCCTGCGGTGGGGTTGGGAGACAGTGCGGACCTGGCCCAGGGGACCGGGTGGGAGTGGAGGCCCTTGGCCTTTGTGCGGGAGGTGGGCCTCTCTCCCACATGCCAGGACCCTCTCTACAGACACAGGCGGGGCGTCTTTGGTCCATGGTTCTCAGTGGCCCTCAGGACAGGGAGGGCCCAGGGGGCTCCGGGATGAGTCCTGCACCTGCACCTCAAAGAATCACTCACTGTCGCCCCTGCCACTGGTGACAAGGACATCGGCCACAATGGCTCCCTTGGACTCAGAACGCTGAGGCTGTCCTAGGCCAGAGGTGTATGTGTGGGGGGGGGCGCAATGGTGGCCAGCCCCGTCCACTCCTGGGTACAGAGCCCGGTGGGCTCGGGACTGGAGGCGCTGGCCGCTGGCCTCATCCGCCCCTGGGCTCACAGCAGCCGTGGCTCGGAGTCCCCAGGGGAAGGCCGGCTTGCGGCTCTCAGTGAACAGCAGAGCGCCAGGCACACGCAGTTCTTTTTAACAAGATTTGAGAGACATTCTCTCTCCCTGGCTCCGTACCAGGCAGGAGCACCAGCCTTCCTCCACCTCACTGGACAGCAATGGTTCTGCTGATTTCAGAAAGTAACAGGTACCCAGTCCGGGCCGCTGGCAGGAGGGAGGAGGGACTGCGCGGCTCACCCGTCACTGCTCCATCCGACGTCCATCAGGACGCAGCCACCGGAAGGAAATCTCTTCACCTGGGTTACTCAGCCGCAGGGGCAGGGCAGGGTGGGCCAGCGGCAGGTCAGGGACCCCAGAGTGTGTCTGTCAGTGTCGGGGGGGGGGAGAGGGGGAAGGTGATGAGCTATGCATCTCAGAAGCCAAGGTCAGAAAAGTAACAAATCTCTCTGGCATCAGGAGGATGTGCAGAGCAGAAATGCACAGTCGGGGCAAAGCCGTGGACTGCGGGAGGCGGGGATGAGTCCCACCGGTCCTCCTGGGCCCCGGGCCCTGTGCCCTTCCTGGCTTTGGTGGATCTTAATTAAGAGCAATCTGACCCCACAGCAGGAACTGGCGCAGCAGGCAGCTGCCCCCCCACACGCCCCAGGTGTTGGACACGGCTCTGGCTTTAGTTGTTGGGGGGCGTCCCCCTTCTTCCTGCCCTCCTTGCCCTCCCCCCTTGGTAACTCTGCTCTGTCAGGACAAGTTGTCCTCCAAGGGGGGAGGTGGGCTGGGGTGGCCTGTGGGTGTCACTGTCACCACCAGGAAATCAGCCTTGTTTGCGGCCGCTCAGCGCCTGGCTCCTCTCCAAGGCGCATCGACGGCTGACCTCATTTAGAACCCATTTCAGCGTCTTAATAAGCCCCTTGCTTTCCGCACCGCTCTGATGCCGGTGGCCCTGGGGGCTGCCAGCCCCCACCGGTGCTGCCATGTTGGCCCAGCGGCAGACGGGCTGCCGTGGTGGTGACAGCCGCAGTGCGGCCCTGGAGATGGGGCAGCGGGCTGGGTGGGGAGAGCCGGTGCACAGAGGCCGCCGCTGGGGTGCGGCCCCCACAGGCCTGCACCCCCAGGGACGTCCTTATAGGCCATCTCGACCCTTGGGCTGGCAGCAGCAGCGCCCCGGCTCGTGAGGGGCTGCACCCCCTCCCGTGCAGCATGCCTCCGGGGGAGCCGGTTTCTGTCCTGAGCGTGGAGTCTGGTAGGAAAGTGGAAGTTCATGTCCTCCTGGGTGACCCCCGGGGGTCAGCCTGAGTTCACGGCCTGTGTCCAGGGTCTGGGTATCTGGTGGGGAGGCCTAGGTGGGGTCATGAGGGTCTGGGCGGGGTCACAAGGGCCTGGACAAGGTCACTGCAGGTGACCCTAACCCTAACCTCCACCCCCTCCCCAAGCTCTGGAGGGCAGGACAGGCGCAAAAGGGTTTGGTGTTGTGGGCCGGGGGTGACACTGCAAGAGCCCACCCACAGTTCTAGAACCCGGGCAGGACCTGGAGCTCCGGGCCCGATGAGCCAGGACAGTCCCAGACTGCAAGGCCTCCACTCTCACCAAGGGTGGGTGACCGGGCGTGGCCCCTCTGGCTCCTTCGCTGAGGGTGTGACAGGGTCCTGGGCAACCCGCCAAAGCGCCCTTGGGCCCACACCCTCCTCTAACAGGTTGGTCCTCCTGTCTATCTTGTGCTCAGCTATCTTGGACCGCCCCCAGGGGTCCATGCTGATGAGGAGAGACCTGCCCACGGGGTCCTCTGGAAGACTGCCTCCCCCAGCCCACCTCTGCACTGCCTCACCCCTGCCTCCCCCAGCCCGCCTCTGCACTGCCTCACCCCTGCCTCCCCCAGCCCGCCTCTGCACTCTAACCCCCCGGGGATAGGCAGCCAGGACTACAGTCCAGAAGGGCACAGAAAGGCACAGCAGGGCCTTCCCAACCCCAGCAGCCCTCCCTGACGCACACCACCCTGTGCTGGGTCCAGTGGATGGAATTGGACCTCAATTTCCAGCTCCAAATCCTGTCTGTAGGGTGGACCACAGGAGGAAGGGCCTGTGGAGGAATGGAGCAGTCAAGCCTCTGGACGAGGAGAGGGTCCTGCAGTGTCCTGTGCCAGATGGACTGAGGGCCCCTGGAGGGGAGGCAGAGGCTGAGCCCAATGGCCGTGGCAGTGGAGGTCAGAGGGAGGAGACACTGCTGGATGGAAGACGGATGGAGCAGGGACCAGCCAGAGCATGGCGGCTCAGGCTCAAGACGGCAGCAAGGGGATTCCCTGGACGCCAGGCTTTCAGTCGCCGCCCGGTCGCCGCCCGGTAGGACACAGGAGCTGTTCTGAGACTCGGAGTGGTCAGCCATTTGTCACGATAGGCCCACCCCTGCCCCTGGGGTCCAGGACTGTTTCCCTTCTGCTCTGGGCCCCATGTCACTGCTTTGAGCCCCCCAGAAACCAAAGGCAAAGATTGGGGCACACTCAGGACGTGTGAAAGGTGGCTGGGGTGTAGAGAGGGTTGGGTGTCAGGAGACGGATACAGGGTCTCGAGCAGAGGCCACTACAGGCAGAAGGCTCTGTCCCAAAGGTCTCCTGGGGAGACAGTGAGAGTACCCCAAAATCAGCACACTGACTGAAGGAAGCTAGGGTGGCCCCCACATCCTCCTCTCTCTCATTGAGAGAAAGGGGTGCCCAAACATCTGGGCCCACCCCTCCCACCGCTTAGCCCACTGGTGTGGGGGGCAGAGATGTGGGGACACTGTGGTTCAGGTCCCCGGGAAAAGGTCTCTGGGGAGGATGGCTCTCAGGCCCTGGGTGCCTGCCCAGCGCATAGCAGGAGCTGGCCCAGGACAGCGGTCACTGCTGGGGTCTGTGTCCCTGACCACCCTCCCTGCCTCTGCTCAGGTTCGTTTGTGCCCCGGCCTAGGCCCCGGATGATGATACTTGGCCTGGTCGGCCTGGTATCCTGGTGCCTGGACCCCCACCACCAATTCCCTGTGAGCTGCAGGTCACAAATAACCATGCCAAAACCAGAGAGTGTAGCACCAGCCTGGGCTGCAGAGAAGGTGGCAAGGGGTGGGTCACACGCACAGCAGAGCCCTTGGGCCCCGCCAGCCTCTGCCACAGGCTCAGCGCTTCCTGTCCAAGCTGCTACTCCAGAGCCAGGCACCCGGCCTCCGCTCAGCATTCCTGGACCACACTGGGGCAGCCATAGCCGCCCATGGCTGGCTGCTACCTGCTGCTGTGGATGCTGCCTGGGCAGCTACCAACCAACTTTAGGACCTCCCCCTCCCCATCCCATACGCACACCTGCTCAACCGCTTAAACCAAGAAAAGGAGTCTCAGGTCCCAAGGCTGAGCTGTCCCCAGCCTTCACCCTGCCCCCCACTAGCTTTGAGGCAGAGCAGACCTGGAAACCGGATCGGACTGAGGATGAAGGGCACGCACCCTGCAGCCTCAGCAGGGCCCAGGGGCAGAGGGGGAGGGGGAGAGTCTAAGCTCCCACTGCAGGGCAGAGCCTCACGGTCCTGCGCCACTCCTGG